AAGAGGACGTGCGCTTGCTTGATGTTCCACTTGCGCCGACTATTGGGAGGTGCTTCGGAACAACAGACTCACAGGATCTTGGACCGGCGCGGAACAAGAAGCCAGGTGCCCATTAATTAGCTTGCCGGTCATCCCTTACCCGCCGGCTGTTTTTTGGCCGGGATCTCCAGAAAGCCGAAGTGTCGTAGCCGGAGGGATACCGATAGCCGGGGTAAATTCACGTGGTCTTTGAACACTCAGTCCTATGGGCCATGTGCGCTATAGGGGAGCATGCTCTCATCGTGCTGCGCGACGGCTTCTCTATCTCGAACCAACCTCGAAGAGCATACAGGTTCGACGTGAAGTCGACTGCCGGGTAGGGGTAGCCACTGAATTGACCGTCTTTTCGTGTTGTCTGCCGCCGCCAATAGGTCCTAGCTCCGAGGTTTTTGTGATGAGCTTCCAGTGCTGTCCCATTTTCTTCACGCTGCTCCAAAAGAGAAACGACAAAGCTTAGCAGCGAGAAAGTCTGCTCTCTGCTGCACCAGGTATCAGCTTTAGAGCGGGTGAAGGGGTGCTCAAGGACCATGAAGGCCGCACGCTTTCATCCAGTATGTTATTCCTCTACATTTAGGTCACGCAGGAACTCAGGTGCGAATTGTAGACTACGAAAACGGTCTCGGTCGACGAGATACCCGTTCCCACGGCTGGAGATTATGACATTCTCGTCAAAGTAAGATCAGCTTCCTTGTGTCACTCGGACTTGATGCTTCTCGACGGAAGCCGCCCTATTGCACACTCGAATCCTGTCGTCATGGGTCATGAAGGGGCAGGATACGTGGAGGCGTGGGGCAAGAACGTGAAGGGCTTTGCCAAAGGGGACAGAATCGGATTTCTCTATATCAAAGGCTGTTGCTGTAAGAGACGACAATGTCCACAGAATTGTTTCCTGTTCCTGAGCTGATGACCATCCTGTCTAGTTGAGTGTAAAGGATGCCAATTACATAACCTCAACTGCACAAGAGGACAGGGCCTTCTCCAGGGGTTTGACATTGATGGCATGATCGCCGAGTACACCACCATTGATTATCGAAATGCCGTCCTTCTGCCGGAGACCATCTCGCTGGATTCCGCATCAGGGTTCTTCTGCGCTGGCTTTACAGGTACGTCGACGGCCTCGCTTTCGATGCGAGTCCAAACAGTCGCGCTGATTCTCCTTCTACCCTAGCGTTCCATGCCATCGAGGGTTGTGAGTGCCGGGAGGGGGACTGGATAGGTATCATAGGGTGCGGAGGATTGGGCTTGTTTGGGATCAAATATGCCAAAGCTATGGGCTACCGTGTCATCGCGGTCGACATTAACGACACCATGTTGCAGACCGCGAAGGAGGCAGGGGCCGACGTCGCGGTGAACACGCTTACACAGGCCGAATGGCTGGCCACGGTGCAGCAATCGACAAACGGTGATCCGATTCCCGCCGTCGCGGTGTTTAGCCCTGCGCAAGCTGGCTACAATACCGCTACGAGAATGATTGGGCTGGACGGAGTTTTGATGGTGGTGGGACTTCCACACGACAAAGTCTCCTTCGACGCCAGCGATCTCTGTCGCAAGCTGTTCCGAATCAAAGCCGCCAACACTGGTGCGCCGGCAGAATTACCGCGCGCTGTCAGCTTCACGGCCGAACACGGCATCACCCCAAGAGCCGAGTTCTACAAGATCGAGGATTTCCCGCTCATGGTCGACAAGATGAAATCCGGGGGAGTGACGAGCCGGCTAACAGTGCTGTTTTGAAGGAACAAATACCCGTTACACCCACGGCCCCGGAAAGCTGGAGACCGGGAATGTTGAGATCAGATCCATACGTGCATCCCACGAGCTGGAGGAAGCGCAATCCAACGCAAGCGTGGGGCTTCTCGACTATAAAACTCCGATGACTTAAAACGGAGAGGGATATTTCATATCGATTCCTGGCACTATGTTAACTGGATTGCGCGATCGAGATCAATCAACAGCTTGGTGGCAAGAGCGAGTTGCGAAACATCGAATTTGAGGTCGGGAATATTTCCACTATGTACAGGCAAGACGTAATCGTTTTGCACTCCCGTTGCCGAACGATGTCGAAGTCTCCGGATAGGCGAAATAGCAATATTCACTTCACAATCAAGCTCTCACAGCTCCCTCAGACCCCCCCCCCCCCCCGTGGAAGTTCCACAAGTGTCCCCTGGGGCTTTACCAGCCTCTCCGTCCTACTTATTCTATGTACCCGCCTTCCATTTCTTCCAGAAGCGAGCAGAGCTAGATGTTGCTGTCGACTTTGTTCAACGAGACATTCTCCAGCTGGACTCCAAGATGGGGTTTTTCAGATTCAGACCCATTTGGTATATCCATCTGTGCCTGGTACGCCTCAACGAGGTCATCGTCGCCGAACAATGCAGCCACTTCCTCTAGGGACAAATTGAGAGTGTCGGGATAGGTGAACCAGATGACAACTGTACAAACCGCCGTGATAACGAGGAAGAAGAGGTAGAACTTCCAGCCGATGTTTGCGAAAGCGGTGGGCGCGGCCTGCAGCCAGACGATATTGATCAAGCAGTACGTCCCCATGGCGATACTCATCCCATGAGACCGCAGATATGTCGGGAATATCTCGGAAGCGTACCACCACGTTACACCGTCCAACAGCAAGCCATAGCTGAAAACGTAAATGTACAGTATTGCAACACAGGCGCTGAGGCCTGCTTTGTTGGAACTCCCCACGTAGGATGCCACGAGGCCTGCTTCGGCAGCCAGAAGGACGACTAACGTACTCAGCCCGACACAAATCAGGGTAGGTCGAGGCATTCGGTCGACGACAAGTACGGCCAGTAAATTCGCCACGAATGCCGAGCCCAAGAAGCCGGCCTGCAGAAACAACTGCGCCGCCGGCCCGTAGCCTAGTTGATTGTAGATGATTGTACCATAGTCTAGATGACCCGGTGGTTAGTTTAGCTGCGTCTAGAGCTCAAGAGGAGAGAAGAAGAATCGAGAGAGGGGACTGACTGCCAATGACGAGAATGCCCGAACATACGATGGTGAAAACCAAGAAGAAGGTCATGATGGCACGCTTCCGGTACGACGGCCTCTTCAATATACCGATCCAGCCAATCTGCAGTGAGCGATCTAACGCAATTTGACTTTGCATTTGTTGGAATTCGCGGCGAGCAAAGCTTTCGTCTCCGTGAAGCGAGTGGAGAGAACGGACAATCTCCCAGGCTTCTTCACCTCGGTCTTTTGTGATGAGATAACGAGGACTCTCAGGCACGTATCGGAGGGATATGAGGCCTAGAATCGGGAATAGACATCCGATCGCCAACGCGCCACGCCAGGCCGCGGGGCCGTCATAGTAGTAGAAGCCGACTCCTATCCATGACGCGGCATTGTATCCAATGTTGTTGAAGATAGGATTGATATCCAGGAGAATTCCACGATCCTTAGGAGGTACACTTTCGGCAATCCACAACGGCACCCCGGTCAAAGCCATAAAACCACTTCGAAATAGCGTCCCACGTCAGTATGCTCTTCGTAGACGGGGATCCCGAAGTAGAGCGGGGCGAGAGAGAAAGACACGCAGAAAATGGAAGACATACCCGATCCCATTGATGAACCGAAAGACAATGAACATGGCAATATGCTGAGAGGCGGCCAACAGAGCGGTGGTGATGAGAATCAAGACCATACCAATACCAATCGAAGCCTTCCTGCCGTAACGATCGGCGAAGTAGCTGACGGAGAGGCTACCGACAATACCCCCGACGTAGAATAGAGCGTTTGATGCTCCCAGCAGCTGAGAGGCATTCGAGGCAGTATCCAGATGCATGAATTTCAGAAAAGTCGGCTGTCCGATGGTCGTGGAGATGATGCTGGACGCGTACCCGTAGGAAGCCGCGCCAAAGGACACGCCACACGCGTGCAGGATTGTCGAGGTCTTGTAGTGCCTCTGCGGCTTCGCCTCGAGGACGGTGGTGGGCGCCGTCATTGTCGCCGTCAGTGTCGCAGCTGCTGCTCTTGAAATCGGCCTACACGACTGAGGCAACGTCGATGCTCGACGCTGCGGGTGTCAGATGCTCGACACGATGCATGTCGGTGGAGAAAGCCATGGATTTATACATGGCTCGAAGGTCACAGGCTCGTTTTGATCGGGGGCGACCATGGGCAGGGAGTGTACACAAAGCCATTCGGCTGCGGCTAATGGTCTGGGAAGAGTGAGTCCGGCTGCCTCATGCGTCCAGGGAGCAATGCCGGGGCAGCAGAGAGTGGCCATTGGTTCGTTTATCGTAGCGCCTCGTCGCTGCGATGAGACAGGGATGACCAAATAATTATTAAAATGATAAGAGCCAGCCTAGTGAGCCCCGTGAGCCTCGTGAACCTGTGTCCAGCGAGAGGGTTGGGGACTGACTTAGCTGGGGAGAACAACGAGCGGGTCGGGCTTGCGGAGCCCCAGTTCCCCCACTGGCCCGCTAATACTGTCGACCAACCTATCGGCGGGGTGGGGTAGCGAAAGGTTGCCATGAGGGCCCCAGGCTTAAAAAGCCGCGTCCTCCACTGCCGAACTCATACACCTACCTCCTCTCTTGTTCTCGCCTTTGCCCCGGCCACATTTTCGAGTTGCCGGCATGTCCAAAGCAGCGTCCGTTTCCAACTCATCACGAGAGTAATTTTCCATTTCCCACCACACCATGGGCGGGGACCTGGAATCATCCGGCACAACGAATGCGAATGCCGACGCAGGTGTCCAGCCCTATGCGCAATTGAGCGATCGAGGCCTGAACCAGCCGGTTCGAAAAAGGGCTCGAGCAGTTTGCCGAAGGTGCCACGAAAAGAAGGTCGGTCTGACGTCTGACTAGTTACGAACTTGTTCTTGGGTCCCCGGCTCCCTCTCCCTCCTCTCCTCTTCCTAATCCCCCGTGAGCCACCGCTGCTGCCTCACTAAGCGTCTGTGCTAAATCCTTGAAAATCATTGCAGATCCGATGTGACCTGGACGCTCGGATTGGACGACCATGCCTGAACTGTGCGCACACCCAGAGCGAATGCAGGTATGCCCAATGTTGACAGTTGCCCCTGGGCGCGCGCTCGAGAGGGATCCCTTTTTTTCTATATTTTTTTTTAGATCCCACTAGCGGGCTTTCCGGGCATCTAGTGTATCATCTCAGGAACATTCACGTCTGACTCAACTGCACCCTTCCCCCGTTTAGCCCACGTCCTTCTCGACGAGGTTTACATGAACGTCAAAAAGTCAATCACGGCCCACAGAGCCTTGAAGCCGGGCCAGGTCGGAATTCCACAGTCAATGATACCGTCAGCAATGGCATCAACATCAACCACAATGCGCAGCTAGACAGTCCCGCTCCGACTGCTTATCCATTCGCTCCGCTGGCCACTGATCTCGATCAACAAGCGGGCTCCGCGAGAGTGCTGACTCCTCAGGCCATGCTCTCAGAGTCGACCCGGCCACAGTCGTCCTCCCAGCCGGTACCAGCTCCACCGTCCTATGCCCCGAATTTCTCCAGCCGCAAAGCCGCTGACACCGCCCAGGACGCCGAGCTATCCACGAACTCCTGCCGGAACACCCAAGCCAGCTACCTGGGTGAATCGGGCTTCATGCCATTTCTCAACCACGAGGAACAAGTTTCCAGCAGCCCCGGCGGCGGTCCTGTGACCATCAAGATTATCCAGACGATTGAACCTCTGAACCCCGTGCTTCGAAAGTCCTACACCGATATCTTTTTGAAGCACTGCTTCACATTCTGCCCAGTGATGGACGAGTCTCTGCTGGCGCTCCCTGAATATGAGACCTCCCTGGCCATCCAACAGTCCATTGGCTTGATTGGAAGTGTAATTCAGCCCTCGCTCCTTCACGTCGACAAACCGTCAGTGTACTACGAGAGAGCCCGGATGCTGATCCAAGGAGGCTATGAGCCCAACCCTCTGGCTGCCCTGATAGCCGTCATGCTCTTCTACTGGCATGCGGCCGCGCCCCCGACCGTCATCAGCATGAACACGGTGTGGTGGTGGATAGGCGTTGCGGTACGTCAAGCTCAAGAGCTCGGCTTGCATCGAGAAGCAAAGATCGGTCAAGCGTTCCGACCGGGTGAAACGATCGGGCTTCGTCGTCGGATCTGGTGGACACTGTTCGTAAGTTCCACATCGAACGTGGGGTGTCGGTGGGCAGCATCATGTCTGACTGCAATGTAGGCCAGGGAGAGACTTACTGCCATTTGCCAGGGAAGGCCGTGCATTATCAACCCTAAGGATTGTGACGTAAAGGATCCGACACCGACGGATTTCCCAAACCCCGACGACCCAAGGGCACTCATATTTGTCCAGTGGGTTCGACTCTGCTCAATCGTGGGCCGCGTCGGTGATCACCTCCGCAGAAACCCTAGCGGCAGCACCCATACTGTTCGTGATTTACTTGATGAACTGAGAAACTGGGCACAGAATTTGCCCGAAACATTGCGCTTGTCTTTCGACCGGCCCATGAGTACGGAACACGAGGCCGAGCTCTACCAGCTGCATTTTCCATACCTCTCATGCATCGCGCTTCTTCATCTAGAAAAGTCATCCCAGCCAATACCGAGAGCCACCACAAATGCCCTTCTGGCTGCTTCATGTACGGCTCGCATCTTCGAGAACATCCTGATTCGAGGCTCACTGCGGTTCCTCCAGGGCATGGCTGGTTGGTATATATCTATTGCACTATTGTCGCTGCTACAAGGACGTCAAGTCGGACGACTTCAACAAGCAGCCGACGAGCACATCCGGGTGCTCCGTGTTGCTCTTCGCGAGCTGTCTCATCGATTCGGCTCGGCTAAAATGTACGATCGGAGCATCGAGAATCTGCTCAATGCACAGCAGAGATACAGTGCGTCGGGCGATATGCAGGCAGAGAGATTGCGGTCCTACCCCGACGAGTCCCAGAGCATCTTGCCCCGGGAGATGGATGCCCGCCTGTCCGAGCAACAGGACTGGTCGAAGTACTTCCCAGGCCTCCCAAGCAATGTCAGCCCTCTTGTTGAAATCCTGGTGGCTAGTAACCAACCATCCCCCTTCTCCGACTGGGGGAATGGCAACGATCTCAGCTACTTGCTCTACGACATCTTCGACAACCCACTTGACGGCATCACCGGAGATTTGTCGGACCATATCACTGGCTGGGGCATGAGCATGAATGATCGCTCCTTTCTCTAATTTACTGTCCTCTCCAATGCGAGGTACATTCATTGTAGGATTTTTCGTGAGACTGATGCTGGACTGGCCAATAACGACCTTGGATCACAGTTCACGGCCGAGGGTAACTTACCCCCCATCAGCAGGTCGGGAGCAAATGAAATTCAATCGCGTATCAGCCACAGGCCGAACTGTTATGCGTCGGTGACACCTCTGGCTGGTTGTCTGAGGTCACGATCTCTAGATTTGGGCGATTGACCTCCTGTAGGGAAAGTAAGAGAGATGGCATCATCCTAAGCTCTGTGCGCTGGTTTGCTTAAAGCCGATAACGTTTGTCGGCGCCGAAAGACCCACTCGGCTCTAAGTTACTACCGGACCGAGTGGGTGGGGCTCCGCCAATGACATAACTCCATACGGCGTGGCAATGCACGGCATTATTTTGCTGGCGACCTAATGTCTGCGTCCAGAAATATCATCACTGCCACCCAACTAGAGGCAATCAGTTGTCGGCCGACATCGTCGGGGAGAGAGGAATCTTTTTCGCTGTAGAACCCAGAAGAAACGATGGAGCTTGAAGCCTCTCCTTCTACCTCACGCAAAAGACGCATTCGCTCGTGCACTGAATGCTACCGGCGGAAGCAGAAGGTTCGATTTGCCCTCCCCTCCTCCCCTCTCCCGCTCCCCTGGGGCGGCCGCGGGGGAAAAACTGTTGAATATGCACTGAGGAGCCGCTTATCGTGGTATAGTGCAACCGCTCTCGTCCCTGCGATGTATGTATCGCGCGGAACATCCCTACGAAATGCGTCTACCTTGGTCAATCCAGGTATGATTCCCCTTATAGCTAGTCTGTCTCTTTCCCTTTGGTAGCATGGTCGCCTGTCGTCCTCTGGGGCTTCCCAAGACCCATCTGATGGGAGTTGAAGGTCGTAACGGTCAATGGTACTCTGAAAGGGTAGCTAACACCAGAGGGAGACTGTGCGCAACACCGCAGACTGCCAGAGAAGCCGTTCTTAGTCCACCAGCCGATGCCTCTATCGAGTCCACGCCGATACCTCTCCAAGGTGAGGCTGGCTATGCGGCTTACCACGACGATGAGGCACTGAGGACAGCCAATGGACAGGTGGGTCATGGGGCATTTGCCCGCAATGCAAAACGGGCCAGCAGCTAATAATACTTCCGACAGTTGGCGCGTTCCCGGCCACCAGTTTTGGCAAGCAACAACTCTATCGTAGGCAGTCTGGTCCTGTCCAGCGCGGTGGCAGATGACAAGTACCTTGAGCTTGTTGCACAGCTTCCGCCGGATGCTATTGCAAGAGAGTTCCTCGACACATACTTTGACAGAGCAAACTGGTATTTCGGCATCCTGGAGAGATACTACTTTGATGAAGCATATACCGCGTGGCAAACGCATCGACCCCTACTTGTCGGCCATTCGGGCCTTGAAATCCTGCCCCGGAACCTGCTTCACTTCCCAGCACTGCTGTTTCAAATTCTCGCCGTCGCTCTAGAATTCGTCGAACCTGATCAGCCAGTCGCCAAATTGATCGAGGTCCAGACTCTTGCGGCTCGCTCCCGATTGTCACATCGATGGAGCCAGAAAGGCGCCGAACTTATGACATATTGTGGGTTCGAAAACCCCAGCATTCTTGCTGTCCAGCATGAGCTCATGAGGGCGTCATGGCTCAAGAACTCTGGCCGTGGCAGGTCCGCCTGGCATCTTCTGGGCAGCGCCATCAGGTTAGTTCTCTTTGGATTAATCGGCCGCCCTCCATTTTTCCCAACTGACGACTCAGGCTTGCACAAGAACTCGGGCTCCACATCCAGTCACACCCGCCGCAGAGCACTGGTCTCTCGGTGGAGAGGTCACTGGAATGGCTGTGGCACGATGAGTTTACAAGAAGGCTCTGGGCCAAGCTCTTCTCTTGGGATAGGTGAGGCCGCCTCATTACATGATGCCAATCCTGACGTCGAGAATTGACCCTCCCTCCAGTCACATGGCAATGAGCCTGGGAAGACCACTTTTAATCCGGTCGGACGATTGTTCGATCCGGCCACCGCTGGACTGCGACTTTCCCTCAAATCCTTCGGCCACTGTCCACGGCATGACATCGTCTCATGGTCAGCATTCACTCTACAGCGCCCACTATTTTCAATATGCCGTAGCCCAGAAGGGCCATGAGGTAGTGTCCGTTGGAGCTCACAAGCCAGGTTTCCACGATTACAGCGTGGTACGATTCTTCGACAGTCAAGTCTCGTCCTTGATGAACAGCCTCCCCTCTTTGAGGCATGGCGTCGCACAGGACGACGCCAAGACATACCGTTCGACAGCATCTCATCTACACATGTTGATCGTCGGACATTCGTTCTTATTGAACCTGCACAGAGCCCATTCAGCAACTCACAAGGCAAGCCGAGAAGCTGCCATTCAAGCGGCTCTCAATATACTTGACGCACAGCAGCAATTGTTTGACTTGTTGGGAAATGCCCACTACAAAACTTTCATGCTTTCCTATTACTCTGTGGACGCGGGCATATATCTGGCGGTGACCACAGCCAAATACCCCATGCCGAACGGCCAGACTGCGCGGCAAACCGACGTAGCGCTCCAACAAACGATTCAGCGCCTCTCATGGATGTCGAGCAGAAATGCGTTGGCTCAGGCTGGACTTCAAATTCTACGCCGCTGCCTTCGCTTCAGTGAGCAGCCCACTCGAAACGAATCACCTCCCCGGAGCCACCATTTCTCTGCTCTGGCCGAAGAGGATATGCCGTCCGTACAGCCCGCTAGCATTCGAGGCGACGCATGCGCGACCTTGCTCGGGGATCCGTCGCGGACCCCGACTTATGCTGATCAAAGTTATGTTGGACTTTTGGATGTGTCGGCTCCCGATTTTGACGACCAGGACTGGGACAGGATGTTTGCTGCCATTACTGACGCCAACTATACCATGGACACCTTTATCGGCGAGTTTAGCGAGCCACCCAACTCGCCACGGTAGCGTCCAATGCGACCAATTCGCAGAGATGCATTTTTGGCCGGATTACGCAGCACAGGCGCCGCCAAACAGGCGCGTTCTTGCGCGAAAATCAGCGTTGAGCTAGAGTACAAATCCTTCCGATACTTTGATGAACGCAGTGAAGCTTTTGGCCTCTCACCACCCCGACAAAATCACTCGCAAAGTAAAACTTCGCCCCAAATTGACCATGGGTGTCTCTGTCTCCCACGAACCTAGGCATAGCACCTTCCATGGGAAACACAAACTCCTTGCAGGCCGTCCACAACGTTGTGGCAAGCATTCCCCAGCCAGCAGCGAGCGCACCGCGCCAAACGAGCCAAACGTTTTCGGCTGATTGAATGAAAATGCCGACTGATCCAGCTCCCAAAGCCACACCTGTTGATCTATGCCTCTGGCCTGGTCTACCATCTATGCCCTCACGACCAACTCAATCGATTTGCTGTACATTTGTGGGATGAGGTCTCGGTTGGACATTGAAGCTTTGCAGAGTGCATATACAATCACGGTGGACAAGCTTGGACGAAAGCGTGACATAATTAGACCACTGTCGACCCAGGGAGACTTGTAAGAGATGTGCTGAATCTTGAACAAACAATCACCGTGGAGGTCCAGTCTCCGTCAGTCACGCTGGGACACGTTGCGGTTGACCGGATGAGGAGCATCCCGAATGAATCAGCAAGCTCGAGCTGCCCATTCCACATTGTGGGGACAGTGCACACCGGCCGTGCTACGAGGCACCAAAAAATTATTCCAACCATCTCCTATCTAATGACCCACCATGGCTTGATACGCCGGGGCATATCTATTTCCTACCGGCTTAGCGGCTTCGACGAGCTTTCGAATCTCCTGCTTCTCCTCTTCGGTCAAGCCAACATTTCTGGAACCCCAATTCTCCTCCAAGCGTTTAGGTTTGGTGGTTCCGGGGATGGGAATCAATCCCTGAGATATCACCCAGGCAATGGCGATTTGGGCGGTCGTGCAGCCTTTTCGATCCGCCAGCTTCTTCATCTCCACGACGATGGCTTTGTTCTTGTAGAAGTTCTCGCCTTGGAACTTGGGAACTGGATCCACGATGTTTTATCAGTAAATATACTTTTGAGAAGAACAGACTTGGCTCGCTAGCGGAAAAAAAAGAACTCACCTGTCCGGCGAAAGTCATCCGCCGGAAAGTCGTCTGGGGATTTGAATGGAAAATCATCCACCAGCCAGCCGTGACCAAGAGGGCTGAAGGCCACGAACGCGATGCCCAATTCCTTTGCCGTATCAATTAAACCGTTGGTTTCATGCACCGTCTCGAAGGCCGAGTATTCTGCCTGGATTGCATCAATCTTGGCAACTATCACGACGGTTAGCTGGGACATTATTTTCAGAACGGCCAAAGACTTGGACACACTCGAGTTGGCTTTGCGGAGAGTTGCCGCAGAGCATTCAGAGAGACCGATATCCTTGGTCTTGCCTGCTTTTCGAATGCCGTCGAGAGCCGGAATAGACTCCTCCAGAGGGGTCTCTGCACGAACGTGTCAAGTCAGTCGACCGAAGACAGTACCAGGGGGTGGGTGATGCATACCGGGGTCGATTCGATGGAGGTAATAGAGATCAGGTGCGAAGCCAAGTCGTTCGATGGTGCCTTCGATATATTCCTCGATGTGAGCGGGCGAGTTGGTCACAGATCGACCTCCGGCAGGATTGTTAAAGACGTTAAAGCCGCACTTTGACGCAACTGGGCCGTGTCGAGACGTATTAGTGGTTCAGAGCTTCCCCCAAGATGGAACCCATTTCGAAACCTACTGAAAAGTTTGTCGCGGCAGTCGTGTTTCTTGATGAATTCTCCAAGTAACTTCTCGTTCATACCAGCTCCATAGACGACCTGGGCGTTTCCATCGGAGCGATCAGTCTGCATTCGAGACTAACGAAGGGGGGCTTTGCGAAGACACTAGCTTACCGCAGTATCCCAGAACGTGCAGCCAAGTTCAATCGCTTTCAGAAGCACCGGTTCAGCTTCCTCATAGCTCAAGCTCTGTCCAAAGCCGAAGCTGATACCCATGGCCCCAAAGCCAGGGACCGGGACTTGGATGTCACCAAAGGGAAGTGTTTGGACCATGTTGAGTGAACAAGTATTGGATACGTCCAGCGAGACCAGATAGAAATGCAAAACCGGATTCACTGGTAAATATGAAGGTGGTGAAATCTAAACAGAGGAGAGAGAGCTTTTATGCCATTGTTATTCTTCTGCGGCCGAAGAGTCGTCGGCGACAGTTCATTCTTCGCCAAATACTCCTAAAAGCCGACCGACGGATGTCGGCCGAGGTGTCGGCCGCAGTACAAAGTCCTGGCCATGATAGCATGGGCCCCTGCGCAGAATCTGCCATGCCTTAGCAGCACCAGAAAATTGGCCACACGACCCTACGGTGTATAGGGTCGTAGGGTGGCGACACGCCTTGAACGTCTCCATTCAAAGAAATTGGTATCTCTGCCATCTCGCCCGTCATCTGTTCTTTTGTCGACCACAGTTCTTTCTGCAAATTTCGCAACTGTGCAGACCGAAGCGTTGAAAGAAGGTCCTTCTGGCTCCGTTGAGCAGTTTATTCCGATTGTTGCAGCAGCATTCCTGGCCATGCTGACCTTGCACCGCAAGTCGCCATTGTTGGTGCAAAACCCTCCAGAAAACACCACCTGTAACAAAGGGGAGGGGAAGCCCCAGCGGACCTAGATTGTTACTTTCAAGCTTCTCTTTGAGCGTACGGGCTGGGTTTTGAGTCGGCTTTGAGAGAAAGGGAGGTGCCTGCGCCGTAGCAGTCCAATAAGATGCAACTTCAGTCTCTGGGGATTATCCTTTGAGCCCGTTGAGTTCTCTCCCACCTTTGAACATATATGAAGGATCCGTATCGTAGGATTCCTTTGGCAAGTCACGATGACCGGGCCGATGAAACTATTCCGAAGGGCTGCATCGGAAACGAGTCTCGGACCATCAGCAATCAAACAACGAACATTAAATGTCTTTCCGGTCGGAAGATATCATGCGTACAAGAAGATATCCAGATATATCATCACATGATTCTGCCTGAGCTCTTGTGCCCAAGAACCTATGCCTACCACCTTGGGGACAAGTCTTCTCATCTACTCCGGAAAGCCCCTGCGGATACTTCTAGCCATCGTCACTAGTCAGCCGACATCCGGAGCTGGATGGAAGTGGGAATTCCAATAAGGAGATTCTTGGAACGATCAAGACTGTTGAGTCGACGCCCCCCCAATCATGGGTATTTACACCATTTTTTCTGAGCTGTATATATATATTCAAGTCCGCTCCAACCCACCAGCCAGCTTAGTCTGACATGACTTCAAGGATCAAAGGCTGTCGACCTTCCGCCCAGCGCGAGACTTCGAAGGAGCCGCAGATCGCAAGGCTACCTGGTTCTTTTTGATTGGCCTTTACACCGGTCAACCTCAAAAAAAGGCCTTCTCTGCTGGTTCGCTTCATTGTTCCAGGCAAAGCTACTCATGAACCGCATTTCAACTTAACTTGCCCGGCCGTGGTCTGACGGCTGCTTGGCCTCCTGGACCGAGCTCGTTCGTGATTACCAACGCTGTCAGCCGCATCAATGTGTTCAATTAGACTTGATTGAACCCGGTAGGCTGATCCTAGGGCTGAGACAAGAATAGCTGGACCTATCCTGTAGCGGTCACTCTTGAGGAGTCGGAGCCTATAATGGGTGTCAGATCCCGACATTTTGCTGCTATCCGAGAATCAAAACCAAAATATTACGCTATTGCACATGGACGCTGCCGGTTTGCATTTTGGCATTCTACTCATGTCTTGATGCAGTCCATAGTGATCCGAGCCACCCTTGATGGGAATGATTTCGATTAATAGGTCACTGAATCGGGATTTGCAAGCGACCCTCGTTCTGGTGATCAGACCATCTCGAAGGTACATGGGTCGGTGGCTGGCGCAAAGGTCATACAGTGCTCTATGGGAAGATCGACAAAGGGCGAAAAGCCAGAAGGCATATCGACTGGCAGCTTGTGAGCATCATGGATCGATTCGGGGAGCCCGTCCGATTCCCCATCAAGCATTTCGACCGCTATGTCACTCGTTTGCAAAGGCCAGAGGTGTGCAGGTTGTAAAAAGGTGGAAATGTCATGCTGTGAGAAGGGTGGCGTGTCCAGTATATTGTCTCTCGAGTCGGCCGTCTTTTCGACATTCTCCCTCTGCCCCGGCGGAGACTCATCACCCGGCGCCAATAACTGCGAGGCGCTCCACTTGCCAGCCAAAGTGCCAAACAGTTTGTCGATATAGATTTTGCGTGCCAGGTTTTTCAAGGTGTCCCGTTGCTTGACGTACGTGTCGATGGAGGCCCTAAGGAGAGAGAGGATTTCTGCGAAGCGCCGTGCATGGGCATCGTGCCGACTCATGAGTTGCAGGAAATCATCGGCCTTGGCCAGACCTTCATCCAACGGGAATGATCGGTCGTAGTTACCGAAGTAGGCCAGGCCCAGGACGAGCGAAGAGATGAAGACATTGTTCACCAATAAAAAGATCCTCTTGGGAAGGGCCGTGTAGTTCGTCAGGTTTTTGGCGATGTCGACGGTTTTGATGGCTGAGCTGAGACATGCCACTGCAAGGGTGGCGCAAGGACTCACGAAAGGATCCGCAAGGTCCATGTTGACCTCGGTGTCGGTCGATCTCCTTCGAATGCGCGTGCTCACTTCTTGGACCAGATAGGTTTTGGTGAGTAGTATGATGCCATAATAGTATGCTCCAGTGAGGTGACTGAGGCATAGCCGACTGGGCAAGGTCACACGATCGAATTCGTTCTCGCCGCCCTCATCGATCTCGAAAAAGGCCATGAAGTCGGCGGCCCACTCGCGAATGTGTTGAGAAATGCTTTCGACCCGTTCAATACTGACGGTGTCTCGATGATAGACCTCTGTAACAATACGCTCAGAAATATGGCACAACCGGAGACAGGCGCACTCGATTTGCTCTTCCAATGGGAGGGTTTTCTGTGTGGAGCCCCAAAGGTGCATGGATTCAGTCTCTACCGTGGCCGGTGGTCTTCCGAGAGAAACGCTCGTATAGATGTCGAGCACTCGCAGCGTTTTCCAGGCCTTTTCCCTCGCTCGACACTCAGCTTTCGAGAATGAAGCGTTGGAATCAGATCGGTGAAGTCCCAAGGCGCATGCGGCGCGTGCGGCGATCCCTAGATTTAGGAAAGCGGCGTTGCGCCGACAGGCGTTCAGCATATACAAGGCAATCAGAATATGAGATTGCACAGTAAGCAGGCTTGTTCCGTCGCTCAAGTAGCAGAATGCGAGTTGGCGGGCACGCCGGAAACACCGCTCGGCCATTGCCTCGTCTCCCTGGTGGCCACGCTCTTGAGCACCCACGGCCAGTACGAGCAGAAAGATGAGGCTCTTTCCTTCCGACTCTAAACATCCCTGCAAGGCCCAGTTGACCATTTCTTCTGTCAGCGTCTGGGTGACGAAAAGGTCAAAGATACCATAGATGGCGGTGGTGTAATATTCAACAAGTGAGCAGACTTCAGCCACCGAGAATGCGGGTATTGGAGAGCTGGTCAAGAGCGTCAAGGGGTTGACTTCCTCCTCAGGCCTTGCCTCAAGCATCGAACTTTGCTTTGGATCGGTGGTGAAGGGGCAGGGCCCGATAGCATCCTCCACCACCCTGCGGACCACTTCCACAAATGCCAAGGTGGATGACTCGCCCAGGAAAATCCGTCCCTCCCTGCCTTTGCCATCATCCAGAAATCGCGTGGTGGCAGACAACGGCCTCTGAGATGAGTTTGGCGAACGCGTGTCGCTATGTACGGAGCCTTCGCTATGATGGGGCTGCTGATTTTGACGCAAGCGAGGACCAGTCGTTGAGTTGTCAACGGGGGAAACAACGAGGCCTGATATATCATCGCGCGAGGTTGGCTCCGTTCGCTGAGTTTCTGACCGGTTTATTGGCGGGACAGTATCCTGGAAGGGATTGCTGAAATGGCACTCCATTGACTTTCCACGTCGAATGCATGGTGGGCAGGGACAGGAACCGTTACATTTTTCCTTCCTCCTCTTGCAGTTGCCACAAGCGCGCACACAGCGTCGTCTGCTTTTATCAACCCGAGGTGATGGAGACATCGTCGCAATTTCGCCCTAACAGTGAATAAGAGAAGTCGTATAGATTCTGCTGACAGATCGAGTCCATAGTAGGTACCTAGGTAAAAGCACGACAGACTTGAAAAAGAGATTGTCGCTCGAAGCGGCGAACCTCCAGCACCGGGGGTCTGGGGACTGGGTGCGGGAGCCCCGTGGGCGGGGGTTTGGGTTAGTGAAGCCAATATAAGTTAGTGTTTGACTCTCCAGCCTGGGCTTCTGCTGAGGTCCGGCGAGTCCCCGTCGCAGTTGGAAAGTGCTTCGCCAGACCCAGAGAGGTGGGCGTGCACCTCACATGGGCCCTATCTTAGCGGTAGTTGCGTCTTATGGGCAGGAGAGATGATGAGCGCCTGTATCGGAGACTTGCGACTGATTGCCAGGCTTGACTTGCTTGTCCAAAACCAATGTCCTTGTCGGTAGACTATAGGGGCCATCCTCCTGCTGCGGGAGCCACCGAAGCAGCAAGAAAGGCAGACTAGTGAGGCATCGCCAACCTTCTGAGATGGGAAACCAGACTAGAGGGAGCTGAAAACCATCCGAACTCCGCAGACTAGGCGAGAGGTGCCACTTCCGATGCAAGGAGTGGTCATGGGTAAGTCCAAGTCTGGGTCTCTCCCTCTCTCTGGACCGTGCATGAGTAAACAATGGCCTGGATAATCAGGGTCCGGTGTGATGCGAGCTCGTTTCTGGTGAAATCTGTCGAATAATATCCCTCGAACGGGAACAAATGCCTGTTCGAACAGAGCTCTTCATTTTGGTCGACCCTGATGAAAATGTTGTTCGGGCATCCAGTGTTCGAGAAGACCATTTCGGCGCGATGTCTGGCAAGATATTTCTGTTGTATACATGCTGGGCCTCCTGAGGAGCCTGATTATATTCTTATTGTCCTCTGTGTCGAAAAGACATCGATATATACATCCGAAAAAGGCGAGATCTTTCGGAAAGCCTGCGCACGTGGGTTGAATGCCCCGAAGACCGGTAGAGTTCCCGATAGGCCTGCGTCAGGGTCGCGACTTCTTTGTCAAAGCCCAGGATGATGATCCGGGACCGCTGGCTGCGAATAGCGTTCAGAGGTCGTGGGAGCTGCCAAAATGCTGTTGGTATACAAGAGTGTCATACACCGGCCACTGCTGGGCACCACTTGATTTGGGACTGAGAAGCACTTGCAGAACTAAGTTCTATTCCACTCTACAGATATCTGAGTCTCGATCACCGCCATGCCTCGCATCATAGTTGACGAGTCCACCGGTGGACAACTTGGGTCGAAGGTCGTGGTGCTGACAGGTATACTGTCCTCGCATGTCGAAGACGAACATAGGACTAACCAGGCCACGCAGGGGGCAGCAGCGGCATTGGCGCAGCGACAGTGGACGCTTTCCTGGCTCGCGGCTGCAATGTTGTGTTCGGCGACATCGACGAGACTGCAGGGAATGCAAAGGTCGAGAAGCTCATCTCCGGGAACAAAGACATGAAGACTCGACTTAAATTCGTACCCACCAACTTAACGGACTACGATCATGTCTACCGACTGTTCCAGACCGCTTTCGAGACCTTTGGCCGAGTTGACATAGCGGCCAATATTGCTGGCCTGGCAGAAGTCGCTGGCTGGTTCGATCCTGCAGAGACCGTCGAGAGCGTGAAGAGGGTCAGACAAAATCAGGCAAAACTCTGTTCTCCTAGTTGAAGAGACCGTTGACAATGTGAACCGACAGAAACCTACCACGATCGTTCTCGATGTCAATTTGAATGGCACGCTGTACTTCGCTCAGATCGCCGCGGTGTTTTTGAAGCAAGGCCAGCAGTCATCGGAGGACAAAAGCCTGACCCTGATTTCTTCAGTGGCGGGCTTCAAGGAGTACCCTGGCCTGTTCGTGTATCAGGTCGGTCTACCAGTCTCTCTCAGTGCGGTTTGAGTCCGTTCATTTGCTGATCCTTGAGAAGGCCAGCAAGCATGGGGTGATGGGGCTGATGCGAAGCTTGAGATCTTTCCCACCCCTGGCTTCTAAGGTCCGCATCAACTGCGTCTGTCCTTCCATGACTCTCACTGGGATGGTTGAAGGAATCAAAGACGACTGGACGAAAGCCGGTCTCCCAACAAACACACCCGCAGATGTTGCTCGCGTCATCGTTCATATCGCCTCAGCGAACGTCATCAAAGGCGCCGCGCTCTATGTTGAAGGGGGAGCAGCATGGGAGATCGAACAGGGTCTGGACGAGACACAGCCCATCTGGCTTGGGGAAGAACCTAGCAAAAGATTGGACCTATCTGTCAAAGCTCTGGGTGCGGTAAGTCTGATCAAGTTCCTAACCCAAATTAAGTACACTCCTGATCATCTAAGGGTTCGAATTGGGTCAACCACAGCAAGGGAAAAGATCCCAGCGGCACGACCCCGGCTGTGAACAGCACCAACGGACTCAACGGACAGTGAAATGACGCCGACAGGCCCCCTTCAATGTATGCCGAAAGATAGCATCTGGGAAAAGAGAATTGAAAGACAGAGAGTCTTGTGCTTGAAATGTAACCACGAGTCTTTCGAAATCGAGCACAGAGAGCAGAGGCTCAGGCATTCCAGTTACTGGATATATTATCCCTTCAGAATCAAACTTTGAACCCCTCTTCCCAGATTTTCTTGCTCTCTTCAAAGATCCAGCGCTCGCTCTCATTACAATACTCGACTTGGTCCCTGTAATAGATGTCCCCCAAGGAGCATTCGGCCACCTTTCCGACCAGGCTTGCATCCGTTGCAAAGCTATCAAACGCCCGTACAATGGTGCTCATGGGGGTCAGGTGCTCCTTGGGCATCGCGCTGAGCAGGGAGGCCGGGGCGAGGTTTGTCGGCACAAAGGCAGGGCAGACGCAGTTCACTCTTATGTTCTCCTTCTGCAGCACCGGTGCCGCCGATCGAACGAGGCCCACGATCTAGGTTTCACCAGTCAGCCAGGCATCCTGAATTGCTTTACACCGAGTGAGTTTCGGGGCAACTGGTCTCTTTTGATAATACGCACTCCATGCTTTGCCGCGGCGTACTGTGGATTGGTGTGGAATGCGTAGAGCCCGGCACTGGAGCTCGTGATGGCAATGGAGCCTCCCTGACCGTCGTTTTGTCGGAAGTAGTGTGTCGCCAGCCACAGGCAGTAGATCGGGCCGATCAGGTCGATGTCGATCGTCTTGAGGTTTGGCTTCTCCGGTTCGTCCCCTCCCTGGTTCTCGTACAGGCTCTGGAGATCGACCACGCCGGCGTTGGCGGCGACAAAGTCCACGCGGCCGAACTTCGCTTTGGTCTCCCTGAAGAGCGAGGCCACTTCGTCCCAGTTCGAAACGTCCGTCTGGTGGAAAAAGACCCGGTCGCCGAGTTCCTGGGCCACCCGTTTGCCGGCTAGGACGTTGACATCCGCGAGGGCGACCGCCCAGCCTTGCTCGTGGAAGTGTCGAGACAGAGCGAGCCCGATCCCGCTGGCAGAGCCTGTGATGATTGCCACGGGCATAGCTGGGTGTGGACGTTATCTTCGATTCAAGGGAGGGCTTCAAGAAGTGCGAGGCGCAAGATCAGAAAACAATTCACCAAGAAGTTGATGGCCAGAATTTCAGACCTGCAGGAGCCCAGTGAACTGGAGTCGCGAGTCTCCCGACCTCATCAGCTTCAACACTGATGAAGTTTCCAAACATTAACCCAACAGGTCGTCGGATCGGAACCGCATATACGCACTCTCTCTGTGTATGTGCTATCTTCACCAATCCCGAACCGGGCCATTTTCTTCGGTACCTCTCCGGGATGGGGTCCTATTTCTAGGAGAGTAGTGATCCTGACGAGGCCTGGACTCTTTCCTGTCTTTGCAATAATCGTGTTTCTTCGTCATCGATCCTGAACTTCCCACCTTCGTGTTCCAGGCTGGGTATTATCTACCATCTTATCACCAGGCACACAGATATGGAATTCATCCCACAGCATCGCAATCCCGAGATGATGGCGATGCCTATAAAGGCGAGAATAGATGGATTCATGTTACGGAAAAGGCACTGTTGCCAAAATTGGTGTCTGTGAGACTGGTTCTACCAATGCACTAAATCTAACCATCTTTTCCAACTGGCGTGAACTGATGGAGACCTTTCGGGATAGAAGATGGTATCTCAGATGATCATCTAGGTAGACTAATATAGGATTTTCTCATCTCGAGATCCACAACCCAATAGCCTTCCTCACCTTCTCTAGCACCTCCTCTACCAACATTGTTTCCGAGACAGAGCTGTAATGTTCGCAAATCGGCCTCATGCCGCCGAAGACGAGGTGAAATGGCATGTTTCATTCTTTGCGGTCGAAGACATCCCTAGACGGTTGCTGTCGAGTGCCCATTCAGAAGTCCTTCTGGCACGGGCGGGAAATCGATGTTCTCCGGATTAAGATACTCGGCTCTGTCCAAGCCTTCCTGGCGCTCGGCGACGGTCCAGCCATCCCCTAACCATGCCGCGTCGTTGTCGTGTACCATTTCGTACTCGTAGTCCTCCCATCGCGGGTGTTGCAAGACTTGCAGGCAATGCAGCGAAGAGCCTGTCGAAGATTTTGGTCAGTGCTTGTTCAAGGACGAGGAAGGCCGCAGTTAACTGGTCGTTCTCACCTGGCCATAAAGCGGAGACTTTGCCGTCGACAGTGCCGCCCTTGTACCACGAGCGGCAGGGCAAGGTGAAGACCGTGTCGGCAAAGTAGTCCAGGCTGTACTGGTAAAAGGTCTCGACGGCCCTGGACTTTGCTTCGATGGAGCGGATCGCCTCTCGCTGCATCTTTTGGATGGCCGCGCAGACATAGTCGCCGATCCGCTCGAGAACGATGCTAAGACTGCCTGTGCCTAGGGCGGTCGAGGGACCGAGCGACATGAACATGTTAGGAAATTCGTCGGTCGTCACGCCGATGTAGGTCTTGGGGTATTCTGCCCATTTCTCGGCCAGGAGACGCCCCTGGCGTCCGATGATGGGGAAGCGGCCTGTCCATGTGGTATCGAAGCCCGTGGCGCAGATGAGGGCGTCGACTGCGCGAGTAGTGCCGTCTTTGGTCACGACGCCTTCCTCGGTGACGTGGGCAATTTCGGTGGTGATGAAGTCGACATTGCTTTTGGTCAGAGCCGTGAGATATCCCGGTCCCGGCGTCAGTCGTCGACATGCTGGCGGAAAGTCGGGGACGAGCTTGTCTAAAATTTCTGGTTTCGCTGCCAGCTTGGCCGCCATGCTCTTCTTGAAGGACGCCGAGGCATCCTGGGAGAGCGCCCCCCGAAATGTGATGCCATGGAAAGACTGGAGTTCTTGTTCAATCTCTGGCCCCCTAAGGTCAGTTTTCATTGGGGTTGTTTTTTTGGGCGCTCTAGATGTCAAGACTTACTTTTCCTGTAGGCGTGATAAAACTCTGGATCGTCGAGAAATTGTTGGATCTCCTCTTCACTGAATCGAACTGGTATTTTCATCAGTGGTTCATCGCTGGTCTAACCATGGGGTGGGCTTCTCCTACAATTGGCCTCTTCCGAAGTGTGCTTTTCCACTTCGCTCGGAGCGAATGGCGGCGAGATCCATGTACGGCCTCGAACATAGTTGTCGAGTCTCTTCACTTTTGGCTGCAGACAAGGAACTATCTGAATGGCACTGGATCCAGAGCCGATCACAGCCACCGTCTTGTTCTGCCTCGATCGTCAGTGATGCCCTGTAACTGTGAAGGGCAACCAGTTTCAGCTTACAGTCGGGTCCCAGTTTTCGTCCCAGTTTGCGCTGTGAAGCAGCTCGCCCTTGAAATCGTGCAGGCCCTTGATCTGAGGCCACTTCCACTCATTCAAAGCGCCGATGCAGTTGTACAGTACATCTGCGGTGTCCTCGAAGATCTCTCCCGAATCGGTTCGACAGAGCTTGACGTACCACTTGGATGCGGATTCGTCGAACCGTGCCTCGATGACTTTGGTGTTGAGCTTGACATACTTGTTCACTCCATATTTGGCTGCCACGCCTTTCCAGTAGTTGTGGATGTCTCTGCCCGAAGCATAGAATTCCGGCCATCTCGGGTTGGGCTCAAAGGTTAACTGATACGAGTGTGCTGGAATGTCTGTCCTCGCATCTGGGTCAACGCTGTTTCAACCACAGGGAGTGATCAGAGATGGCGAGCCTACCACAAGCGATGCCAGGATATCTGTTTTCAAACCATGTCCCGCCAACGTCTGGATTCTTGTCATAGATGACGAGGTCGAGGTTGGGAATACGCTGAGGAAAGCGGATTCCGGCGATGATTCCAGAAACTCCAGCGCCAATGACCATGACTTTGATGGGCCGAAGATCATTGATCGAACGGCGCTCTACTGCCGCCCCCATTCTAACCGGTTTCCTGATCAATTGTGGCTCGTGAAAAGGCGGAAAATAGGTTCTGTATTTGTCACAAGAGGTCTATTCTCTATGCAGGGATGTAATGGAATAATATATCAATATTAGGGCTATGATTGAACTTGACGCAAATCGCGTATGGTGTCCTACTCGTAGTGGAAGGAGAGGGTAGTTTCATACGGTGCAAGGATCCGATAAAGGGCAGCCCTTCAGTAGAATTGGAGGCTTGAAGACAGGAGGACCAGGCACGAGGCTACCCGAAGTGGATCCCGGACTCCTGATCGGGCAGCCTCGTTTCGGCTACATCCGATCCGGCCGGATCTGAAGCAACAGAACCTCATCGGGAGCGTATGTGGTATCAACAGCTTCTGAGCAGCAGATTCAGTGGAAACTGGACAGATTCATAGGTCTCTCCCGGGTTGGATCCGCTTGTTCTACCCAGAGTACCAAATATGTCTTCCCCGGGCACTACCCCGACAATCAGCCCAGAACCCGCACAGCCTGATGCCAACTAGAATGTGCTCTTTTAAATCTACCCTTACATCCCTTCCTCGTCTGAGATGTTCATATCTTAATCTCTCAGAGACTATCGTTGTTCAGAGCTGTTGCCCAAGATGTTGAATTTCCCTGGCAAACTACGTGGCACCGCCCTGCAGGCTGCGATCACCTTCGCCTGCTCATCCGGCTTCTTCCTGTTTGGCTATGACCAGGGAGTGTTCTCTGGAGTGATTGTCACCCCATACTTTCTAGACACTTTCCACAATCCCAAGGCTGGCCTCTTGGGCACCATCAATGCGCTGTATGATATTGGCGGTGCGGTAGGTGCCATCATCTGCATGTTATTTGGGCACACTCTTGGTCGCAAGAAAACCATCGTCCTGGGCTGCATTATCGCAACTATTGGATCCATTGTGCTCGGTACAGCCAAGACGATATCACAGTTGATCGTGGGGCGTAAGTTTCTGTGTCCGCTGAGCTCATTGACGATGGATATTTGTGGCTGATCTGGCGTTCCAGGCATTGTTACTGGCGTGGGAGTTGGCCAACTCACATCTACCATCGGCATATATCAGGCCGAGACCGCCAAAGGTACGATAATACCCTTGGAGATTTATTGCAGTCGGCCCTTTGTGCTGAATTCTGTTGCAAAAGCGAACCACCGTGGCATGCTGATGTCCATTGAATTGACCTTTTGCGCCCTTGGACTGTTTCTGGCCCAGTGGATCAACTATGGCTACGGCTCAGACAACACCGCTGCCGCATTTGAGGTGCCGTGCTTCTTTCAGCTCGTGTTCCTCGGCGCAACACTTTCCGTCCTGCCGTTCCTGCCCGAGTCGCCTCGCTGGCTGGTTGCCAAAGGGAAAATGGAAGAGGCCCGGCAATCGCTAGTCCAACTGGGTGACAAGGACACGACACCTGATAGCGCGGAGATTACGAAGACCATGACCGAGATGGAGGAGGTTGCTCGGTTGGAGAACATCAGCGGCATTCTGTGGTTCAAGAGTCTGGTAAGAGGCGGTCATTCAAAACCTGAACACCATTGCGTAGACTAATGCTTGCGGTCTCATCAGTTCAAGAGCGGTCCGAGTCAGAATGGGAAGCGAGTTCTCCTATCATGTCTCAGCAATTCCTTTCAACAGCTCACTGGGGTAGGCTTTGGATCGGTGCCTGTTTCTTTGACCTCTTTCTTCCATGCTAACCGGCCGCGTACTTAGATTAACTCGGTTACCTATTACGTTCCGACGCTGCTCATCACCTTCATTGGTGTAGCACGAGAAGACGCGCTGTGGATTGGTGGGCTGATCTCCGTCATTTCCGTGATATCGTCGTTGATTGTACGTCCTGCCGTTGGACCCTCTAGACTACGTTGTTCTAGAGCACGAAATCCTTTGCTTATCAGGTCAATAGCCAGTGTTCACCATCGACAAATTCGGCCGCAAGGGATTTATGATTGTGGGAGCCGCTGGCCAGGCGATTTGCTTCTTCATCGTGGCCGGGGTATTCGCCAACCTGCCGCCGGAGTCCTCGCCCTCGGCACGGACCTATGGCATCGTCATTGTCAGCTTCATTTACATCTATTTCGCCATTTTCAGCTCCTGCTGGCTAGGCCCGTCCTGGGCGTACGCTCCGGAGATTCTCCCCCTAAAAGGAAGAGCTCACGGCATGGGACTTTCCGTTGGTAAGCACAGACATATCTTCTCCCAACCACGCTGTGGAGAGCCCCGAATCACTGACCATGGTGACTCGCAGTTTGTTACTGGATCCTCAACTTCTTGATTGGTAAGTGTTGCCTCAACAAAAACATCCTACTCTTCACGTCTAGGAGCGGGCGATAGTAACGTGCTGTTTCCCTAGTCGAGATCACGCCTCCAGCTTTGCAAAACATTTCGTGGAAGTACTATGTTATCCTCGGAGTCTTCAACGCCATATTCGTCCCCGTTCTCGCATTTTTCTTCGTCGAGACCAAAGGCAAGAGTTTGGAAGATCTCGGTATGTCTCGATCCTGTCGAAGCTATCGAGCGGAGACTGACTAGGTGTTCTTTTCGGGGTCATTAGACATTTACTTTGCAGAGCGCTACCATGGCGGTGCAGAGTGGCACGACGTCGAGAATGCCGTTCGCGCCGAGCATGCCCAACAGGAGGCTCTGAAGGACAAAGAGGCTGCCACAGAGCACTCTGAGAAGGCGCTGCATGAGCTTGTCCAACCATATTCCGGCGATCTAGAGAGGTAATCTCGCTCAAAAAGTTGTATATCAGGGGGTCCTCTGAGAGACTATTGGCTTGGGCGGGTGATATCTTAGGAGGCCCGCCTGCGGACAATCCCACGTCGAGATGGAAAACCGTGCATACGTGCTTTCAAACAAATGTACTCGGTACAAAATGCGACACTGGGTCCTGAGGACGTGTCAGGGAAATTTCGATTCAAAGTACCGCGAAGGGACTCGACGCCCGAGCCGAAGAAAAGGCGTCACGATATAAGTCCCACCGAGGAACAACCCTTGGTCATAAAGACAGTTTCGATCGATGGGAACTGCATTATTCTCCCCATGGCTCATGTATTTTTGAGCTGGTTAGAGCGTCGAGCCGTAAAAATGCTCTAGAGGATGATCGAAGTTGTTTGCTACAACGCCGTGCCTCACGGTCCAATGCGGCTTAAACACCTTGCGCGTCGTGTGAGACCTTTGGCCCATGACTAACGACATGCTCGAGACGGAAAGGGAGACTTACTACGCTTGTATTGTGCACTGGAGTAGATTCGGGCACCCAGCATTCAGCTTTGATAACATCGTGAGCTGGGAGGTCGGACATGTCCGCATCCAGACGCCCATAAATAAGCCTCTGATCCAGTGTAATCACGACAAGGATGAGTAGAGCTCCTGGATTGTAAGAGACGGCATTCCGAAGACTAGAATCGGTGGCATTCTCGAGCGACGATGTCTGTCCCTCAGTCCAACGAGGAACGCTTGAAAGCGAGGAAGCCGTTGCCTCCTCCTCAACCCGCATATCTACCCACCGCCGGTTCCCCCCTGACGGTCGACCAGGAGCTGTATCAGTCTATTCAGCAAAGTCCCAGGGAACTTGTCGAGTCATTTGTCTTGCCTATCCGTTCAGGTCGTGCTTGGAAGGCTCCAGCCAAGAGTATTATCAGAATCAGCACGCCTGAGGGGCCTCAAGTTGGTAGGGGAAACAATTTCTGTATAAGCATTCGCGCTCTGACACGGTCCGCAGGGGACTTGAATATCTGGAATGCGAGTAACCCTCGCGAGAGATTCTGGGCGTCTCGGACAAAACAGCTCCACTCGTCACACGTAACAACAGGTGATCGCCTCTGGTCCTGCCTACCGTATATGCGTCCATTGTGCACCATCATCTCCGATTCCCTCTCTTGGTACGGAGTGGATGAGACCGGAGGAAGAGTTCATGACCTTCTTGGCACCAGATGCGACCCCTATATCAACACCCTACTCTCAGGACCAGAGGCGTCGTACGACTATCATTGCCACTCCAACCTCACAAGAGCTGTCTTGCCTTTCGGTCTCAACGAATCAGATGTTCACGACGTGATCAACCTGTTCCAGGTAACGGGTCTGGATTCGCAGGGCAGATACTTCATGAATCCGTGCCCTGCGCGACCGGGCGACTATATCGAATTTTTCGCCGAGCAGGATCTCCTGATGGCTCTGTCAACGTGCCCGGGTGGAGATCTTTCCTTGTGGGGCTTTGGAAGTGACAGTGAGAAGGAAATGATCAAATGCTGCAGACCACTAAAAGTCGAGGTCTTTAAACTGGCCGAAGAAAGCAAGATTTTGGCCGGAAAGTGGCAACCTGCGGGACGTCCAGATTACCAAGGCGTCCATGGCATGATAGTGCCAGAAGGCGAAGTGAGAACATAGTCCAATCTCTCGGGCTAGGCTTGTGAGTCTTGCATAGCCAGAATGTGTTTCAGCGACCAGCCATTTCCTGTTCACCTGTGGTGCCTGTCACTTGACTTTACTTGTTAAAAACGACGTTCATGGCGTCCTCAAGGATGGCAAGCCCTCTGTTGATCTCTTCGTGCGAGATAACAAGAGGCGGAACGATTCGTATAACACCATCTCCAGCCGTGATAACGAGAAGACCTCGCTCTCGTGCGGCAGTAATGATCTCAGTTGCCTTGTCCTTTGCGGAGTCGCTTAACTGGTAACCGACAATGAGACCCTTGCCCCTGACTTCTGAGAGGACACCGGGGAACTTTTCCTTCATGGTTTCGAAGGCGCTGAAAAAGAGGGTCGACTTAATTCGAACTTCTTCCTGTAGTTGAGCCTTGGCGAGACGGCCGAAGACGTGATGAGCGACTCGACAGGCCAAGGGATTGCCACCGAAGGTTGTCCCATGGTCGCCCGTCTTGATGTACGGTGCCACGGTCTTGCCTGACACGAGTGTTGCCCCAATGGGAATGCCGTTCCCCAAGGCTTTGGCCGTTGTCAGGATGTCGGGGTGCACACCGGACGCAGTATAGGCCCAGAGATCTCCAGTCCTTGACAAGCCACACTGGATCTCGTCAAAGATCAGAATCGCACCAACTTCGTCACACCGCTTGCGGAGGGCTTGGAGAAACTCAGGGGTCGCAACATTGACACCCCCTTCACCCTGGATTGGTTCAACGATCACTCCCGCAGTGTTCTCGTTGATCAGCTCTTGGACACCCGCAACGTCGTTGAACTTTCCGTAACGGAACCCAGACAGCATGGGACCGAACGGGGACTGGTATTTCTTATTTGGAGTGGCTGAGAGTGATCCATACGTGCGCCCATGGAAAGAGCCATGAAATGACACAATGTCTCTCTGCTTTGACTCCGGATCTTTTGCATATATGACCTTCCGAGCAAATTTTAACGCAGCCTCATTGGCCTCCGAGCCAGAGTTCGAGATGAAGACTTGAGTCAGAGGCGAGCCGGGCGACTGCTTCTGCGTCTCCTCGATCAGGGATTTGGAGAGGGTGGGGGTCCAGGGGTTGTGATAGAGGTTGGACGCATGGATCAATCGCTGTGCTTGGTGGGCAATCAGTCTTGTGATTTCAGGATCGTTATGACCCAGAGAAGTAACCGCTATGCCAGCAGTGAAGTCCAGATACTGTCTGTTTTCATTATCGTACAAAGTACACCCTTCTCCTTGCACCATCATTGGTGGGGGTCGAACGTAGGTAGGGACCATGTACGGAGTAGACTGATTCAAAAAGGTCGCCGTCGGCGAGTCGGAGGAAGGGTCTGGGTTGGGCACAGAGGTTTCATGCCGAATCTGAGTTTCATCTTGGACGGGTATGCTGGAAGACGTGGGCACAGCAGCTGCACTGGCATATCGTCGCCAACTAAGTGAAGCTCGCTGTGAAGGAGCAGCGAGCTTGGAAAGGTGAGAGCATGCTAGCCTCTTGCTCAATGAGAACGCCATTTTGCAGTCAGAGATAACGGCAACGACAACAATATCAGAGAAGTTTCTCACTTCGCTAGAGCAGTATTAAAAGAACCCAGCCTAAGGAGAGAACTGGGAACTTGTTTAGGTCTATTGGAGAATTTTCTTTGAGTCACACTGAAGTCACTGCTTTTTTTTTCCTGGACTATTTTTTGGAGGCGCAAATGCGGGGAAATCCGGCCAGCGGCGAGAGTTGTGAGGCGTGAGGCCGATTTCCTGTGCCAGGCTGGGCGCAGGCAGATTCCACCACTGTACGGAGTATCTTGCACCAATCTCCTTCTCCTTCATCCCAGTCCGACCTGAATCCCTCGGGCGCTCTCTCCCATCGGAAACAACTGGCATCGTCCCTGTCATGAGCTCAATCTCCATCTGAGACCACGGCATTCCAGACCCAGGAGAATTACGAAGCTCTAAATGCAGGCTATGCAAGGGATTCCTTCACCATTATGCCATTGAGAACTCAACCGATGGTCCCTCCAACCAGCTCAGATGCCATCCGGATGTCAGTGACATATCCCGAGCTTGTCTCAAGCCACAGCCGCTCTATCGGGCCTCCTTGCAATGTCAACTGCATCGAATACGAGGGTCCAGCCTTGCCTGAACTCGAGTCCCTGATTCAGATGAGCCGTCCACATCTGGAGCCTGATGGCGCTCGCTGAGCGGGTCTCGCAATGCGAAAAGTCTTCCTCGCGAAGCAATATGGGCCAGTATGTTACACATGTCCAGATTGGACCGAAAGAATCATGCTCTAGACGTCTATTTTTGCTCAAATCCTTTTTTGAACCCCCTTGTCCGGTCTCGATTTGTCTGAGATTGTTTACAATTGCTTGGGCATGGGTGGTGAGCATGAATGTGCTGACCCCTTTCTTGTCTTGTACTGTTGTCGTTTTCGAAAAGAATTAAAAGGGCTCGATTTCCCCTACAATTCAGTGTTGTATCTCTCCTCAACCCTTGAACACAGACATCTTCGGGATTCAGTCAAGCACTCAACCAACCTACCCATTACATCGTTGGCTTAAAGCGATTTTCGAAATACATTCCGCCATGAGGTCTCTTCTTTTCGCTCTCGGTGCCTGTGCGCCTTTTGTGGCTGCCAACCCGTTCGGTTCTGGCTCATTCTTCGAGCGCGGTGTTTGTGCTGCTGATAACTGCGCAAGGTATGGACCGATGACCTTCTGATGGTCGAAGCTAACAGCTGTCAGGGCTGTCACGGGCACAGCTGCTCAGCCACCTCTTGCGACCCGGCAGGCAGATTGCTCAGCTTTCTTCAGTCCAGTACCTTCTCCGACAGTCCCAGCCTACGCTTCGGCCTGCAGCGGAGCTACTCGCTATAGCAGCGCCTGCTCTTGCCTCGGGGTCACGGCGCCGACGTATACTTGCGTCAGCCCAGCACAAGCCACCAACATCGTCAACACCTTTGCCTCATTCTTGACGAATCCGCAAGCTCCAGACTTTGCGACGAAGGCGAACGCACTGTTGGCGGATAACTTCACCGACACCAGCGACTCCATCAACTTCCTGGCTGGCTATCCAGTAAGTCTCTTTCGAAAGTTTTGAAATGAATATGTATTCACAACTTGGTAGCTTGGTGGCGTGACATTCCCAAGCAAGGCCGCTTTCATCGGTGGACAAGGAGCACAGCCACCGATTCCGACCCTGACGACGCTCGATATCTTCTTTTCCTGCAACAAGATTGCCTGGCGATGGCTCGCTCAGGGCATCGGCTCCAACAAATATGAGGTCAAGGGCATCGACACTTTTACAATTACACCGTGGGGCCAGATTAGTCAAGTTTTTGCGGAATTCAACAGTGGAGCTTGGGCTGCAGATCTCGCCAGTGCCTCGTCATCGTCAGGCTCATCAAGCACGCCGACGACGACTACGACGAGCACAACACCCACTACGACAGTGGCCTGAATGGAGGTCTTCTGTGGATGGCCCTCTCACCGAGGGTATGGAGCTTGATTTGATCTAGTTCTTGATAGAGATGGTTGTATTTCGCTTCTTTTCTGTGAGAAGGCATCATAGAGCAGTAATGCCCTAGACATTTGTCTGAATCTTCAGCTCTGATACCTATTATCCGATTTGCACTTGACCCAAGATTTCCTTCCTGTATTTTCTCGTTGTCTCTTCCGATTCCCGTATCATCGGTGGCACGTACCAACGCTATGGTTCCCGAAGAACAGCCGGTGCAGTTTCCGAAAATCCACTGGAATCCCTCTCCAACGTTGTAACTGCCATTAAATTTCCCATCTGCGAAGAATTCTTGCAGATCTGTGAGCCCAACCCTCTTCATACGAGCTGCGAAGGAAGAGGCCCTCAACTATCTGCATCACTCGAAAAGAAAGAGAGGAAGAAAGACACACCCCCTCGCCTCCTTCAAAGTCCATTACCGCTCTATCCGGCCACGAACGACGACGACCACCCCAAAAAGAAAATGAAGCGCGCCGCCACATACCCTTTACGCTCTGCTCCCCTCTGCGCCGCTCCCCGCGCCCACCTCTTCACCGTGCCGCGGTCAATCTCAAGCTCAAAATCAAGCTCCAGTACACATGTCCTTCCGTGTCCGTGCGCATACCCGGGCCTGACCCGCAGCAGCGCCCGCCAGCTGAGCCACTCCGCGCGGCTGAGGAAAGACGACGAGACGTCGCCATCGTCGACGGGCGCCTCGCCGTTCAGTTTCCGCGGCATGCCCGCGCCGCCACGGCTGCCCAAGGAGGAGCAGGAGATCTTCGAGGCGCTGCAGCGCCAGTCGACAGGGGCGTTCTCGACGCCTCGGACGGAGCGGAGCACACCGCCGCCGCGGCCGCAGATCAACCAGTCGCCCGACTCGTCGGCCTCAGAGCGAGACGACGCGCAGGCCACGGTCGATGAGCGCGTCGACAGGATTGCCTCGAGCAGCGGCGGTCCGGGCGACGGACAGCAGGACTCTTATGACCACGTGATCGATGCGAGGGGTTCGGGAGAAGAATTACATCCTAACTTGGTCAGAGGGGCGCAGCCCGAGTTTGAGGGAGAGAGGAACCCAAAGACCGGGGAGATTGGCGGACCCAAGAACGAGCCGCTGAGATGGGGCCCCAGCGGAGAGTGGACGTATAACGGGAGGGCTACGGATTTTTAGAGCGGGCAGATGTACAGGGACGTGATTCAATATGGTTTTATTGTGTCATCTTAGCCCATGATGTCCGGTTCAAGTCGTGTCCACCAAACCCCGATTCAGACCCGTGCGTTCTTTGACCTTTCAAGTTTCTGGGATTGTATACCGCGGATGTCCATTGCAGTCGTGACAACGTTCTCATCAAGCTCATGAAAGTCGGATTGGTATAACATCAAGCTCGTGAATTGAAAGTTTGCTGAAGAGTCCATTGTAAAAACCCCCAGTCAATCCCCTTGGATGTTCAGACTGCCCGGCCCGATCATTGGGTCTTGACCTCGCTGTCCTGCTCGACGTGGATGTGCTCGTTGGTCTGGAGGACGCCGACTTTGTCATCAGGGAACTCGACACTGCCGGCACAAGTCATTAGATTGTGAATCAGAGCACAAGGGACAAAACAAACTTACGTGAAGCCCTTGATCAGGGTAAATTCGTGCTTGATCTCTCCTCCATCGGCCTTGGCCTTCTCCTTGGCCTTGTTGAGCTCTTCGGGAGAAGCGTTTTCTTTGAGAGTGACCTTTGTCTCAAGTCAGTAGTAGTCAGCTTGGATAGGAAAAGGCAGCGTACGTTGAAGAGAGGCATCGTGATTGCGGTGGTGGAGAAACAAAGGGAGCCTGATTCGAATGCGGATTGCGAGAGAATGCAGAAGCAGATTCGGAAATGTGAGAGAGACTGCACTGAAGAAGCAGAACAATCTAGGTGTTTATAAAGAACAGAAAGAATCCACGGCTTTGGAGAGTGAATGGTATGGTGAAAGGTGGGAAGGTCGTGTGAGTTGGAGGGGTGTCAGGAGTCCGCGCAGGCCTCTATCGATAGCCCAGATGCCCAGATGCCCAGTTCGCAGAAGGAAATGCGATGACGCAATAATAATCGGCCTTCGCCGTCGCAGCCTCTTACTTCACATCTCTCTTGCAGGTTTCACTTCGCCGTTTTCATCCCACATCAATCCTTATTGTTCTTTTTGTATATCATGTGACGAGCTGAGTTATCTGTCAGTCTGTACGGAGACGCCCGAGTTCTCCTCTCCAGCTGGCTCTGGCGGTGACTCCATGTCAAACATCCTGTGCTCTGATTCAGCAGCAATCGACCGTTGAGCTCCTCAAAGCCGTCAAGATATTCTCTTCCTTTTGTGTCTCTGGCTCGCCTTCTTGGTGGTTACTGCTCCCGTTGGCCCAAGCTCAATACTGTACGAGTTCGATAAGATACCCATCAGGATCCTCTACGAACCCTGCCCCAGTGACGGCCTTCCAAAGCCCCTGATTTCTGCCCTTCTCAGGCGCCTCTGCCCCAACTGCGCGGGCTGCCACTTCCAGACCTTGCGCGCTGCCTGGCTGTTTGAGGACTTTAACCCCGTTGTCTTCCATTCGTTTCATGCAAGCCGATACATCTGGAACTGTGAAGCAGAGCTTGATGAGGCCAAATCCCGGGTGGTCGTTGGCGTTGGTTATATGTTTTTGCGAGTGCTGTACCTCAATCAGCTCCCATGGTACTAACGAGGCTTCTAGCCTAGCGCTTTCGCCATTCAAAAATATGCTAATATGTGGTACTTTGTCAAGGAGGGTTCCATACCTCTGACCAAATCAACTCCAAGACGCCTTCTCTCGCCAGAAAGGACCTGCCCGCCCCAGTATCCGTTTCAGGGTATCCCAAAAACCAAATCTTCACAGTATCGAACTCCATGCGTCCGAGTTCTTTCATGCCTAGGACATCCTGATAGAAGCCTATGGATCGCTGGATGTCGGATACTCTGATGCCGATTTGGTTAAACTTGTAATCCGCGGTCGTCGATGACATGATGAGCAAGTGAGCTTAGAGTGTTAGGCTACACAGGTTGAAGCTCCTTGATCATCGAGCATCGGCCTGGTTTCATGGACTGTTTATTCCAGTTACCCTCCCTTACCTAGGTACCCATAGTCTAGGTGGAGGCGCATTCAGCCGAAAGACCGAGGCTACGAGCGACATACGGATACAGACTTCACCTTCTCACACAATTATTTCGGCTCCGTGTTTTGCAGACCACACAGAGCTACGCTGGCCTATTATACGTGAAGCACATGTTCTTTCACTGCCAAAAAATGGGCGAAAGTTGCCCTGAGGCAGATTCAAATCAGCCACAACACAGGACCTATATATCGTGATTTGGTTAGACACCACACCTTGCCCTCATTTGCTCCGCCGTTGTCGTTTCTCTGGCGGACCGCGAGCGAGCCGAATACCGGCGGCCACGTCCAGCACAGAAGTCAACCGTCTCGCCTACGCGCTCTAGAGTTCCTCTTGAGGTCTACCTTTCCGAATCTTGCGTAGACGATGAATTCAAGCCGAGCCTTAAAGGCCTAAAACACTTTTCAAGAGACCATCATAACGCTGGGCGATATAGTCGAGGAAATCATTCTCCAAAGCAAGTCTCAATGACGAATGGAATTCCACGAAGGGCGTCGCCAAACAGCGAGGAAGAAGCAATGCCATTCGTGAAGAGAAAGGAATCTCTCCCAGAGATACCTTCTAAACAGCAAACGCAAGAGAGGGCGGTTATCCGTCACAGCTGCACGAAGAGCCAGTCTCTGCAAGTTACGAGCATACCTCAAGAGATTCGAGGTATTCTCTCCGATGGAGGAACGATGACAAGGAGACATCAACGGTGAAGAAACGTTTGCGAAACGAAGACACGAGGGAAGGACTGAATATTGTCTTTGCCCCGAATCACCATTTCGACGGCATGCACACTTAGCTTGAGCTATCGCCGGTGCTCAAATCAATAGCCACACCTCCCACAATACCCGCAATCCTCCGCCGAGCAGGCTGTGTAGTCTCGATCCGAATCACTGTTGTGTCCTGGATCAGAATCACTGTTGTGGCCCATGGCCGCGTACTCTGTGCGCCATGTCACCTCACATTCTTCATGAATTCCGCGAGACTCACCGTCATCGTCCTGGTCATCATTTTCGCCCTCGTCAGCTACAGGTTTATTGGACACAGTGATCCCCGGTGACCTCGACGAGCTCGCAGCATCTTGAACGATCGGGCTTGTCACAGGCGTCAAGCTCGAGGCCTCGGGTGCTGAGGCCGTTGCTTCTCTGGCATTGATATGTACGGCGTCGAGTTGACTGGTCAAATCATCGATGCAGCTATCGTCGAGGCGACACAAATGAACAAGTCGAGCCGAACGGACGAGCTGTAGTTCGCGGCTCGTCGACACCTTTAGATACCTATTACACGATGCGCATCAGTGATGAGCACACCGCCACGTGCCTGTCAGCCTACCGTGCTGGTCCCAGATGTGGCCCAACTGCCATGTGTCGGCCATTGCCGATGAATGTGTCGGTCTTGGACAGTCGAATACGTTCATCAACAATTCCCTGGAGCTGTGCGGCTACACCAGCTTGCAGCTTCCCGCCATATACCGCGAGGAGTCGAGGCATGAGCATCACGTCTTGCTCACAGTATTGGAGGATCTCGTCCGGCAGGGGTCTCTCGAGGAAGACCCCATACTTTCCCCCTGCCTCGGGTGCAAACAGACGCCGCCCCTTGGCTTTGGCGAGGGACCAGCCTGGGATGTGGGGTAGGTCTTTTTCAATGCACTTGGCCAGTCCATTGACGTATCTGCCTCTCCGATTCCTGGTGGCAAACTCGATGACCTGGAGATCGATGATGCCGGCGACGTTGACGCCAAAGTGGGCATGGAGGGCATCCGAGTCGTTGCGAATGTCGAAGAAGACTTTGAAGGTGTTTGGAGACTCCAGCACAGCTCGAAGGCTAGTTCCGTCTGCCGTGGTGAGGTCGAATGCCTTCGCTTCAAGCTGGTGAACATCGACAAGGTAGACGATCGGGCTGGGTGGCATCAACAACTGCATAATGGCGATCGTGCCTGAGCGACCGAGATCGACGCCCTCGAGGTCGATAAACATCAGCTGGTCCTGTTCTGCCCGCGTACGCTTTGTGATGAGAGTGAGCAGTGCGTGAAGCTTGACTTCGTTGTCGACGATAAAGGGCGCCATGGTGGATGAGCTCTACTTTGGGGAAAAGAGATGTCCCTGTACAGCTTCTATTCACAGATGCCTAGCTGTACTTTATACACCTCCACGGCGACGCTCGCTTGTCTTTCGAGTGATATGCCGTCCGCACGATGAGGTGCACTCCCGTCCTTGCTTTGGCCTTCGTCCTTGCACGTCCATAGGACAATCGGCGACGCGTCAGAACAGGTGTGGAACGCCAAAGGATGCTTATTGGTGTTTGGCGCATTCATCCTGTCTACAATTGGTCGAATGACAAACGGCCAAGCCACCAGCGGCCAGACTGCAGCGCACGAGTCTCGAGTGGGTGGATCGAGTCTATCTGGTACGATGCATGGTACAGTATAAGACTGCAGCGTGCTCCGATTCTGGCGCCATCGGATCCTGGTTCTCTTCATCACCTCTTCACTCCTTCAGAGGTGGTCATCCAGTGTTCTTCGCTCTTTGCTTTTGCTTGAAAGGACTGTCTTTCGGTATCTCGTGAGAATACCCCGACAGGCCATTACTGTCCGCCACCAGCTCCTAGGGTTACATTTCGCGGCCGTCGTCTCCAAGACTTATCCAGGAGACCGGTGCAAACCATCAACTTCATCTACATCCACCACGAACTGACAGCTTCGCACCGGGACACTGCATCGAGCCTTGGCAGCTAGATTTGCGTCGCAATCCTGTCGGAGCACCGCCCAGCAGCGTACTCCACGAGCAATCTGAACACAGTCCTCAAGCATTTCCTCTCCCGACCCTTGCGCCACTCGAAGACGATGACCTGTTCGCAGGGCCGCTTGATTCGTCCCATCAGCCAGCGCAAGACACTCCTTCCGCAACAGAATTTCAGCGTGATCCAAGCTTGATTTGTCCGTACTGCGAACGACCGGCACAGAGTCGGTCACAACTAGCGTGAGTGCTTTCACGTGGCATCAAGCACAAGCACAAGCACGAGGACTGACGTGTTCCAAGGAAACACCTGCTTGTCCACACGAAGCCGTTTCCGTGTCTTGAAGCTGACTGTCGAGGACAGCGCTTTGAGAGCCGACGTGATCTCCAGCGGCATCGAGACGCCTACCATCCGTCCGACAACGGCCCACCGCAGCGGTTCTGGTGTTCGGTAGCATCCTGTGAGCAGTCACGGCCACCCTTTTGTGGCTATTCACGCAAGGACGGACTGCAGCGTCACATGAAAAACAAACATGCCACGTAACGACTTCAGGGAGGTAGCGCTACTTAGTCATGGCAATCAAGCGGGCAAGGTCCATATCATCACTTTCATCCATTCTTGTTCCATCTTGCCTCTTGTCCAGTGAACTGCGTGATTGCACAACGTCCTCTTCTCTATCTTCCGCAAATAGTTTCGGGCGTAGGGTCGCCTTCCACCCCATTGTCACGTGAAGGCAGGAGGGGTGGGCGTTATCATGTTTCTAGTCTGATCCGATCGGACAACTGGAGCAGAGCCAACCGATACCCCTAACGGCAGATAGGGTGTCGATGCTAGGCGAAACTGGTCCTTCAAAGTAGAGGTTGGAAGCAGGCAGCGTTGCCGAATATCACGGTCGCCTCTGTTCGATGGATCAACCTCCTTTGATGGCAGCAACCATGAACACAAGAAGGAAGAGTGAGGTCGGCCGCATGCGTGCCTTTTCGTTCGGTAGAGACAAGATCAGCGCCTTTGGATCGTCTGCCCAATCGTCCATGGTGCTAAGCTGCGGCTTGGCTGCAGCGTGGTAGTGGCTTTCTGCAAGGCCTCCAATGCACGGCGCGCCACGTTTTGATCACTGGAAAGGCGCTCAACGCCTAGTATTTGCTGCCAGAAGTCAAATATATATTGAGCCCTGACGGAATAATGGCCCCAGGATTCTGTGAGAAGGTCGAATACGCAGGAGCAAACACAAATCTCATGAAGGTATCTCTGGTGGGCTGGCCAATAGATTAGTTTGATCTCGCACCGTTGAGTATAGAACCGAGATCTTGATCGAGGGGACTTTCTCGAACATCTTGTCCACGATCCTACAAGCCATGCCTGATCTGACGGACCGCGACCGGAAGTTCCAACTCTACTTCACCCTCCTGGCGCCCCAATACGCCCACTTGACCTCGAACACCACCTACGACCTCCTCCTGCAAGCCTTCAACGGGCCGCTCAAGCAACGACTCAGCGGCGTCCTCAGCTCGTCCGACTCGGTGACTGTGCACGACAATGCTTCGGGCCCAGGCACTGCCACCTCGGCGTTGCTCGACTTCTGCCACAGCGCCGACCTCCCAACGCCCACCGTCTACGCCACAGACTATACCGAAGCCATGATCGACGCGCTGCAGCGCCTGATCCCGGCTCGAGGCTGGACCAAGGTCGCCGCCCGCGTCGCCGACTCCCAATCCCTGGACTTTGGAGAGGCCACCTTCGACCTCGGCATCGTCAACTTCAGCATCGCCAACTTCAACGACGCCGCGTTGGCGATGCGGGAACTGCACCGGACGATCAAGCCCGGCGGGACAGCCATAGTCGCGAACTGGGAGACGTTCGGGTTCGCGACCGTGCTCAACACCGCGATGAACAAAGTCAGACCCGGCGCGGGCCCGCTACCCGCGGCGGGCCAGGAGTTCATGCAGGAGGACGTCCTCGTGCAGACGCTGGTCGGCGCCGGCTTCGAGCGCGACAAGGTCGCGGTCCACCTGACCGCGATCGTGGTGGGTGACGCCGAGAGGCTGGCCGGGATGACGGACTTCATGACCGGGCCGTATCTGGGCCCCGTGGCGGCGACGTTGTCCGAGGACGAGAAGAAGGAGTGGCCTGCCGCGGTGGCCAAGTCGATCGAGGAGGCCAAGGCCGCCGACGGTGGTGTGGTCTGTAAGGCATGGGTGCTTGCTGCATCGAAGTAGTAGAGTAGTAGCCGTGGAGATGAGGTTGGTGGTGAGGATGCACCCATATACTTCGAGGTGCAGAGTATAGGTCGCTACTTCATCAATCCATTTACTTGGCCTGTGTACTAGAAAAAGGGGATGGGTGTAGTGCTTCCACCGACATACACAGTAGGTACCAAGGCATGTAAACGGGTAAATAGGTAGTTTCCTGCCTAAGCAACTTCAAAGGAGGCAATAGGGGACGCAGCTGATACGCATTATTAGCTAGTGCCACTATAGCTGGTTAGCGTAAGTAGAAGAACGCCTAGTGGCCTTAGCAGAGCTATCAGCAGAAGCCATAATCCTCCCCTCTAAAATGTCTAGCGATTCTCTGCTTTCCGCCCATTAACAACGCGGTCACTCCGTCGACAACAGCTATTCAAGTCTCTCTCCAACAACGAACCCAAGCTCTAGAAACCACGCTGCCTGGCTCTGCTGACGTGACACGCCGCGCTACTGCAGAACAAAAAAAGACCTCAGGCCGCTCAGCTGCGACACGCCTCCAAGGCACCGGCATGGCTTGGTATTTCTTGGGTTCTCTTGGTGTCTGCAACTTCGACCGCCGTTGTCTTACCGCCACCCTCGGGCTGGGCAGGCTTGGGTCGAGAAAAGTGGCAGCTCTTGATTGACAGACGCAATGACAGGGACGGCAAGACACGCTGGGTGTCCGGGGTGATTTGATCTCGCGGCCTCAGACAAGGTCGGTTCTTGGTTTCTTTGATGTTGACTCCGGTCGCTGTTTTCGTCAGACTGGTCCCTCTGTCATAGAGGCTTGTGGTGGAGCAGCCCTCTTTTTTCTGCTTCTCGAGAGGGCCATGTCGCGGAAGACAGGCGTGCTGACACGCAGCGTGATTTCATTGCTTTGTCTGTCGGGTCTTGTCACAGGGGCACACGGGGAGGGAGACGTCAGATACAGGGCGAGTTTCGATCAGGAATACCAGCCTGGCGTTGTCGACATCGGCCTAGCGACCAACGAGAGCATGCTGCCAGATGCCTTCTCGCCCTGGTCATACAAGCCAGCGTGCACGGCCAAGCTCAGCCTGATCGGGAGCGAACTGTGCGTGTACACAGACCGATACTTCAGCAACGGCAGAGGCATCTCGATATTTACCACGCCGGAAATCGCAGGAGAATTTGCCGCCGTTCTGGCCTCCTTACAAGACCCACCTTTGTTAGATACGCTAGGTATCAACGGTTTCTCAGGCGCATGGTATACTCATCCAGTCCCCGGCAAGGGGATCGGCATGCTCGCCAAACACGACCTTCGCCGTGGCGACACAATCACGGCGTATACTCCCGTCCTACTCGCGTACAAGGAAGCCATCCTCCCGAAGGACCAGCGCGAGACGTTTCTCCAGCTGGCAATCGCCCAGCTACCCGCCCCGTCGCGCGAGGCGTACCTGAAGCTGGCCACCATCTCGGACGACCCGGGCATCCTGGCGCAGGACATCGCCGGCGCGAACTCGTTTGAGATGCGACTCGGCAAGGGGAAGGCAGATGCTCCCAGCTCGGAGGCGGCGGCTGCCCACCTGGCCATCATCCCCGAGGCGTCGCGGATGAACCACGACTGCGCGCCCAACGCCATCTTCCACACCAACGCCTCGACACTGGCCCACGTCGTACGCGCGACGCGCCCCATCCGCAAGGACGAGGAAATCACCATCGCGTACACCAACCCGCTCGAGCCTCGCGCCGTGCGGCAGAAATACCTATCCGACGCCTTCCATTTCACATGCGCCTGCTCGCGGTGCCTCAGGGGCGGCAGAGACACCGGTGCCACCGCAGACGCAGACGCAGACGCCGACACAGTCCTGTCCGAGATCGCCGCCCTCCAAGACGCGCTGGCAAGGGGGTGGTCCGACCCCGCCTCCGCCGCGGGGGTCACGCACGCCGAGCGCCTCGTCCGGCTGCTCCGCGCCGAGGGCCTGGACGGCTACCTCGACCCGGCGTACTGCTACGCGGCGCTGGTGTACAGCGCCGCCGGCAGCGGGCGGGGCGCGCGCAAGTACCTCGCGCTGGCGGTCGAGGCGATCGAGCTCCGGCTGGGCGAGGGCGCGCCCGACCTGCCGGCCTGGAGGGCCATGTTGGACGATCCGGCCCGGCATTGGAGCTGGATGGTCCGGAAGAAGAGAAAGGCGAGGGACGGACGGGGACGGGAAGGGTGAGCGGGATGCCGCTGGATGAAAGACTGAATCAATCAATCAATGACTGAGAAAATGACCTGGCTTTTGGTGGCCGTGAGGTATGACAGTTCCAGTATATTATAGCAAACCCCGAGCAAGTTTGAAAGTGGCTGAGCACACGAAACGAGCAGAAGCGGACGCGGGCGAACGCTCTGTCGTCAGGGCATCCTGATTTCAAGGGTGACTAGAGGCGGTCGTTCGTTGGCCTCGGGGCAAAGAGGTAGACACCAGACGTTATCATGTAGTTTCGTCTCATTGCATTTTCATTCCGGCCATGTCTCGTCCCAGACTGGCCAGCGGTACCCGGCAGGGCACCATCGAGATATACTAAACCAAAAAAAAAAAGGAATAATATAGAAAGTTGACAACGACCAAGTCAAGACCAAACATATTCCCACTTGCTCAAGACCCGAGCCCTACTTGTTGTCGTGTGCGATATCAAGACCCTTCAACGCTCCCAAGCACCTCAAACGCCTCGCGTTCCCTTCCTTGCATTGCACACTCTAGCAACCCTTCCTCGACGCGCCCTTGACGCCCTTCCCGACGCGGTGCAAAAACGTCCACGCAGCCCGGTCGTCCTCGAACGCGATGTAGCCGTCAAACGCCTTGGCGGGGGTATTCTTGAGGATCTTGGTGACGACCTCCTCGACGGCCAGCACGTCGGCGATGGAGACGGCGGGGAGCATGCACCCCTCAGCACCGTCTGCATCCCTGTCCCTGTCGCAGTCGCCGTCGCCATCGTAGTCGTCGCAGACCACGCGCATCTCAATCTCCGGCGGCACGGGAAGGATGCGGATCCCGCTGCCGGCGGCGCGCGGCAGGCGCATCAGCTCGCACACCTTGGGGCACAGGATGTTGGACTGCGGGACCAGGAAGACGAGCATCGTTTGCGGCGTCAGCAGCAGCGACGAGATAGTCGTGTAGGTCTGCGGGTAGATGATCGAGGCCACCGTCGGGCAGGAGAGGAGGTAGGTTCGCAGTTCTGGATTGCTGGTGCTACTGCGTGTTTGATGCTTGCTGGCGCTTTTGTGGCTTTTGCTGCTGTGGTGGTGGTGGTGGTGATGATGCTGCTGCGATCGTGACTTCGTGATGCTGGTCGTCGAGTATTGGCGATCGTCTGATGGGTCTGCTTGCAGTCCACACACGGCAGTCTCTGCAGTGGCACCGCTGGTGACCTGGCGCTCTTGGTGTTTTGATTTGTGCTCGCCGCGTGCTTTGCGCGAGGTCGACTTCGATTCCGCGGTGAAGCAGCAGTTCTTGACCGGTGGCAGGGAGCATTTCCCCGTCGGGTAGGCAAAGTCCCAGCACGAAACGCCTAGTGCTTCCATCTGCGACTCCAAATCGGAGACGGTCAGTGTCGTCACCGATGAGGTCTGTTTCGACACCATCTCGGTTTGCTCATTCGTCGACGAGGCTTTCCCTATGCTCAAGCTGGATTGTCTGAAGACTTGTGTGCTGAAATGCATCTAGAACAAATTCCGACGGAGGAACGGTGCTCCCGCTCAGGTTATGCTCGTATAAAGGCGCGAAGGGGGCCGCTGCGTCGCGTGATGGCTTGGTAGGCGTGGTGGCACTGGACTCTGCCTACAAATCAAAGATATAAGACCTCCTGACCGAACAGCCTCGTCTTACTGAACAGGCAAGTCTGCTTGTCGCTCACGCCTCACTGGCAGGTGATCAAGGGAGGGAAGGCGTGGGTGATAACTAATTCTGATAGTGAGCGTATATTCGAGAGGGTCAAATCGGTCCTCAAATCCTTTCAGACATGGAAGGAAGATATGGTGCACTTCATGGCTATGCGGATGCGGGGCGCGAGGGAGATATAGTGCAGCACGATAGCTTTCCGCTCCCTACCCAAGGGAGGAAAGTCAGAAGTTCTCAAGCCAGATCAGGACCGCGGCACCGGGGAGCCATATACAAAAGACGTCCTACCCTAGGTCGCATGACTCCTGAACCATTCCAAGGGCGCCGAGGGTTGCACTCAGGTCCTCCCTGTCCTCCTTAGGCGACCCTGACCTGAGTAAGAGGGGCGTCAGGATTAGCAAATCATCCTCCATCATTTGGCTTTTCCAACCTGTGAGCGATTTTTGTCGGTCAATGTCCCTTGCATTTCTGGAAGGCCGATAGAAAGGGGGACCGGGGCTGGGAGAGCCGGCGAGAGGTCCGGGATCAGCTCCAGCAGCATGGTTTAAATGCAATATCAATCAACACCAGAACAAAACAGCGCGTACCCCGCAGCCGGTTAGCCGTTTGACGTAGGGGCCGCTTCAGCTGCTATACGAATAGGCTGATGGTGCCGAAGTCGCGAGGCCGAGCTGGTGCCAGCTGGCGGCGGCGGCTGCGGCTGATGTTTCATGGATATTCTCCGATCAAGCCACTTAGGTCAGGCCAGAGCTGGGGGATGAGGTGAGCGTGATAGGGCGCCCCAGAAAAGCTGACCCAGTATTCTCCAGATGGACGATTCATCGAGGGCAAGACCTATTTGGGCAACCGTATCAGAGAGCCAAAAGTGCAAAAGGGATGACAGCTGGTATATCGAGGTATTCAAGCTGCTGGTGGTAAAAAGGAGAATATCCCTCAAACGTCTTGACTGGTGGCTTGCGGGAGCCGTGGCGCCCACCTTCCGAGATCGACAGGTGCATCCAGAAGGCGACTTTTCCGTCCGCAAGGGGCTTGCCGGCCATTTCTCGGCCTTGCACCAGTCTTGCTCCAACTAGCGAGACCGACTGAGGATGGATTTCGATGCGAGCATGGACCCCTTGGGCCAGGAAGATCCATTTTGGCTCGTCTAGAGCCGTACTCCGTGTGGAAATTTTCCATTGTTGGGAAATATCTCACCCTGCTCTTGCGAGGCAAAGGTAGAAGAAGCAATATATACTATAAGAATTTGTATGTGCAAAGTGTCCTGTTCCAGAGAGGTGGCGGAGAGCAGGAGAAGGAGCTCTAGCAAGGGCACGTCTAGCTCCATCGCCGGCATGGAGCACGCTTCTGCTCGCATCATGTCCATCGATGTGGGGAATTCCGGTGAGCTCCTCCCGTTGTTCAATCCGTAGGCAACGTAACCTTGAAGACCAAAACTTGATTGTCAAGATTGAACCCACCCTCATCGGTGTACGGCAATAGCCCGCCGTTCATGTACCCATTCTGCGTGATGAAATCGTTGTCACTCAAGCTGAAGATGAAATATTCGCCGTCAGCCTTGGTATAGCCGTCCTTGCAGGTAGGAGCGGAAGGATTGACAGGGACTACGGCTATCGACTCCCATTTTTCATTCAGAAGACTGGCATCTTGTGCCCCACCATTGTGAAGCCCGAAGCGATTGAGCTGAGAGTTGACATTGTAGTCGAGCCACGAGCAATAGGTGGCAGGAATGATCGCCGAGGCGAGAACACCGCTCACAGAAGCCGCAGAGCAAGTTGTGCAGTCGTAGGTGTTTCCCGCTAGATTGGTGGCTTTGGAGATGTCGAAGACATCAATGTGGCGGTATCGTGACAGTGAATTGGATTGACCATGGCCGCGGCTGGAGTCACGCGCAAGAACCAGGAATTGTGTCGGACTGATGTAGTGGATCTCCGATTGGGCGGCAACCAGAGTATTGTTGCTGAAGACCGGCAGTGGAACCATGTACTCTGCCTTGTAGATTGGCGCGGAGGGATCACTGACATCGTATTCAAGCAGACGACTAAGGCGACGTGTTGAGGAGTTGTCGCCGCCCTCTTGAGCCAAAGCCGACTGCATCAGTGCATAGAGAGTTTTCTTATCGGGCGAAGAGGTTAGACCTTCGAGACCTTGATTGTTCGACCGCCCGGTATCAGGGGTAGCGGGGATTGTCTCAAAGTCAGGGTCATAACGAGGTGGGCTATCAGCGTTGAAAGACTCGGTGCCGTTTCTCTCAGGAATGATTGCAGAAGGGGGTTTGATAGCTCCTGTCATTTTACCGCTATGGTCGAAATGATAGATGTATGGTCCGTATTCATCGGAAATCCAGAAGCCGTCAGGACTGAGAACAAGACCTTCGGTGTCTCCACACACACGGTGGCCCCCGGTACCATTACCGCCGAAGCCGTCGCCCGTGTATGTCGCAGATGGAAGATCGGGAAGGCCAGGGAAGGTAAGGTAAGGCGGTTTGAGATCGGCATCAAGCCCCGTCATTGGAGTCCCGGCAGGGTCTGTGAAACGGATGGTGTCGAGATATTGCAGGTGAACGTTTGGCGAACTTGGGTCCGCGGCTGTGGAGTTGTAGTTGGGCTCGAAGGTGACCTGGAACTTGTGGACTCGAGGTTGATAGTTCAATGTGCCTTCCGTGTTCCACCCACGGTCGGGCAGAGTCCAGAGAATGCCAGTATACACTCCGTTGCTGTCGACTTTCCATGAGTGTTGGTCGATGGCGGCGCTACTGCCGATCCCTCCTGCAGTATCGCCAAACTTGTCGCGCGAATCTGACGGTGTGAATCCATACCCAGCGAGAGCCTGATAGACGTACGTCTGGCCATTGCAGGTGGTCGAGTTCACAGCCGCGCCAGCTCGACGAGTGGGAGACGCCAATGCAAAGCTGGCAACGAGCGTGGAGATAAGCAGTGCCTTCATAGCCATTATGATTGGTCGTACCAGGGGTGGCGAGCTATTACCGGGGGTGTTATTGGTCGTCTGAGCGGAAAAGGGGGAGAGTTCCTGTACAGTAAGCTCAGCCAAACGAACGACGTGGCAAACCTGGATGCTCTGCAGATGCAAGATGCAAATGGAGGAACGATTGACATGACAGAGTTGCTGAAGAAGAACTTGAACGGCCTTTTAACAGCAGCAGCAACTGTTGGCCATGAGAGGACAGCTCCGAAACAAGCTGCACGTGTGCAGATGAACCTGCTTGATTCGTGCGAGCATAGCGACCTGCCAAAAGAAAAGCGTGCAGATCCAAGTGGGAAACGGCGATACTACCAGCCAAGCGAGCACCAAACGGAAGATACATCTGAGAAGTCGTGGCAGGTCAGAAGCATGCCGTGGTAGCGTAGCCATTGCATCTCATTTAGATTCTACAGCTGATGGGCGAGTGTCTTGGAGGAAAATATACAAGAGCTGAGAGAAGCGCTGGAGCCACTCAGTGGATGCAGTATTTGCCGGGCAGAAGGTAAGCCGAGGGAAAGCATCACTTATGAAGAAGCTAGCTGTATAGAGGTTAGGACTTCGTTAACTGAAGACAGTTCGCAAAACATACTCAAAGCGGATGTAGCCACGAACTAATCCTGCTATTCCTCCATGTACTAATCGCACAGGTGGTTGACCGCACCCTTATTCCTCCTTCCGTTGGACAGAGAGCACTCACTGACAAGCCTTCGGGGTATCCTTCAAATTCACCCTAATCCGGATAGAGAATAGGAATGCACTGTTGTTGGTTGGGCCAGCATGGTCTGTCCAGCAAAGGTGGCCGTAGATTCAAGTCGGGGCAGGACATGATGACAGTGGCGCATGTTTAAACGCCTTACAGGTGGTCATCGAGTGCAATGTGCTTGGCTCGACAGAGCATGGGGATTTGTGGGAAGCAGTGTGGGCCGAGGGAACTCACAATGTCATCCTGTTGTCTACCTAGGTAAGACATGGTTTGTTCAACAGGCAGATGGCGCACCCCGCCGTGGGATAAAAGTACTAGTTGAGTTCCTCGTGCTAGGTCAAGAGATTGGTCGAGATCGGATCGACATGACAAGCAATGCCCGCGTGGCAACTGTGGCCGTGCTGGACTTTGGCCTTTGGGTAGAAGAGCATAAAGAGGCGTTGATGGGGGAAGTGAAGGAAAGCAGCTGAAGCGTGGGTCTTGCCAAGGCCACTGCTCCAGGAACCGTCACGTGGATTGTCATTCATTGGCTGCTGATTGGCCTTGAGACGTCATTGGCGTCGCGAGCATCTCTACGTGACGTAGTTGCATATGCTTTCTCGATCTTGGGAGCAGCAGTGCAGATCGAGGGGGTGGCAGCTGATCATCGCTGTTCCCCTCGCCGAGAGCCTCTTGTCGTCTATATAAACACTGGCAATCCCCAGAGTTTGGAACTTGATTTCCTTCTCTTCAGCAACACCCTCACAGTCAAGAGAAATACAGTGCAAATCAAACCCACAACAAAACCTCATCACCACAACACCAGTTGTTCCCCACCGCAATGGATACCATCAAGTACGTGGGCCTCTATCCAGTCTGGACCTTGCAGTCACACTAACACGTTGTCTTTCAGGAACACCGTTGACTACGTCAAGGAGTCCATCTCCGGCGCCGGCGCCACTGCCTCCAAGGAGGCCAACAAGAATGTCGCCAAAGACAGCAATGCCGACATCACCACTCGTGCTCAGGCAGCCGGCGATGCCCTCTCAGACAAGCTTGATGAGCAGAAACACGACCGCAAGGCCGATGTCCACAAGGAGGCCGCCAAGCACTAGATTCTCGCAGACAAGAGAGCATGATGAGATACGAATCAATTGGAGCTAGGAGGAAAGCACAAGCGGACGTCGAGATACCCCAACAGGCCTCGAACCGAGGCATGAAATGGTCAACCACTTAGCATCCTCAAATAGTTTGAATGGACAATATGTTAACACAAGATCTGAAGCCTCTTTCTGTCGTACTGTGTAAGATCATAGGCAGTTCCCCCCACAATACCTAGTCTTGAAGGGATGTTCTCATTTTCCAATAGATGAAAGAGTCTTCTGCGAATTGGTTACAACGCAGAGGCATTGCCATGGCCCTCGAGCGCAGCTGCTGTCAACGTCCTCATCCGTTCGCGCTCCAAGGGATGGATGCTTTCAAGCGCAGTATCAACGTCCCTAGCCCGATTCTCCATCGCCGCTGTCGTACCACTTTCCGACAAGTAGCTTGGTGGACGATATCCGACGGTCTGATGTACTTCGTTCAATGCCTCTTCGTACGTGGGCGTCAGAGGCGTAGGCGGTACTTGTACCTCCTTCCAGTGGACTAAATCCGGATTCAATCTCTGCCAAATCGTGTTAATTCCCTGTGTCATTCACTCTTTTCGGATACTCACCATGCTTGTTCGAGTGTTACCGTAGACGGGTGGGGGGATTCGAATTGCTGCGTGATCTTCCACATCTGGGCCGAAGCCAGTGTCCGTAGCCATGTGTATCTCGATGGGCTTTTCAAGAACCAAGTCATCAATTTGCTCATTTTGTCTCCCTCTTCCGTCGCGGTGGCCTCGAGCTTCTCCTGCCACACGCCGGCGTCGTGTTCCGCGGGTTGTCCGGTGTCTTGGCCTTCTCGGTCGTCGCATGAGCATGAACATGCGAATAAGTTGGTGGATGAAGACCCCAGTCAAGGTCAGGATCAGGAGGATCGAGAGGACATGGAACATTGTATTTCTACCCACGCCCGTGGTCGCGAGGACCAAATCTAGATGTGTCAGTCATGTCCGCGAAGCTTGCTGGTGGGCTAACTCACAAACCACTACCGCAACCAACAAGGTGACGCCAAATGCGAAGCTGATTCTGGCCTTGGCGTTGACATCTGGGTCACGATATGATTTCTTGGAGAAGATGCCGTATTTCCTATTGCTTCGTTTTGACGAATGGCTGCTGCCGCCGCTAGTACTGCTGCCGTTTCGGTACGACTGCATGGCTTGACGTTCCGAAGGGGTAGGGTCATCGTCCATATTTCGTGCAAGTGGGATTGGGTGGATTGATTCAGCGACAGACGGCGGGTGACGCAGACTACCTGCGTACATGTCTGACTGCTCATCCTCGTCATCTCGCCGTACTGACAGTGGAGGGACTTCCTCAACCCTGGGAGGCGAATCTTCAATGACTGAACGTGTGGAGGTTCTGGACCTTGTGCTGGCAGGCAATGCGCCGCGAGCGAACGTGTCGTTTCGGGCTGAGCGGCGGGACGGAGCCAGGAACAGGGGCACCACGAAAGTCTTTCCGGCAGAGTTCGGTGAAGTAGCAGCACTGCTAGAGATCAGGTTTGACCTCCACAGACGCGACATGCCTCCCCCAGCGCCCGTCCGCAGCTCTGTCACTCCTGGACCGAGTATCTGTTCGGGGTGCAGACCGTGTCTCTCTTCCATTGCTGTAGACGTTATGCTTCTGTCTCGTTATTCTTTTTTCTGGAAGCTTGATGCAGGTTACCCTTTGAGGACAGGACGAGGAAAGGTCGACATGAGAGGCAGTGATGGAGGAGGAGAAATACAACCACCTTTACCGTGATGGAATACAGGGTGACAAAAAGGGAAGCAGCACAACATCAGAGTGAATACACGTGCCGCGTCCGGGCTCGAGTATCAGAAACAGGACCATCCTTTTGACCAGTGGTTGCCACAAGAGAATGGCCATCTTGGGCGATGTTCTTTCTTGCAATGGTGCAAGGAGCGAAGAATTGGCGGCGGAATGTTGTTCTCGTCGACGAGGGTGAAACATTGAAACCCTTTGGACCGCTAGAGACAGACGGTTTGACAGGCTGTCATTTTCTGTCCGCAATGAGCAGGAGACCAGTCACACATACGGCGGACTGGTCGACCACGATGGTGCCAGAGGAGCAGGAGGGGAAAGCAGGTCGACAGGATGGTTCGAAAGAGGACGCGTTCTGAAACACCATGTGGTCGTGTCGTGGAAAGGAAGAAAGACCCAGCAGAGGCGCACCAGGCCACCAGGCCCCCCGGGGGCCACCCAAAGTCCCACTCTACAAGTAGGTCAGTGGGCACTGGGCACGAGCTCCGGGGGTCCCTTGATCCAGTCTTCGGGGGGTTCGTCCACTGCCACCTTGGGTTCCCCTCACCTCCCACCAGTCCCTGGCTCTTTGGGCTCCCTATGTACCGTGTAGCCGGCACCTAGACCAATGCGCTCAGGGGCCACTACAGGGAGGCTGGCCCCTAAAATCTGCACGGCCTCCCCGAAGCCGCGAGAAATGGGCAGATCCCCCCACAACTCGCGTTATGACGTTGGCGACTCTCGCGAAAAGATCCCAATCCTTCGCCAACCACGGCCATCACCACCTCCAGCTAATGTGGCACAAGAAGCTTTTCACTTGCATCGGCTCGCTTGTGCCGAGCTGCAATGCTCAATGGACGACCAACCACCAGACTAGACTGATGAGGAAATCTCCGCGATCTCACGAGGTGAGGGTCGCTGTATAGGGCCTAGATTGGAGTATTCCTCGAGAGAGACACTGCCTCACATTTCAACTTCAGGTGCTCCTCGTGCAGTTCTCCTGATAGACAACATCCAGCAGTCTCCTCTCTCCACTATTCGAAAGGGTATATAATGATGAGCAGCATGCGGTCCTCAAGTCCTCGCATATCATTCAGAACTCTCCCATCAATTGCGAAGCGATCAATCCTTCAACCTAATCCGCACAGGAACTCGACCTAGATACTTTCGCAAGTCTGTGAAGGAAGTCTCAACATGTTCCCCATCAAACTTCTCGCGAAAGGCGTGACCGGCGCCTATGGCCTTGCACGTGAGGCCATGGCCGATCACGACGCCAAAAAGACCACGACGGCTCAGACTCATCTACAAGTCCCCTCCCCAGCCAAGGAAGAAGCCGACCTTTCAGACACCTCATCAGTCGAGTCGTCCGACGGCGAGGAAGCAGCACAAGAACTCGACGAAGTTCAGCAGTCAATTGCGCCGAAATCCAAAGAGGTCATTCAACTTGACGATGCTCGCAACGTCGACCAAGTGATAGACGCCTTCATGAAGATACACCCACCCCCCGAATATTCGCCAGTTGCCGGGAAACTCGATATGCCTGTTATCCTGCCTCAGCGTCGGCCGAAGAACAAAGAACGAGGCTTCGTTCGCGCCTATGCGCCTATGCTTCAGACTTGCGGGGTCGAGCAGGACGAGTTTGTCGACTTCCTAGATGGATTTGGAAAAGCGATTCAGGTATGGCCTCCTTTCCTCGGCACTAATGCTGTGACCATGTATACTGACTTTCGTGGTCGTTCAGCTGCATCCACTTTTTCATGCTTTCAACCTGGCTTGCGCCGGAGCAGTCATCGCTAGCGACATCGCAGTTGGCCCCATGTTTTTTGTCCACGTCGGTGCCATGGTTGTCCACACGAGCGTGGAGCTGTCACGTAGACAATATGTGAAATATCAGTCTAACAAATATCTTGACAACATGAACGAGACCTTTTTCAAGCCCCGAGGCCTCTATGCCTTGGTTATGGCATACAAACCCGAGTCCGACGATCTGGTCCAGAATGTCAACATGAATACCAATGTGGTAACCTCGATCGCAACTCGGGATTCGGGCCGTGGAGGTCGGTTCGCTAACGCGGCAGGTTCTTCGAGAGAAATCGAGATACCCGAGTCCGCCCCTCTCATCTTCCCAGAGCTGGACGCTTTGCCGGAGAGCGAGAAAGAGAATGCATTCAAGCGCAGCGGCAAGAGACTTGGTGACTATTTCGACCGCCGGGCCCAAGCCAAGTTCGAGAAGGCGAATCCGGGATCCAAACTGAACGTGTATCAGGAAAGACAATTTGCGTCGCGCTTCAGTGATCCCAACCATCCCGCCAACAGCGGCAGCTTGATAGCCTTGCTGAGCGGTGGGAAAATCGACACGACTGAAGCGGATCGAATGAAGGCTGAGAGACGGGCACGCAAACGCAACTTCAAAGATGCAAGACGTGTTTCGAGGGGCCGCGAGCCGCGCTACGATGCCAGTGGTCTGACCAAGAGAGCTCCGCAAGGGGGGATCAAAGGCTTGATGAGGTCGGATGTGTTGTATCTCATGATCGTAAATTATCCCAGCGAGGTGGAGTTGAAGGAAGCGGCTCAAGCCATGGCCAACCTACAGCTGTAATGGAGGTCAGGTTGACGCCAAGGAGTTTCCGAAAAGGATCTCTGTGTTCTGTGAGATGTGTAATTAACGGAGTTTTGTAATCTTTGCTCTATACGCAACCATGAGCCTTTTTTTATTAGATGAGCTCTGTTCTTTTCTTCTCCAAATATAAGCAGAAGGCGCTGGAATCGCGCGCGTGGCGCCATTGTATGAAAGTAATTATTTGAGAATATTTCAAAGGCGGCGCCGGCCCCTTGACGAAGGGCTCCTGATATCGTGGCCGAGCTCGATTTGTCGTCCCTTGCAAAGACCAGGACATAAGGATGAATGACTTGGGTTAGTGTCCTGGCAATCTCGGGACAATTTGCATTTTGAAGTTGCCGACAAGAACACAAAGGATTCTTGGGCGTCTCCATGCGGAAGCGAACACCTGTACCAGCAGCGATGCCACGATAGTATGCACTTTTCGCTAGGGTCCATTTCCCAAACGTCACAAATGCACGTGGGCAGTGACTGCTCAAGTTTGAGAGGGATTGGACGTTAGGTATAGCTCTTTGGCGTTCATGGCGCTATGGCAGGGGTTTCAGAATTGGTATTGTAATCGAGAAACCCCAAACCTACAACAGAAGGACGATTGCTTATGCGGATGAGACGGTGCTAGGAGGCATCTCTGTTCGACGATGCTGCCAAGTCTTCATCTTCCTAACTCACCGAGAATGAGGTTGCGATCGGTCGAGCCGGAAACAACTAAAAGGGTCAGCAAAGCCGGGGTATCAGGTCGTAGTTACTCACTGATTGGTTCTTCGGTAGGCGAGAAACGGACGTCGTTGACCGTTCCTTTGTGCCCGGGGAGTTTATAAAGTAATTTTGCGGATGCAGTGTCCCAGATCACTACCGTCCGATCGCCTGCCCCAGCGCAGATCTTGTCGCCTTGGGGATTCCAGCTGGCCCGTATCAGGTTCTTTTCAAAGCCTGAAGGAGCGCCATCATATGTCTGTACAGCCCGATCGACTGGGGCGAATGGCCTAATATCCCAAGTCCGCACAGTGGAGTCATGGGAATTCGATAGTAATGTTTGCGAGTCAGGTGATACTTCCAACGAGGTGATAGTGTCTTGATGGCCACTCAGGGTGTAGGTGACCTCCATTTTGCGAGCATCCCAGACCTTGATATCGTTGTCAATACCTCCCGAGTAGATCTCATGGCCCTGCTCTGCCATGGCCACTGCTGTAATGGGGAAATCGGTTTCGATGTAATCGACTGCCGCTTTCTGGCGAGGATCCCAAATCCCGATGCAGCCGTCATCGCTGCCACTGAGTAGGAGGTCTTGACCACGTCTACTCAAGTCCAGGCAGTTTATAACCTCCTCGTGACCGACGTGTTTGCGCATCCTCAAACCCGTTTCGAGGTCCCAGCTCGCAATAGTCATGTCGGCGGAAGCGGAGTAAATCGTTCTTGAATCGCGGGACCATTGCAGATCTAACACGGCACCCTTGTGGCCAGTCATAATTCCGTAATTTTCACAATGTCCATATGTATTCCAAAGCATTATTGACCGGTCCATGGACCCAGAGGCGATGTGTTGACCAGTGGGATCAAATCTTGTTGCGAAAACCTCCCCCGAGTGGCCCGTCAGTTCCATGATGGGAGCGGCTAGCCCGCTGGTGCGAAGGGCCTGTCGTAAGGTTGTTAGCATATCGACTCATCGTGTCTAACTTTGAAACATACAGAGGGCACGAGAGTGCCATTTTGATCTTTTGCGCCAACAGTCAGGGCCTTGTTGTCGTTCAGATCTGAACTAGACTTCTGTCTCTTTACCAATGCTTGCGGTTGGCTGAAGCTGTCAGAAGCTTGTCGCTTTATCGACGGCATCATGATGAACAGGCCAGTAGGGATGTAGACAACGGTGAGAGACCAGCAGAAGACACAATGATCTATGAAATGTAAACTTGCAGTCACTGCAGTTCCGTGAAGTGGCAGAACACCAAACAAAAAGTTCCCAGACTTTTTGGGCCGGCAGCCGGAGTATCAGTTTATCCGGAACACAAAACCTTGGCGTGCAGGGTGGCCTTTGCCAACTCCCGAACTCAGCCATATATCAACGCGACTGATATTAACTGACGGATCTCTAATATCTCGGTAAACGTTCTTTCGATGCAAAGCCGAGCTGTGGTGGAATGCCCAGTCGTCGGTAGACTACGAATCCTGGTTTGAATGGCATCGAGCCAGAAAGCCGCCCGCGTGGGCGAAGAGTAAGCGGTTATCAGAACATTTTGTAGTCCGTCTACTGACCGTGGTTTCTCCAGGATCTGGAAGTGAGTATTCTTCCAGGGTCAATAGCGAGCAGGTCTTATAATTCTCAGGACACGCGTGGACAAGGTCAACGCTGAGCTTGTCACCCTCACATATGGAACCATCGTTGCTCAGCTGTGCACGGACTACGACTATGATTACACCCAGGTCAACCAGCAATTGGACAAAATGGGGTATAACATCGGCATGCGACTCATTGAGGATTTCCTTGCAAGGTCCAATACTGGCCGCTGCGGGAATTTCAGGGACACAGCGGAGATGATCTCCAAGGTACGGCGCTTTGGTTCGGCATCGCGGAATAGCCTTCTGACTTTAAGAAAGGTTGGCTTCAAGATCTTTCTGAACATTACGCCTACCGTCACGAACTGGACTGCCGATAACAAACAATTCTCATTGCTGTTCGATGAAAACCCTTTGGCAGACTTTGTGGAGCTCCCTGACGACGGGCGGGCTCAAGATGAGTTGTGGTTCTCCAACATCCTCTGTGGCGTTCTACGTGGTGCATTGGAAATGGTATCAGCCAGCATGATGCGGGCCTCGGAGCGCTGTTCTAACAGGACTATAGGTCCAAATGTCCATCGAGGCACGTTTTGTCAGTGATATGCTTCGAGGCAACGACGTGACGGAAATGCGGGTCACCCTGATCCGGTACATCGAGGACGAGATGCCTCCTGACGACGAATAGGTAGACCCGACTTCTTCTACGGAGCCAACATCTCTGCAAACAAAGCTCGAGGGGATTGTATGATCCTAGCAGACCGAGCCGTTTCCGCACCCACTGGCTCGGAGGTCACGTGGACAAGCCCCTTTTCTCCAAGATGGGGGAACCGCTATCTGGCTATCTACTTTATGATAGTCGGGAAAGGATTCACTATTACCCCTGAGGCAGTTTCAGCAGTGCATTGAGGGCCAGGGGTTGCTGCTGGGAAGATACTGAGCGGATGCAGCGATCAAATGGATCGAAGCGGCAAATATGACCTGTACTGTTGCCCGGTTGACGGCCTCCAGCCGGGCGTGGAATTTTTTGAAATGTTTGCTGCTTAGAATGCCGTCGAGGTGGAAGAAAGCGGTCGAGGTGAGGTTGTGGTGCAAGGCCAAGCACCCCACCATTGGTAGCCCCATTTTGGGCAAGGCGTGCTGCAATCTTCGCAGGACGTGTCTGTAGGGCTGACCCAGAACGCTCTCTGAGTGGCCAGGACGTGGTCAGAGTCAGAAACCATAGGCGGCCTTTTTGCCTCCAAGTGCCGTGTCCGCCTCTCGCTGCTCGCCCCCTACCCTCTCGATCTTCTCGCCTGCGCCCTGGCAGCAGCTCAGCAATCACCAGCCCGTTCTCCAATTTACTTGGGTTCTGCAGCGCGCAGCCTAGCCCACCCACCGCCGAAACCTCAGCCGGCACCGAGCACTGAGCACTCTCTATACCAAAAAACCAACCTCATCTTTCTCGTTGCCTTTTCGCCTCGCCCACATCCACCACTACCACCTACCAAAGCACCCAGTTACTATCACCTTCCTAATTTCCCATCAGGTCACCTTTTACTTCTCACCTTTTACCCTTCCCTCATCTCTCCTGATCGATCAGGACCGCTATCGGCTTGCTACAGCACCTAGATTACCACATTTCTTACTCCCCTGCAGCCCCAAACTTGCTTGCGCTCCCAGGTTTCTTAGCCACCGCATCCCATAATTTGTGGCGGTCGCGTTTCGTCTGAGGCTCCCGCTCCTCGACCTCTGTCTATCGCAGCCACTACATCCTTCGATTATCGCCAGCCAACTTCGCACCTTCGCCCGATCCTCCCCTGCAGAAAATGAGGCTTTTCTCTGTTCTCTGAAGTCGCCGTCGGTTTGCGCGACCGACTCTCTCCGCACGCCCATTGCGAACAACTCGAACAATCACCTTGCGACCCACACCGTCCTGACACACTCCCACGACTGAGGTTCTTTCCTCTTCCACGCGCCTTCACTCTCGTCCTTCGAGCCCTACCCGCTTCCTTGATACACCCGAATGTCGATGGCTACCATGAATATGGCTGGCATGAATCCTGCCGCCATGGTGCCAGGCGGCCCAGTTGGTGGTGGAATGATCATGATGAACAATGGCAGCCCTGCTACACAAGTCAACATGGCCAGCTCTCCAGAGCAGCTGAAGGCTCAATTAAACACCTACATCTACGAGTATTTCCTCAAGCTCGGCCACTATGACCTTGCCCGAAGCCTCCTGCGTGAGGAAAAATTCGAAGTCCGTACGAAGCCGCCGGTCAAGCAAAGCCCCGGCAGACGCAAAGATACTGAAGTGAATGGTGTTGATGGAGATGCCATGGACACTGATGTCAAAGACGATATTCCCGACGACCTTCCTCGCCCTATGCATGTCACCGACGCTAATACACCCGGCATCGGCTTTCTGTTCGAATGGTTTAGCATCTTCTCCGACCTCTTCACCGCGCATCGTTCAAGCAAAATGCAGGGTGGCCAGGGCGGGAATATGGGACCCGCCGCTCAATATTTGATGCAACATCAGGTACGCTGCTGTTGGCAGCCTGTTCGTAATAGTTGACTGACTCTGTCCTGCAGAATATGCAACGCATGAGGGAAAACCAGCAAAATCAGAATCTCGCTCGACCTGGCATGATGGCCGCAAACCGATTCGCCATGCAGGCTAATCTCCGCAACAACGTCGTGAATGGAAACAACATGGCTAGCAAGTAGTGAGTGCCACAACCTTTCGATTATTTTTCCTGGCCCCCAAAGTCGCTGACATGCATTGCCCAGTACTCCCCAACAAATTCAGCAGCAATTCAAACAGGCGCAGATGCTTCAGCAGCAACAGCAGCAACAGATGCAGCGAGAACAGGGCGACGTAGACATGAACGGTCGCGCCTCGTCGCCGGCGGAGGGCGAGAATGGTGGGTCGCCGTCCAAGAGACCACGACTCGAAGGTCAACAGTTCAACGGTGGCATGATGCCTAATGTGCGGCCAGGAATGCCCAACGTCACACCTCAAAACATGATGATCCAGACTGCTTTCCAACCGAACATGAATAACCCTCAGTTCCGACAAAACGGGGGCATGCCACAGAAGCCCATGCAGGTAAGGACCTCGCAACTCCTCATGATGTCTATGGCTAACTGATCGATAACAGCCCGGGCTACCTAATGGCATTATGAGCTTACCCAATGCCGGTTCACCCATCATGCAGGGCATGAATCCTCAATACGACAACAATATGCAGATCGACATGTACAACCAGAGAATCGCTAGTCAACAGATGCAAGGTGGTCCAGGTGGAGGCCAAAGTGGAAACCATGCTCTTCAAGATTATCAAATGCAGTTGATGCTCCTTGAGCAGCAGAACAAAAAGAGATTGATGATGGCAAGACAAGAGCAAGACAACGCCGTCAACAGAGACGGTGGTCCGGGCGGACCCATGGTTGGAATGCAACCCGGTGGCATGTCGCCTTCAGGCAGTCGAACGGGCACGTCTCCCAACCCAGTGGATCAAATGAAGCGCACACCACAGCTAGGAGGCTTGCCTGGTTCGCCATCGGCGGGAGACATGGCAGGAAGGTCACCTGGCGCCATCAACTTTATGAATGGTATGCAGGGCACCGACTTCAACCCCAACATGTTTATCAAGGACAATCAAGGCATGGTGCCCGGCGCTCCGAATATGAGGCCTCCCACGGCCATGGAAATGCAGGCAAATATGGCCCGCCAACAGCAAAATCGTATGGGTGGCCAATTCCCAGGTGGCCAGCCAATGGTGCAGCAACCATCTCAAGGCGGAGGGCCGCAGCCCATGGGGACGCCAGGGCAACGGAACGAAATGCCACCTCCTCAAGCCCCGGCAGGGAGCAATGCCCAACGCAACCAGCCCGGGTCTCCGCAGAGTGGCAATGCTCCCCCGACCCCGTCGACAACTAACAAACCGAACCCGAAGAAGAAAGCTAAGGAGGAAGGGACGAAGAAACGCCCAACCAAGAAGGGCTCGACGGCGGCAGCGGCAACGTCTTCAGAGAACGAACCTCCCGCAACGCCCACTCCTTCCACTCCTCTCACCCCCGTGCACCCTCCAGGTTTCAACAATTCGGCTGGCAAGGGTGGCGCTGGTATGCCGAATCCCAACCAAGCTCCTCCGCCAAACGCTGGCATGCCGCCTAGTCAACCACAGATGCACCAGCCAGATCTTTCCCAGCAGAACGCTTTCACGGACTTCAATGCGGACCAAAATTTCAACCTGGATTTCAGCAGTTTAGAGAACAGCGATGTTTTGGAGAACTTTGACTTTGACAGTTTCCTCAACACGTCCAACGAGGACACATTCAACTTTGACAACGCCATGGGGATAGGGGGAGACTTTGGGGTTGACACAACCAACGAATAGTTTCGTCGAAGGTGATGCTCTGTATCAATTACTAACTAATGCTTTGGCGTTCTGATGATTTCTGGCAGCTCACGCATGGTCGGTGGGCGTGTGCACGAAAAGAGCTCCGGTCTTGGAAATACTTGCTCTGTTGATTACTATACCCGTTGCTCAGACGAAAATGATTTCACTTTGCTTGGACATAACTTCATGGGTTGAGATGTAGTTGCATTGGTATAGGGATGGACAGGTGCCTAATTCCAGTTTTCATTTTCCCATTCTGCACTGTGGGCTTGTGGTCGACACGAGACACCATGTTTGTCCTCCATGGTCTCCGCCGTCGCTGTGCCCGACATTCATGCTATCCATTTTGGGAGGTCTTTGAAGCTTGCAGCGGAGCTCCCCTCTGCAGTTGATGCTGATGGTGACTTCATTTTATCATAGGCCCACGGCTTGCACCTTCCGCTGCTCCTGACCGCCTGCTCTTGCGTTGAAAGGGCGTGGGCGATGGCGACCGCCACTACCTGCGAAGCTCAAAAAGCTCGCTTCCACCATCGTGCGCTGTGTATACCGCTCACGGCTCTGCTGTCTCCCTTGGCTATGTACTGAAGTTGCGCGTCCCATGTCGCCATGAGGTACCAGAATTGGGACGTGCTCCTCTTCCCTGGCGACTCAAGGACTCCCATCCAGGAATTCAACACGACATGTTACGTGTTGGGGCAGAGTGAGTCCTACGCACCCTTTGGCGGCAACGAGACACACTAACTGGTTCAGACACGGGTTTGTCCTCGGAAGAGGGCTCTGTCGAGAATAGCCAGGGCAACTTTGAGTCGATGACGCTGGTTCCCATGCTGAATTCCTTCATTGCAAGTCTCGAGGGTGGCGCGCCGTTCCGAATTTCAATCCACAGCTGGGACAAGCCCATGCCATCTCACCTCTTACTCAACTACAAGACCCCAGATGAAACAATTCTGTTTGGGGCACGAGTGTACATCGACGGAGTTCTCGTGGCGTAAGGACGTCGGCAATAGTCAATTTGTCGTCCATGCTGACTGAATCACATAGCCAACGTACATTCGACGAGAATGTGTGGCCAGAAGTCATTGGTACGAGACCGGCGAACTCTTGACGAAGACTTTTTTGACTGACGGCATTGCAGGGGAGCCAGGTTGTCCTTGTATACCCCTTGTGCACGCTGAAGGCTAATGGGGCAGGCCGCGATGGTCAATATCTCCGATTTCCCAATGTCCACCGAGAAATCATCAAGCAACGCAAATGGCACGTCAGTGAGCTCATGGGCCGAATCAGGGTGGTGATCGCAGAAGGGGTCTTGAGAGACAACACTCCCCCTGCTGTTACAGCTTCTAGATTTGACCGCCTCCGAGATGTCGTCGCCTTCTCCTTTCAGCATGCACCGCAAGGTAAGTGGAAATTGGCAACGCGCCTCTCTATCAGTCAATCTGAGACACATCAGACGTCCTTGAGTACTCGAGAATCGCCTGGCCAAACCTGAAGATGTTCACAAGCCTACCCAGAAACCCGCCGCGGCCTGCACCGATCGGCTCTCGAGTCCCTGGCATTTCGGGCCACGAAGCTCATTCACACTCGCCACAACGGTTACCTCCAATAGCATCACGAAGTAAAAGACTGTCAACGAATGAAAATTATCAAGAACTGTTTGATACACAGAGCTATTCGGAGCTCCAGCCTGACCCGATCAGCAAAGTCCCCAACGTTGGTGCCTTGAAGAGCCAGTCGCCTGGACGTCAGGTCCCCCTCAAGCTCGTGGCGCAAGATGATGACCCGTTTGCCTCGTCGCACCAGATTCCGACGGCAATACAGCAGTGGCGGCTGCAATTGAGGTCAAGCAGTCATGACATCTCCATGCCAGATTACACATCTAGCAAGACCGATCGCAGTGTCGTCAACACAGAGATGTCCGGGGTCAGCATACCGCGAGCTAACTTTTTGAGGCACATGAACGAGGCTAATCCTGAGGAGATTCTACAAGCTTTGAGTCCTTCCCGTCAAGAAGAATTATTCAAAGCCCTCAGCGCGTCACATAGCCCGGCGACCGACATAGGCACTCGGCCACCGACAAATACACCTCAGATCATCGACGACTTCACCACTCCCAGAGTGATGCACTCCGGCGGCGCAAATGATATGGCCATAGCAAAAATATGGCAGGAACCGCGGCAGCGACGCCGGACATGTTCGCTAGCTAGCTCCAGGAGCACTTCGGAACCAATGGCTCAGCTGACCAAAGAGCAGACCAGCCCGCGATTGCCCCGGGGCCTTGTTGCGCCTACAGATGGAAAGAGCCAGTTGTCAGCCGCGTCAAGATCGCTTTCTCTCGGTATCAACCGCCAGAGATCGGCCTCGAATGGCTCCAAGCGTAAGCGGGGATCGACTTCTCCGGGATTGGGCATAGGAAAGATACCGGACACGATCCAGGTCGTGGTCTGTTCGTCATCGTCTTCAGCGTCGGATGGGGATGGAGAGGAACAGGGCGAGACAAAGTCAGTCATTACACCCGGAAACACTGTTGCTGCCGTAGCAGAGTGAAGGCGGAAGAAGGCACAGGCAGTTGCAATTGAAGCCAACATTATTCGAAAGGTATGAGTTGGGCATCATTGATCAGAGGGAGAATGGGAACGAGGCTGAGGTCATGAGCAACCGGAACAACGAGGTCCAAAGGCATTGGTACTGAGCCTGGGTATAAATGATAGTGACAGTATGTCGAAGCAAGCATAGGGACGTTAGAACTTGCAATATACTTAAGTATCGACATACAGTAGCCCTTCGCTGCCGTGCTTTACATTAGCAGCGCCGATAGCTACTCTATCCGCACCCTGGCAGCTCGCATGCCGTCTACCCCACAAATTCGGCAGCTCGACCTGCAGATGGTGCGTCACGCTATCCGCCCGTTTGCCCTCTTGCCCCACGTTCAAAATCTTTTGCCTCTTGCGCCCTTTGCAAAGACTGACTCATATTCTCCGCATCCCAAAGTCCCGCGCTGAATGCTGCTGCTGCTGCTCTCACTTGCATATTGAACATTCCTTTTGGCTCTGCATCAGCTCTGGTGACTGCAAGTCAGCCTCAGGCCAGCCTTTGCGACCGATACGAAGCCCAACCCCTCGCCGCATAGTTCCAGAAAACTCGGTTGTCGAATCGTTTTGACCTTGACGTCCAGTGGCGGACTAGGAATTCCTCTTTAATCATGCCTATGTATGTGCGGATTGATGTTAGCCTTACAGGACAAGACTAACCAATCCCTTACCAGGCTTCGAGAGCCTTGGAAAAAGTACCGCAAGTTCAAACCACTTGACTTGCCTAACCGACAATGGCCCTCACGGACCAACGACAAGCCTCCGCGGTGGCTGGCCACCGACTTGCGAGACGGAAATCAAAGTCTTGTTGATCCTATGGTATGAGGGCCGGTTCAAAACCTCTCAATCGCTGATATAGAGACTGATGGTCGCTTCAGGACGGTGAACAGAAACTCCGCTTCTTCAAGATGCTGGTTGAGTTGGGTTACAAGGAAATCGAGGTCTCCTTCCCTTCCGCTTCGCAGACCGACTTCGACTTTACAAGATACCTGGTTGACACCCCCGGCGTGGTCCCCGACGACGTTTGGTTGCAGGTTCTGTCGCCCTGCCGCGAGGACTTCATCCGACGGACTGTGGAGTCTTTAAGAGGAGCAAAAAAGGCCATTTTACATTTATATCTTGCTACGAGCGAATGCTTTCGCAGAATTGTCTTCGGCATGACCGAAGACGAGACCCTTGCCCTGGCTGTCAAGTGCACCAAGTTTGCCCGATCCATCACCAAGGATGACCCCAGCCACGCGGGAACAGAATGGCTTTACGAGTTCAGCCCCGAGACCTTTTCAGATACATCGCCCGAGTTCGCGGTGCGGGTGTGCGAGGCGGTAAAAGAAGCGTGGGGTCCGACTGAAGACAGCAAATTGATTTTCAATCTCCCAGCGACCGTGGAAATGGCCACACCGAATATTTTTGCAGACCAGGTCGAATATTTCTGCACGCATATGACCGAGCGTGAGAAATTCTGTGTCTCGGTGCATCCTCACAATGACCGAGGTTGTGCTGTCGCAGCGGCAGAACTGGCCCAGATGGCGGGTGCTGACAGAGTCGAGGGCACTCTGTTCGGTAATGGAGAACGAACCGGAAACGTCGATCTCGTGACCTTGGCCCTCAATTTGTATACACAAGGTATCTGGCCCAATATCGACTTCAGCGACATAAACAAAGTGATTCGCGTTTGCGAAGAATCGACTAAGATACCAGTCAATGAGAGGTGGCCATATGGTGGCCAGTTGGTTGTCTGTGCCTTCAGCGGCTCACACCAAGATGCTATCAAAAAGGGGTTCCAACTCAGGAAAAAGGATGGTCGTGGGCCAGAGGATCCGTGGGAACTGCCCTATCTGCCACTCGATCCTCAAGATATTGGACGTACATACGAAGCAGTCATCCGCGTCAACTCACAGTCTGGTAAAGGTGGCGTCGCCTGGATCATCCAGCGAAGCCTCGAACTCGACCTGCCCCGTGGGTTGCAGATCGCATTCAGCAGGATTGTCCAAAAAGAAGCCGATGCCAAGGGCCGAGAGTTGCTTCCTCGAGAAATCCAGGCGCTGTTCGAGGAGTCGTATCATCTCAAGAAGAATCCCAGATTCACTCTCATTGACTACAACATCACGGCTGTCCGGACTCCCTCGCCGGCTCCTCAGATGAAGATTTCAGCCGGTCAGCCACCCCAAACCGCGGCGCCGGCTCAAAATACCTCGACGGCGAAACGTCAATTTGCAGGTATCATTGCCATTGACGGAGTCCAGCATCCGATTGTGGGTGTGGGCAACGGTGCCATTTCCTCCCTGGCCAACGCTCTCCATTCCTTAGGAATTGACCTTGATGTGGCGGATTACAAGGAACACGCCATTGGTGAAGGGAGAGAAGTGAAAGCTGCCACCTACATAGAATGTACGGCGAGCAACTCGAACGAGAAAGTGTGGGGAGTGGGTATACATGAGGATGTGGTCCAGGCATCCCTAATCGCGTTGTTGAGTGCGGCAAGCTCGGTATGTATCTCCCACAACAAAGTGGTGTACCTGGGTATCTGAAACACATGAAGCTGACATTTCAACTCGCAGTTCTTGACATCGCGGGTTTCCACGCCGGTTCCCTTTAAGCCCAAGCACTTGAGACAGTTTTCTGAAGCGGAACTGGAGGCGTTGGAGCGCTTGAATCTGAACAACACCCCCGACAGCCCTAACAGCCCGTTAAGGTCGTCTGTGACTGCAACGGAAGGGAGTGTCACACCGTCGAAATTGAATATGGAGATGAACCCGAGCAGCGTTGCCGCAAAAAAGATTAACATCGACTTGCTCGAACAGAAGGCCGAGTCTGTCAACGGGCACGTGGAGAAGTCCTAGGATGTCTTGAGATTTGCCGCCGGCCATTTTCCTGAAATCACAGTCCATTTGCATCAAAACCAAAACGGGGCACGGGGGTTAGGTCAGTTCCAATGATGAACGCCAAAACCAAAAGTGGCTTGATTATTTGTTGTATAGTCAGGGAGCGCCTATCCGAAAAATTGACAAAATCTGATGTTGGGCGGTGATCAGCCTGCAAAGTGAGATTGGTAAAACAGCAGGAGGTCGCCCTTGGAGCTGTCCATAGCAATAATGTGCACATGCTTCGCATCTTTGGAAGTTGATCCTCGGATGGTTTGGCACTTCACATGTTACAAACCGTGCCATTCAGCTGCGTGTCCAGTCTCTATGAGCCAGGGCTAGCTGCCTAGGTACTAAGATTGAGAATAGGGCTTGGGGGTTCGCCCCCATAGACACCGAGGAGGCGCCCAATAGCTTGCATGGGGGTTAGGAGCATGCCCAGAAGGCCAATCACCCCCCGCCGGGTTCGGTTAAAGCCGTCCCCAAGTCGGGCTGCCAACACCGAAATGCATCCCCCCACGCACGCGCCCACTCGTCCCAAGGCCCTGTGCAGGGAACCATGACGACGGCCATGCAGCGGGCTTCATCCACATCCATGCCTCTCCGCAGCGCCATCAGCCATTCACCCTTTTTGCGACCACACGGGACTCTTCCCTTGCGCTCTTCCCATCCATGACAACCCCGAAGACTCTTCCCACATGCTTGGGGGTTGGATCTCAGCTTCATCTCCGGCTTCCTCTTCTCCAGACTACTGAACCGTCCACTTCCTTCGGACACTCCGCCGTCTGACTTCCCTTCGACATTGATGCCCTGCCAGCCACATTAGCCTCAATTGCTCACAGGCTTTACCGACTTCGAGCCTCAGCTCTGTGTCATCTCACCATCTCTTTCACGGGGATTTGGATCATGGCTGTTCAAGAATATTGACATTAATCACTGTATTTGTTGATCGTCGAAGTCACGGCTCACGCAGCGCAATCCGTCCTGTTGAACGTTTGACCTGCGGGTGACGACGCGAGACTGGACCTCCCACTATAAAAAATCATGGCCTCGGCCGGTCGCTCCTCTTCCGCACGTCGTTTCCTCAAACCACTTCTCTATTCCGGTGCCGCGATCGCTGGGGTTGGCGGTACCATCTTGTACCTCTCCTACCGTCCCATCAACGTACCTGGCTCTCAAGGCGCCATCGTCCCCATCCCACGAACAGAGGACGGAACCATCATCCCTCCCAAATTCCCCTTGATTAGATCCCGCGCTGAACAGATTGCCGACTTGAGGAAGAGTGGTGGGCTGGTGGGTGCTGCGCCAGAAACGCCCCTTCGGCAACAGTTGAAAAATAGTCTAGAACGATTAAGAGGGGCAACAAGCGATGATAGAGACATAACCTTACCTGCGGAACAAGAAGCTGGGGAACCGTATGACCTCCTGGTCATCGGGGGCGGGGCTACAGGTTCCGGTATTGCCTTGGATGCTGCCACGCGCGGGCTCAAGGTTGCCCTGGTCGAGCGCGATGACTTTGCTGCTGGAACAAGTAGCAAGAGCACGAAACTTGTGCACGGCGGTGTACGATATCTCGAAAAGGCATTCTGGGAGCTAGACTATAACCAGTATGCACTGGTCAAAGAAGCGCTGCGCGAGAGGAAATATTTCCTTGACACAGCCCCCCATCTGTCCATGTGGCTCCCCATCATGATACCTTTGCAGAAATGGTGGCAAGCACCCTATTTTTGGGCGGGGACGAAGCTGTACGATTATCTTGCGGGCAGTGAAGGCATTGAAACCAGCTACTTCTTGACCAAGAGCAAGGCGTTGGACGCTTTCCCTATGTTGAAAAAAGAGAACTTGGTGGGAGCGCTGGTATACTATGATGGCGCACACAACGACAGCCGCATGAACATTTCCATCGCGGCCACGGCTGCGCTCTACGGGGCAACGGTGGTCAATCATATGGAAGTTACCGGTTTGACCAAGGACCAGAATGGCAAACTGAACGGCGCTGTGGTCCGAGATGTGATCGCCGAGAAGAATGGAAAACCGACGTCGCCTTTCACCATACGCGCCAAAGGTATTATCAATGCGACCGGTCCTTTCTGCGACTCAATACGGAAGATGGACGACCAAAAGGTCCAGGAAATTGTCGCCCCTAGTTCTGGTGTGCATGTGGTGCTACCTGGATACTACAGCCCTCAACGGAACTCAATGGGGTTGATCGATCCTGCGACATCTGATGGCCGTGTCATCTTCTTCCTGCCCTGGCAGGGCAACACGATCGCTGGAACCACCGATGCCCCCTGCAAGATTACTCAGCATCCCATCGCTGGGGAGGAGGAGATAGGCTGGATTCTGAACGAGATCAAGGGATACCTGTCCCCAGAGATCAACGTCCGACGTGGAGATGTGCTCGCTGCCTGGTCGGGGATTCGCCCACTGGTCAAGGACCCCAAAGCAAAGAACACCGAGTCGCTGGTGCGAAATCATCTAGTGACTGTCTCGACCTCAGGACTGCTCACATGTGCGGGAGGGAAATGGACCACATATAGGCAGATGGCAGAGGATGCGGTTGACGAAGCCATCAACCAATTTGGGCTGCAGACGAAGCCCCTGACAACCCCGAGGAGAATCAGCGGAACAGAAAAGATCGACGATGCTGCCCCGCTCGATGGGACCTGTCAAACGCACCAAGTCAGGCTCGTTGGTGCGCATGGATTCTCCAAGACTCTGTTCATCAACCTGATTCAGCATTTCGGTCTCGAGACCGAAGTGGCGAAGCACCTTGCGGAGGCATATGGCGATCGTGCGTGGACGGTGGCAGCGCTATCCAGCCCGACTAATGAGAGGTTCCCAGTTCGAGGGAAGCGTATTTCTGCGCTGTACCCTTTTATAGATGGAGAAGTCCGGTACGCGGTGAGACACGAATTTGCGCAGCGAGCCGTGGATGTGATTGCACGAAGGACAAGATTGGCTTTTCTCAACGCCCAGGCGGCGCTGGAGGCGTTGCCCAACGTTATCGACCTGATGGCCGAAGAGTTAAAGTGGGACAGCAAGAGGAAAGACCTCGAGTGGAAAGAAAGCGTTGCTTTTCTGGCCTCGATGGGTCTTCCGAGAAGCAAGCTGAGCGTGTCAAGGAAAGACGTTGAGGGTGGAAAGGCCGGATTTGCCGACGAATATGAGAGGAAGCTATATTCGAGATACGGTAAGTGCAGCGCTGTTGTCTCACAAGGAGCCTTGAGAGATGCTAATAGAGAGTTCAGATGGTCCAGCGGATACGCTCGAAAGTGACTCCAAGTTGAGACCTGGACAAAACCCAGTCCTAGGACAGGATTCGCCAGCCAACAAATAGATTTCTCTTCAGCCGGATGTCCAGTTCGAGAAACACCTTACACAGCCTTCGGATTCTCTGGAGACTTTAGCGATCGTTCGTCGCTCGTTGGGTTAGAGAATCTGTTAAGTCGTACCAAGCGTATCAGAGACGATCCTTGTGGACTATTTGGATACAAGCCTTTCGCACAGAAGGACAGCCATTCAGCGCGGTATGCTTCAGGATAGGCCTTGACGATCAGCAAAATACTGCCCGGTCCTGCAGGACTTCTCGGTGGCTCCTGCCTGCAAGACGGCGTGTGGTCCTCAGGGCAAGATCTACAAGAAGGGACGTGTTCTCTCTGTTCCGCCTCTTTCCTGGACTCTTCTCCTCTGCGCAGGTCCTTTATCCTTTAACCACATATCCATCCGTTGGAGCAGAGCCGTCACCCATTTTCGTACCCTTCGCTTGAGTGGTGCGGCTACTCTCTACACATCCTCAGAACGCGGCGCTATCTGAATAACTTCCTTGATCCTAAGTCTCATCCAGTATGGACGCTTCTCGCAGAACGTCCGGCTCCGACGTGCGCGGCGGCGACAACAGTCCTCCCACCAGTGACGACACGTTGGTCTCAAATGAACATGGCAATATCGAGAGTGCCCCTAAGAGTGGGAACATGGTGCAAGAGAAACAAATCGACCCCATGGCTAGCCGGATAGACGGTGGTGTGGAATACAAGAGCATGGTGTGGTGGCAGGCGGGTATGGTCATGGTCGCCGAAACCATCTCGCTTGGGATTCTCTCACTACCGGCTGCCATGGCTACCCTGGGCATCGTCCCAGGTCTCATTCTGCTTGTCTTGCTTGGTGCGATGGCTTCATATACCGGGTTTGTCATCGGACAGTTTAAGAGGCGATATCCTCACATTCACTCGATGGCCTGCGCCGGTGGAGTGCTGTTTGGCAAATGGGGAAACCGAATTCTCGGTTGGGGTCAATTTTTGTTCTACGTCTTTATCATGGGCAGCCACATTTTGACCTTCTCCATCATGATGAACGCCATCACCGACCACGGAGCCTGCACCATTGTGTGGATGGTGATTGGCACCATTATGAGCCTGGTCTTCACGCTGCCGCGGACCTTGAAACACCTTTCCTACTACTCGATCGCCAGCTTTGTGAGCATCATCGGGGCGGTGATGATCACCATGGTCGGGGTTTCGATCACGAAGCCAGGCGCCGGACCTGACGGGGTGCTCCACGTTCGACTCTGGCCGCAACCCGATCTCAGCTTCAAGGACGGATTCAACGCGGTGTCCAACATGGTCTTTGCGTATGCGGGTCACGTTGCCTTCTTCACCTTCATCTCCGAGTTGCGAAATCCACACGACTTCCCCAAGGCGCTCGCGTTTCTGCAATGCAGCGATATTTCCATGTACATCATCACGGCGGTGGTGGTGTATTACTACGCCGGAGACAATGTTGCGAGCCCGGCGCTGGACAGTGCGAGCACCGTGGTCAAGAAGGTGGCGTACGGGGTGGCCATCGCGACGATTGTCATCGCCGGGGTGGTCAACGGGCATGTGGGGGCCAAGTTCCTATACGTCCGACTGCTGCATGACCGAGAGGACGATCTGCTGCACCAGAAGACATGGAAGTCGTATGGCGTGTGGTTTGGTATCGTTAGCATTTCGTGGCTGGGGGCGTGGCTCATTGCGGAAGCCGTGCCCGTGTTCAACCACCTATTGGGCTTGACTTCGGCCTTGTTTGCATCTTGGTTCACCTTCGGATTATCGGGCATGTTTTGGATGCACATGAATCTGCGCGGCACATGGACTTATGGCAAGGCTTTTCTGTTTGTTCTCAATTGTGTCAACATTATGGTAGCAGCCATCTTATTCGGGGTGGGAACATACGCCAGCATCTCGGCCATGGTGGAAAACGGGGCAACCAACAAGCCATTTTCGTGTGCCAACAATGCTGGCGGGCATTGAGTAAGGGGGCGGGCGTGATGGTTGTCGAGACCCTGGTGGTATTTCCATGTACCCCTTACCGCGCGCTTTTTTAGTTATTGATAGAATTGACCGTGGTCCTGCCGGTGTGTCGTTGTGTTTTTGGCTACACTCTCGAGTACTGTTCTTTGTTTGCGGCTCTAGGGTCAGTCGGCAGTTGAGCGCGGCTTCTGGGCAGCAAAAGAACCATAGCCACGGGGTTCCTTATTTCTCCGCAATGTTATGTCTTCAAGCAAGGAGCAGGACCGGATGAGGGTGATGGCGGAAGCGGGTAGAGGCCAGGAGGGGATATAGTTATAAGCTCAGAGCATTGAAGATGGAGATATCTCTTTCGTGTTTGTCTCTGTATGTATTTGATGCTTTTGACGCCCATGTCGAGATGGCCTGCCGATTTGGCCACGCCAGCATCTCCTCCGACTCCCAGGCATGGTCCAAGATCCGGTCTCACAGTTTTCTGGGGTCTGGGGAAGGAGAACAACATGACATGACATGATATGACATGACATGGTCTAGCCCGCTGCAATCCGTGTGTGATGGACGTGATCAATCGTCAACTGCCGCAAACTGCCGCAAACTGCATCCGCGCGGAGGCGAGCGAGGCCTATACCGGCCAATTGTCCGGGCAACGTCGGCTATTCTCATACCCCTGGGAGCCGCCACACACACACAATCCCAACAGAGCGAGATGCGGGAGATGTGAAGCAGCAACCGAGCCGCAGAGAGACTTGCTTGCTGCCCGGGTCCAACGGCGGCTTGTCTGGTCAAACCAATGTCCTTCGCCAAGGGGGAGGGGGGAATATGCTTGGATGCCGATGGGCAGAACAAGCCTGGCGCGCACGTGGACGGGATCAAGGAACGTTCCGAGGGGCGCAGGCGACGAGCAGGCGCCCATGTACCAGCAAAGACGGCCTCTACTACTCCTACTCCTGCCTGTACGAGGTTCAAGGCGTCGTGAAACTGCGCGCTCGATCTCTGGCCATCCACTTGGGTCACCGCCGGGCAAAACGGTAACGAAGAAAATGCTTTTCCGCTGGGTCGTGGCAGACGATGCTTCGGGATCTGACCACGGCAGAGACCATGAGAAGAGATAATACTATTATATCACGACCCCAGATCTGTTGGGCCTGTTTGAGACCCGTCTCTTCCTCTCTCCCACGCGTCTGCACACCAGTTCCAACCGTTGATTCCTCTGCACATACGATTCTCCCTTCTCCTCAGCCAGCCCCTTGGTGAGGTATTAATTGCGTGGCGCTTTGCGACAAGTCTATCGCGCTCAACAACGCCATTCCACTGCCCCGGAAAGGATTCTTGGATTGAGATATTGACCACGATTACCATCCCTTCGTGGGATCACACGATATCGACAAAAAAAAGAGTCCACTTCGGAGCATTCCGAGAGCTTTTTCTCAGTCCCATTGTGTTCGGAAAATTCCCGTCTCGAAAGCAAAAAAAAAATACATCGAAGCGGCGGGCAGATAATTACGTCATTCAAGCCCCTGACCTCGACAGCCTGATCCCGTCAATATCAAAACCTCCCCCCCCTAATTCTGAGGCGAAGCGAGTCAAATCGGCTCCAAGCCATGGGTAAAGTTCAGCTCCATGTCATCATCGTCGGCGCCGGGCTTGGAGGACTGGCGGCCGCAATCGCAATTGCCCGGGCTGGCCACAAAGTGACTATCCTGGAGCAGGCCCCGGCTCTGGGAGAGGTGAGTTGTTGGTCCATGTACCCCCAACAGGAAGTCAAGGGGAATGATCTCGATTAATAATGCCATTTCTCGTCCAGGTCGGCGCCGGCATCCAGATCCCGCCCAACAGCACGCGCATCCTGTCTCGCTGGGGCCTGCTCCCGGCCATCGAGAAGGTGTCGGTGCGCCCGCAGAACTTCATCCTGCGCTCCTACCGCGACGGCCAGGTGCTGTCCACCCAGCCGCTCATCCCGCACTGCGAGGCCGTCTACGGGTACCCGTACCTCCACATCCACCGCGCCGACTACCACAAGATCCTGGTTGAGGAGGCCGAGCGCCAGGGGGTCGAAATCCTGCTGGACAGCTTCGTGACCGGCATCGACTTTGAGCTGCCGGCCGCGCACATCAAGGGCCGCGCCGAGCCCTTCACGGCGGATCTGATCGTCGGCGCCGACGGGCTCAAGTCGGTCTGTCGCGAGGCGCTGCTGGGCCGGCCGGACCCGCCGCATCTCACGGGCGACCTGGCATACCGGATCGTGGTGCCCGCCGAGGCGATGACGGCGCACCCCTTGCTGCGCGACCTGGTCGCCGTGCCCAACATCAACTACTGGATGGGGCCGGACGCGCACGTGGTCTCGTACCTCCTCAAGGGCGGCAACCTGTACAACATCGTGATCGCGTGCCCGGACAACCTGCCGGAGCTGGTCAACCAGCAAAAGGCCGACCTGGCCGAGATGCACGCGCTGTTCCGGGCCTGGGACCCGCAGCTGCGCGCGCTGCTGAGCCTGTGCCGGGACACGAGCAAGTGGCGCCTGCAGAACTCGCGCGAGATGCCCACCTGGAGCCACCCGGCCGGCCGCTTCACCCTGCTGGGCGACGCCTGCCACGCCACCCTGCCGTACCTGGCCCAGGGCGCCGCGCAGGCCGTCGAGGACGGCGCCGTGCTGGGCCACCTGTTCGAGAAGGTCGAGTCGCGCGCCCAGCTGCCCGATCTGCTGGCCATCTACGAGGGCGTGCGCAAGCCGCGCGCCACGCGCGTGGTCGACGGCGCCTCGCAGTTCGGGCGCGACATCTTCCACCTCCGTGACGGGCCGCGCCAGCAGGAGCGCGACCGCCAGCTGCTCGCCTGGCAGGACCACCCCTTCGAGGGCTACCAGAACCGCTGGCGCGACCCGGTCTTCCAGCAGTTCCTGTTCGGCTACGACTGCGCCGACGTCGTCGACCGCGCCTGGCTCCGCTACCAGCAGGGCCGCTTCCCCGGCACTATGGGCCGCTTTGCCCCCGGGGCGGCGGACAATACCAACGGCGCCCCCGGCACGGGCGAGGTGAGGTGAGGAGATGACCACGGGGTCGTCGCCCGTGCTGCTGTGTTTGAACTGGAATTTGAGAGGGGATTGGATGAATGAACGAGTCAAGCGGCTGAAACGGCCTTTTCTTTTGTGTGGTGCACTGCGGATGGCGCGTTTGATATGCGAATTAAGGGAAACCAGGGCGAACAGAATCGGCATGGCGTGGCGGGGGCAGCACAGTGCGTTTTATGTCGCATGATAGCTGCATAGCACCGTCCATGGCCATGACATAGAATAGATGACGCAGATCGCATAGCAGGGTATAGCTAGCATAGCATAGCGTATCATAGCACAGCACAGCAGGCTATAAAGGAGCATCAAAACAGCAGAAATGCTTCTGAGAAAAAATCCAAGATCCACCCTGGGAAACGTCAGCCAGAAAAGTGAGTCTGTCAACTCCTCGCTTCACTCCGCCGTTGGAAGATGTGCCTCGCACATACCTAGCTGGGACATTCACGCAAGCCAATAGTGGCAGCAACTGCAGTGCACGGTGCGCGACTCCTTCTCGAGAATGCTTGATCGGTCGATCGGGCGGCCCATGTGTACACCTCTGACGTCCTTTATCTTCATCCCCACCCTCAGACTGTGGGTCGGGGCGAGGGGCGGGACGATGCCTTTCAAAAGTGGCCAAAGAACAAGGACTCTGCATCTCATATCGCCCCAAGTCCCTTTGTCTTATCTTCCATGTTGTCTGCCCCGAGACGGACGGAGGGAGAGAGAGGGACACAATGACGGATCCGTGAGCAAGGCTGGTATGCTGTGCTAGTTGCCGCCGTGCCAAGGGTTCCGGAGGTTCTGGTTGGATATAAGGGCGTATGGTGTTGGAGGTGACGTGATATATCAAGCACCGTTCCTCTCCGATCGCCCAGAAGACATGTTGGAGATAAATCTCCCTGCGATGCCTCGGATACAATGATAGATACAACTGGGCCGTCTCTTTTTGTTTCTTCTCCCTCGAATTGAAGGTTAGTAACACGGCCGGGTCGTGCGCATGTATACCTGTTCCTCTGTCTTTCTTCCTCCTTGGCCGTCATTTTTGAACCTCCTCTCAATGGATAATCCCCGCTCTACCTGAAAGGATTCGAAGTGTGTATCTCCCTCCATAACTGCTGTCCGTCGGTGTCACTCGTGCTGGGAAACCACAGGAAATTGAGCAACTGGGCCCTCAGACTCTGCCAGCTCAATATCTGCATCCTGTGCACGAGTCGCTCGAGAACGGAAATGTACCACGTCTTCTCGGCCTCGCTGCGCTGGTCGGCCGTGGATGCCAGCGCGCCCATGAACGTGATCCACAGCATCAGCGACGCGCCCTTCCGCCATTTCTTACCGTCGTGGCTGCTCGACGTGGATATCAGATGCTGCTTGATCCGTGCGGCGAGCTTCGCGAAGGGTCCTCGCGCAGGAGGGATTGGAAAGACGCTGATGAGGCTGTACACGACCCCTGCGCACCAGGCGGCCTGTTGAAGGGAGTACATTTCGTCTGCGGACGTGCTGTCCCTGGGACTCGAGAACATCGACATTAAGCGGTGCTGGATAAAGTTCCTCTGGTCGGCTAGAAGCAACATGCTTTGAGCTTGCGGTCTACCCATGATGTAGTCTTCTACCGCCAGCAGGTATGTCGAAAGGTGTGAGAGAACAAAGCAGAGTTCTTGGGCCAGTTCCGACGGCAGGACATCGTACAGTGTCTGAAATCCTGAGCCGAGCTGAGCTAGAGGATGCCCTCGCCTTTGGATGGTGGCTAGGGTGCGTTCCGGAGACTCGCCGATTGGCACAAAGGGCAAGGTCGGTTTCTGCAGCGATCGGGATGCCAGAATCAGATCCCCACTAATCAATCAGAGGTAAGCAACGACGACATGCAAGTAAGGTGGAGAAAAGGTTATCGTGTGACGGGCGTTCTTACTAGCTGAGCATTGCCGCCAGCCCGGGGAACCGAATCTCCTCGATACCCCCCCGCATGGCCAGCATCTTTGCCAACCCATGGACGTGCATGTTCACGGGATCTAGTCGACCTGCGTACAGATCCAGGCCCTGCAATGCACTCATTGGACCCTGCGAGAGTGACCCTGGTGGTTCGCTGTCGTGTGCTGTCCTGTCACCATGAAACGCCAATGCCTGCACGGCAAGAATACTCTCGTCGGAACATCGAGTGGAGACATTATTGAATCGTCTATTGACCTCTCCCACCACCACGGAGTAGCAGTACCACCTTGCCCTCTGACTAATTGGATTGAGGCCAGAAGCCTCGGTGACCGACAGCCGGGCTAATTGGCTGAAGCAAAGGGCGTGGAACAAGATGCTGTCACTCATGTACCAGGATATCCAATGGCGTGCGACACTTTCTTCCATGCGATCTGGATCCGGTAGAAACATGGTATTGAAGAAGTGGTTAACTGTCAAGAGCATGCAAAATCAGATCAAGGGTCTCTCCGCCACTGGGTCGCACGTTTCATGCTGCAGCCAAGATATTGGGCGATGTTCGTGCTGGCTTACCTTGGGCAATAATAGGAGTAGCTATCTCTTTCGGCAGCCGCGATGGATAGCTCGCAAATGGATCAACATCCCCCGCACCTACTGTACGGAGAGGATTGGGGACAGGGCACGACGCGAGGATGGTCTGCCTTCTAGATGGCACAACTTGTCGAGGGCATGAGGGACCAGCTCGCCCTAAGCGGGTGTCATTGTCCTGCTCGTCATTTGAGTGCGATACTAGCGCCGTATCGACTTGACGGGTTTGCTGCACGCCCGGGGCCTGACTTGGGCCAGCCTGAGAAGTGCCCTCCTGCCTCGACTGTTTGCCCTGCCTGATCTTGGCCCAGGATGCGCGTGAAGCGTGGGCTCGAATTAATGCTTTAGCCTCGCGTCTCGCCTGGGTCGAGTCGGGCCGTGCAGCCACAAATCGGTGCTTTGGTTCAGCTTGGTTCTTTTGCGTGGTTGGGTCGCCTTCCTCGGTCTGGTCTGGCATTATCGAATGGCAGACAGGGTCCGGGCATTGTGGTTGGGCGGAAAAGGTTCCTTCCGCCGAGTTTCGGGCTGGTAAGCGCTGTTTCAATACCACCAGGATCGGACAGGTCGAGCAGGGTAATCTTTGTAACGGGCGTGACGGGAGGAATCTCACATGGATGAACGTAAGGCGATAGGCAAGATCGTGACCGTGGGTGAGAGCAAGGAAGAGGGGTTTGTTTGGAGGAGAATTTCCAAGGCCAAACACGTGAGCGGCTGCCGCTGACTAACCGGCTGCACTATCCGCGTTTGGAAGTTGGATTTTAGCGCCGGTGGAGTCCGATTCGGCATAATTTCCATGTTGGTGCGCTTGGTATCCACTGCTAAATGCTCTCCGCGTCATTCGACCTCTATTCCCTCCCTATTTCTGACGGCACATCAGCCCTCAATGGCACTGCAAAACACATTCTACTGCACTAGTCACCGACTTGAAACCCTTTGCAAAATGCTCACGGCTCTAAAAATGTATTTCGGATGTCCGGGGCCGCATGCTGCTGGGCAGCGTGTTCACTCTTTTAGTTCACCTTCCCGCACTGGCAAACTTCAAACCCACGATTACACTCATTCTTAGTCACGCCATCCCCCGACTTTCGGGCATTTATCAATTTCACGGGACTGCAAGCATATTAGAACAATCTCGAACAAGTACTAGGAGTTACCACTCCCAGAGACCCATCCTTAAGGCTTGCACTAGGACCAACAGCATATCCAACGGATCTGGGCCAGGATCAGTAGCCCTGCATATCACTCCAGTCACCAGAAGGACAATGGTTGACAGTGAGCTACCCCTTCGCCATATTCAGATCTACTGCCTCAACAATATGGACCATTGCATAGGAGAAATCGAGAATACTGACACGAAGAACCATCCAGACACTTCTCTTCACCCAGCCACGCAATTCCCTTCAGTCGGTCCCCGAGTCGAGAGTAGGATACCCGCGAACTCTGATAGCGGTGACCCGCCAGGGGAAATGCAAGCCAGCGAGACGGCAGAGATGCGAGAGGTAAGGCTGGACCTGCCCACGGTGACCTGTGTCACACACAAAAAAACTCATCGCTCACGTTGTATTATTTCCCCCCCTTTCCAGCGTCGAAGAGCACAAAATCGACTAGCCCAACAAGCTTTCCGCGCGCGGCAAAAGATCAGGGTCGAGGCGCTGGAGAACGAGTGGGCCCAGCTGCGACACCTGCACGAGGCCCTGAACCAGGCCTGCTCGCAACAGGCCCAGGAGATCAAACAGCTGCAATCGCGGGTCGACGAGTTGCTCCACAACATCGAACTGCTGAAAAACTCCCAGGAGGTCGAGAGGACGTGGTCCTCGTCCCCGACGACCCCGGAGCAACAATACCCCCAGACAAATGCAATGACACTGGCCGAGGCTGAACTACGGAATTTCTTCACCGAGGGTGGAGGCGCAGAGTTTCCAGACTTTCCAGAGTCGTATAGATCGCATTACACTACCTAGGCAAGGTTCTTTCGCCTTTAGTCAAAGGAAGCACCTTCTGAGCAGATGAAGATATTTAAACGATGTATTACAGACCTGTCGGTCGGCATAAGAATGTGATCCGCGGGTTTGGGATGGCTCCTGGGCGTTTTGCGCCTCCCGCCATCCTAAACCCACGATCCAGGTGGAACTTTGTATTATCTAGGCGTGGCCATCTCGCTCTTATCATATCATATCTCATCTAGAACATCAACTCCCTGCTGGACCGCCTTCCAAACATCGAGGCCGTCGGGATCGCTTGTACGAGGATGCCATAAAAACGACCGTAACAAACCCTTCAGGTCCTTCCACTCGGTCATGTCGAACTCGTCCAACACTTCCATGATCCGGAGCAGAAACCAGGGCCGGTCGGGCAGCCCTATCGACCCGATGGCGCCCATGACCAGGATCCACAAATGCAGCCTCAGCCTCGGAGGCTCAAAGATCTTCCACTCGACCGCCTGCAGGGCGCGCTTGACGCGCTCGATCAGGATCTCAAAGGGCCCCACCACGGGCGGGACGGGGAAGACGACGAGGAAAGAATAAAGGATGCACGCTAGCCGGCATGTCTCGTACTGCGCATCATCATCGACGGCGGCGGCGGCGTCCGAGGTGGCGACCAGCTCCTCCGCCGACAGCAGGGACATCAACTTGTGCTGCACGAAGTTCCTCTGGTCGATGATCTCGGGGGACGTTCGCGGCATCCACCTCCCGCTCGCGTGGTTCTCGACCACGACTGTAAAGTCGCAGATGTCGCGGATGACGGTCAACAGATCGTCGAGGTAGCTCGTCGAGGAAGCATTCGCGCTCCAGACCTGCCAGAAGCCCGTGCCCAGCTGGCCCAAATCGGGAGCAACGGCATCACGCTCGTGGCTGGTCACCGAGAGACGGCCGTCTTCGCTGACGAACGTGGCTGTGTGGGATATAAAGGGAAAGATGGGTCTTCCGATGTTCCGGCACGCGCCCATGATACCGCACCTGTGGATCGAGCGGCATGGTAAGTCAGCAATTGGACTCGGACGAGCAGGTCCGAGCTCTCACAAACAATGCAGCTGTGGAGGTGGGGAGGAGCGCATGCTTACCAAGAGACCACCGGGGCGATCCCGGGTGTCTTGATCTTCTGTAAATCCCCAAGGAGCTCCATCATTTTGATCAGGCCAAGGACATGCTCAATGACAATCTCCATTTTTAGGTAGATATGAATCGACTGTAGCTCTCTCAAGAAGGACTGGCGCGGGTAGCTCTGCCCCGACCTTATTCGATCTTCGCGGCCGGAATACGCGAGCACCAGGACAGCCCAGATGTTGGAATCCGACAACGCTCGGTCCGGGTTCGGGTTGCTGATTTCCTGATTCAAGTGGCGGATGGCTTCTGTGCCGACCACCAACTCCGTGGCCGTGGGGTTGCTGATGCCTTGTTGGATGCGGTCGTGCACCATGACCGCGAAGATCATGGCGTGAAGCTGTGCCGGGTGCTGCGAGAGCGACGCCATAACATTGCTGGCGAAGGATCTTCCATAGTTCCCGGTCAAGGCGGCCTTGGATACCAGCTTCGCCAGCACATCGGGGACTGGGAACGTAATCTAGTCAGTATCGGATGGAACAATTCGTCTTGAATGAAACGGACGAGATTCTCGGGATCACTGACGGTTATGCAAGTGTCGTTTGACCAGCCCATTCGGAAGTGTTGATGGGAGAAGGGGGTAGGGCTCGTCGGCATCAGGCTCCAACAACAGCGATGGACTTTGAGAATACTTCACCACGACCAAAGTCTCGTCGCGTTCCTCTTTCCTGGAATTAGCCTTCTTCAAGGGCACAGTCCCAGATTTTCGATCCTTCCCCCGCTTGATGTGAGGCTTTCGCGGCGTTACACCAGGTTGGGAACCAGCTGTCCTGGATGTACGTGTGTCTTGTCGCCGATGTTGAGATTTCTCCCGATCTTCGTGGTCGTCCCCCTCGTCCTCATTCGCGTCGCGCCCAGGCCCTCCCCGGTCTTTGGGAAGACTTGATTGGGTCCGGAAAGTGACCGAGTCTTCCCAGGGGCCGGGTTGGGGATGAGATTGCCGCATCTCAGAAATTTGCCCTTTTCAGACGTCCAGCCATTTGTGGATGATTGTGCACATGTAGATCAAAGGCGCAGACAAGAGTCCAACGGCTGCTTCTGCATGAGAAGGTGCACTGGGCTCTTGGTCTAACAATATCTTGAAGCGTCGTTCACTAAGTTTTGGGGCCATGCCAAGTGGGGCATTGACAAGGCTGATTCGCCGATGGGTTTTTTTCCTGTTTCGGATTAGTCCCAAAATCCAACTTCCCTTTGCAGAAACTCCAGATGAGCGCCTGAGAGATGGCTGGCGCAATTCCGCCGAACATGTACAGGTAGCGTGAGGGCAGTATTGGCTTGTAAGGGTCAGACCAGATCGTAACTGTGCTCTCGACGCTATGCCTCAAAGGTCACGCTTGATACAAACTGCATATCAAGTTGGATTTATGCCCCATTATGCGCCTGCCTGGACTGTGCTCATACAAACGTCCCCGAACGATCTAAAACCTCTGCGCTGCAGGCAGATAATATTCCTTGCGCTCTTCTCTTTTTGGACTTCCACATGATGTCCATGAACCTTTCATTGCATTGCTTGTACACAATTCTTGCCAGGAAATTAGAAATGATAACGCTTCGATCCCACAGTCGTTTTCCCAGTGGGATACTGAGGTGCTTGGTCGATCGGATATGAAAGCATCCGCTGAGGCAGTTCCACGACCCTTCCTGTGGTGTATGGATGTGTATGTTCGACCGGAAGCATCATGCTCGGCGACATTTGCGGTAGAAAGGCGGGGGGTTGAAAGAAGCCGTGAATGTTTGGGTTGACATGGCTCGTGGGGAACGCATTGCCGTATGATGTTGTATGGGTTATGAAAGTGCCCGACGACCGAGCCTCCGGGCCATGTCCAACGGACACGAACCAGCCATCTGGACTCGTGAAAGTGGACTGTCGACCCATGGTCTGGTGGGATATTGCAAGCGTATGGGTGTTTTGAGAGGGTCGGGCGGGCTGCGAGACCGGAATTCCCATCTGTGGTGAACCATAAACATTATTTTGCTGATATGCGTCAACCAGGAGGTCAGACTCGACAAGGACGAAACGACATACCTGGACCATCTGCAACATCTTGCGGTTCTGCTTGTCCTCTTTGTGGCCCTGGTACGCAGCCTGACCAAGTTGTGCAAGAGCAACGGCGACCCCAGCCCCAGCAACGGCGAGAGTGATTGGATCAGCCATTACGGTCGAGCGGCAAGGGCGAAAGTTTGAGACGAGGGGATCTTCAGATCTGCAAATAGGCCGTGAGGGTTAACAGAGCAAAAGGCTAGAGGTGGCCAAACTTCTTTTATACCTGACGGACAGTCAGGCTTGGGCGGTCTAAGCCTTACCGACAATCCCGCTGGGACGAGGCAGTGAACCGTTTCCAGAAGCTCAGCCGGCTTCTTTTATTGGTCTCCTGTCCCTCAGACTGGCACTTTGGGGACCGGTAACACGAGCCCCTGCTGAAAGAGCCGGTGCAGTTCAGCCCTGGAGTCGACGTTTGAGGTCAAGCCCGTCTCGGCAGCTCGACCTTCATAGGTCCAAATCAGCCACCGATGCAAGACGCCATGGGAAACGATAGGACCGTGGAAAGCCACAAGGCAGTGAGCCCTTTCACAATTTCATGCAAGGAAACTGGTGGGGAAACGTGTGGTGCAAGAATAGCGTAGTTGGGTTGGCAACCTCGTTCAGCCTCAGCTTGATCCCTTCTATGCGCCATATTAATCCGCAGTTGTCGTGCGGCCTCGACTCACGACGACAGTACCGATCCTCCCTCTCGTTTCTGTGCACTATCGTCGAAGACAGAATTGAAGTCATGCCAAATGGATTCCTAAGCCCTCAGCGCCCTGCTCGATACCAGCCAATGTACTCGGGTTCGTCGTTCATTTCACCGCTGTGGGCGTGAGGCTGATTACTGCAAAAGGAGGGAACAATAACCCTGCGTACTATGGTTCCAGTGGAGAAGCCCTAGTCGCCCTCGAACCCAACGGGAACGGCGCTTTCGTCGCTGCTGGGAACGGCCAAGATCACGCATATGTATATCTGCCAGCACAACAGCACGTGGTTGACCGTCCGTATCCCGTGATGGTTAACCCGCCGGTTCACAGGAGGAAGCGCACTTTATGCATATGCTTGTTGATCGTGATAGTGCTTATCTGTGTTGGATCCCTGGCGGTGGCCCTTGCACTCCACTACATCAAGAAGAACTCGGCAAAGTCGTCAGACTCTACATATTAGCATGGCCGTGGTGAACAGAAGAAACGTGATTTGATAGATGTCAAAAGGGCTCTTGGATGTGATCACAGGGGAGAGATGAAGTTTCCATATTATCGTCGACTCCACGGCGTTGGTTCAGGGGCGGATGTTCTGCGTGGGACAACTTTATAAGGGTACGGGTTGGAGACGACGCAGAAGACAAAGAGTCCAACACCGCCTGTTTATCCCTGGGATCAGAGACGACGTGTCCAAAGCTCTCCAATATAGACAGATGGGATTAGGGCATGACCTTGAGTTCTCATGGTCGTCTTGGGACGGGATAACCCGCCTGTCCAGGTTGATTTGGCGCTCCACCGAATCTGATACCCATGTCTGGTGTCCAGATTCCTCCACCACCAATCGTGCCACCCGCAACACCGACCGGCAAGGGTGAGGTGGAGGGAATAACCCCTCCAGGAGGTGGATTCCTTGTTGGCACCGGTGCCGTCAGTGCTTCTTGAGTCTCCGCAGGTGGTTGTTGCTGCATACGGCTTCTCGTCTGCGGCGCTGTATTCTGACTCCTTAATTCCCTCCTCGTTTCCTGAAGATTGAGCCTGCCCATATCTTGTCCCGCGAGCTCCGCTTCAAGCTGACTGGCCTCGATCCTGCGCTCTGACACTTGCGCTTTACAATTGTCTCGGAAACGCGTCACGTGAACGGCGAGGTCGTTATAGAACTTTCTTCCAGTGTCCAAATTGCTAATCAGCTCTTTGTATTTGGCATATCCTGTGTCCAGCGTCTGTAGAGCCTTCTGGCGATCTCTGGTACTGGTGTCGCCCCTTCGAGCGTCCAAAAATGCTTTATTCGCTTCCCGCAGTCGAGCAACAACTTGGTCTTGTTCCTCTTGTTCAGCTGCAAGAGCTTCGCGATCAGGCTCATACGCCTGAAGACGTGTTTCGAACAATTTCTCAAACTGTCCTGGTTCGATCTTCTGCATGGGATACTCCCGCTCCAGGCGAGCTGCTTCAGCGAGCAAAGCCGGTCCAATATCATCAGACTTGGCTTTTTCTTTGAGAGCCGCAATGCGATTCTTCTGCCGAGTCTCTAAACGGGAGACTTCGTTCAGACATGTCCGTAGTCGAGACGCGGCTTCCTCGATGGCCGGGGTCATGGTGACCTGACTGGACGAGGGAACAAATCGTTCAAGATCGCGATTTGTCCCAGTCAAGATTTTGAGAATATGCTCATTCTCCCGGAACTTTGCTTGCACCAAGTTGTCACTTGAGGCGGCAGAGTTTAGATACGTCTGCAGCTCGTTTGAAGTCTGATACAGTTTGGCCAGGGCGGTCGTGGAGGATGGACGTGCCCATCTGTCCGTGCCGTACTTGGCTCGAGCTCGCTCATCCTCGGCTTTCTCAGCCTCTAACAACGCAACGCCTTCCTGGTAGATGGCGAGATCATTCGTCTTCAACTTGGTCGTGTCTTCCATTGATCTCTTGATTCGGTACAGGGCGTCCTGCTGTCGAAGTTCCTCGGCCTTTGAAACCAGGCTGCCAGGCAAACCAAGTGGCTTTTCAAGGGCCTGTAATGAGCCAGGCAAATCGAGCGATTGCAGGATATCTCTCAGTCTAACTGTCATGGCTTCAAGATCGACAATGATAGACTGGTTTACAAGGCGGTCACGCCGATCGGCGTATATTGATGCAGCTTGATGGACAGCATAAGGAACAAGCTTGTCGAATAACGGCCTGCCAAAGGGTTTTCCTTCACCCAGCAGGGAAATGCCATTGACGATATCTGCAGGTGTCTTTGCAGCAACCATATTTGTTCGATCCAAAAGCCTGAGCTCCGATTTGGGCGTTGTTGTTTGTAGATAGATCAGATCATTGTCCTTTTCAGCCCTCTTCAGCTCTTCAGCGACCCTGGACTTGAGCCCGTTCAGATCCCCGGTGACCGTGGCATTGATGTATCGGGCTTCTTGAAGACCCTCGTTGACGCAGGTGAGACTGTCCTTGAGCCTGGCAATTTCTTCGCCGTACTGCTTGTTTTGCAGGCAGTATCGAGATTGTCGAAACTGAGCAGCAGCAGCGAAATGGTGGTGTTTCGCCTGGAAATGGTGTATCCATTCCGCGCTCACGGCCCTGGACTGACGTGCGGCATCCGCTGCAAAGACGTAGTAATCGGAGACTTTTGCTGCGAGTTTTGCTACTGTGCCGTCCGACATATTCCTCTTGATTGCTATCTGCCAGAAGGATTCTTGCCCTTGTGCCAAGCACAGCTGTTGCAGGCTGTCCAAAGTTATATCATCCATATCCTCGGGTGGGGTCGATCGCATATCAGGGAGGATATCTGTTCGTATGAAGGAAAAGGTGCCGGCGGCAGCGATACTATATTCAGCCGCAGATTTGAGGCCATCGATCGTCGTTCGATTCGTCGCATACGCAAGTTGTGAATATAGGGCCGCAAGATTGAAGAGTATATTCGCAAGCTCGAACCGTAGGTTGTTCTGTAGCACGGGCTTGTCGCGATCGTAGCCTATCGCGGGGTACCACGGGAAATCGACGCCGATGTCAATGGGGAATTTCCCGCCCAGGTATCGTAGCTGTGCAGCATATATCTGTAGGCGTTTGATACCACTGACGTGAGGCTCGCGGACGTTTATGGCGTCGTTCCGTAGGCGGTCGATGTCTCGCAGGTCATCTGCGAACATGTCTGGAGACTGGTCATACTTCGTGGAAATGTATTGTTTGATGGCGGAGGACAAATCCACCGAGTGCGTCCGACGAAAGGGGATTTCGAGGAGATTTCTGGACCCTGGTCAGCAACGGAAACCAACATCCAGAGCAAGTCCAAGACTTACGAAGCCATGCTGTTGTGGTTGTGCAGAGGAGCAGAGACTGCGGCTGAGAATCGTGCGTGTGAGGCACTGCGGCCAGCGTTGTGTTTTGGTCCAAGGCTGTGTGACGTCAGCCTCGGCAAGGCTGAGCCTCGCGAGAGAACGAGTGCTCAGTAGCCTTGCTCCTCTGCCATCCTAGAGCCGACTTCAACCAAACGAACAGGCTCCTGCGCAGGGTGAACTCCTCATTCGGAGCCTCGCTCTTTTCCCCGAGTGCCAGGACTGTTGCCAATTGTCGAGACTCGCACTCAAACCCAATACGGTGCTGATCCAGCCATCAAAGACCCAGTCGAAGGGCGGGCGGAGTTCTCCATGCGCCCATCCATCAGTGCCCCTCGCTCGCTCCAATGAGACGTCTATCTTTTTGCCATCGGATCCCTTCACGCCCTTCAGACTATTATCTTGTACCAAGCATCCTTCTCCCTCCCATATCAGGTGCGATTCAACCTAACATCAACTCTTTAAGAAGACATCTTGCGCCCCCATAATATCCAGGCGTTTGGCTTGTGCAAAGTTGAGCTTCCTCTCCGTTTCGTCGCTTCTTCCTATTGTCTACTTTTCTCTATCCTAGCCTCGTCTCCTCCCCGACCCATATCCTTTGTCAAAGATGGCCCCTTCTGCGATCAGCGACCTCCTCCCCTCCGGCCCCGTGGCCTCAAAGTCCGTCACTCCCGGCAAGGAAGAACATGTCCACGGGATGGAGGACAAGTCGCCCCTCGCGGCCATTTCCCACGGCGACGTGATGTTGCCCGGTGTACCCAAATTCGACAACTTCGCCGCCCAACGCCAATGGCAACTTGAGCACATGGCCGCTGCTTTCCGTCATTGGGCACGAGAGGGATTCGTTGAGGGCATTTCAGGACATATCAGCGTGCGCGATCCGGAGAACCACGAAGTCTTCTGGACGAACCGTACGTCTTCCCGCCAAACATCCCCCTCTTCCGGACAATATACAGCGGCGTACTAACCGCGAGACAGCGCTGGGCGTGCACTTCGGCCTTCTCAAAGCCAGCGACATGATCGCGGTGAACCTGGCGGGCAAGGTCGTGGGGGGCAACACCAGCCGCCCGCCCAACGCCGCGGGCTTCCTGATCCACAGCGAAGTGCACAAAGCCCGCCCGGACGTGACGGCCATCTGCCACGCGCACACCGTCTACGGCAAGGCGTGGTCCGTCTTCGGCCGGCCGCTGGAGATGCTGACGCAGGACGCCTGCAAGTTCTACAACGCGCACTCGGTCTACAACTCGTACGGCGGCGTCGTGCTCGCGAGCGAGGAAGGCGCCCAGATCGCCAAGGCCCTGGGCCCGACCAACAAGGCCTGCATCCTGCGCAACCATGGCCTGTTGACCGTGGGCAAGACCGTCGACGAAGCCGCCTTCCTGTTCACCAGCATGGAACATGCCTGCCAGGGCCAGCTGCTGGCCGAGGCCGCCAGCCAGGGTGGCAACTTGCCCAAGGTCCTCATCTCGGAGGAAGAGGCGCAATACACGAACAAGATGGAGAGCGATGAAGAGACCTGCTATGCCGAGTTCCAGGTCTACGTGGACTGGGAGGATTATCACAGCAAAGGCGACTTTAGGAAATAGATGGGCCGCGTTAGCGAGACAGTGACTAAAGAGGACGACAAAATCCGTTTAGACGTAGTGGTAGGAGTCATAAAGTTGATATATTATTATAAATACCGTGACGTGTCCGGTGCGCTCCTCTCAGTAACGGTATTAGCAAGTCAGTTATGTATGCGTGGCAGGGAGGGAGACACCCTCGGTCCGTGACCCATTGGTCCAGTGAACCTGCAAGAGAGTGCGATATGACAGAAACCTCCGCAGAGATGATCAGTCGTCCACTTAGAAGAGATTGAAATTTTCCCCTGTTGGGCGGCCATGAGTGGTAGATGACGAGGCCCGTTCCGTGCGCAGGATTTTCTGGACATGCGTGGTAAAGGCCGCCCCTCATCGACAAATAAGTCGAATCTGCGAACAGGAAGGCCCTCATGGACGGCAGATGAAACGCCAGACAATCTCTAGGTGTTCCTGGCGCGTCCGTTTTCAAGCATGGATTCGGTCGGAAAAGATGGTGGTAGGGCCGCCCTGAACCGAGAGGTTCCGGATATCGTTATACTCTATCTGGTTCCTATAATGTTGATGAGGCCATGAGTAGTAACAACGGCCCTCATGGGCATAGCCTGCTGAAATTATAGACATATCGACATAGGGTTGGGCTTCGATCGTCTGGATGTGGTGGCTTCAGAGGAAGAGCGATGTTCGTCGATAACAGGTGCGAAGTAGTGATTCGTGAGGGAATCAGGGATGTGTTACCAAAAGTTGCCTCAACTTGAACCGGAGCCATTTAACCCATCGAGACCTATTCAATTGACGTTATGAACTGGGTGTTGCGCTTGTTGCTGCTGATCTTCGTGTCCTTCGTCCCGGCGCTGCTCCCGTTGAAGATCGTCTGTCTGTTCGCGTTGTTCTTCTTGACCCCATTCATTCCAGGTCCAGGTGATAGCGCAACCAACCAGAATCCACCTTGAGAGAAAACTCCAGAGCGCCGCTCGCCATAGCAAGGCTCTCTGCCACATTGGCCGCTTCCAGACACCAGCACTTGTCAAGATGGTGGCGATGAGAAGAAACGGACCGACTTCGCATGACAACAGCAAGGCTCTCTGCAAATTGGGATAAGCTCTTCCGAATGCCGTCGTCCTGGCACTGTCATGGCCGCCAGCTCTTCTTCGCTGGGGTGGCATGTTGAGATGTTTGGGGATGCGCGAAAATACGTGACGACCTATCGTGGAGTTGATGGCAGTACCAATGGCAATCTCAAGATTTGTATGCAACGAATACAGGGAATGTATAGCCTAGGAACTGTCTGAACAAGAGGGCTATTGCTGCTTTGCAGTTCGCCAGTGACAGTCACAATTCATAGGACTTGGTGCAGATGCAACGGCGACGGTCCAGCCCAGACGTGAGGAAGATGGTGGATTTGATGCTCGTATTCTCTAGTATTTCCCCGAGATCGTGCGACCGTCAACAACGACCGGAAGCGTGTTGAGCAAAGGGTTGCGGTCTTGAAACGGCTACCCTACTTGGAAGAACATTGTTTGTCTCTCGGTGTCGAACCAGGGGACACGAACGATTCGGTGTCGATGTCAGCAGGGATGACCAAAGAAGATCTAGGAGGTTGTCGAATTCGAGGCGATCACAATGGAGAAAAGCAGAGTGACTCGTAACTCGCAGCTTGTTGGGTGGATGTCATGGAAACACGGGCAGGCACACGATCAACCTGTTCAGATGGCCATGATGTAGGTAGGTTTGTTCCCTTAAAGTTTGTGTAGTTTGTTTAGTTTGCCCAGTTTGCCGCATTTGTAAGCTTTGCGAGATTTGCCCACACGCGGCCCTCACCAATCGCCTTCCACTCTTGGTCCTGGCCGTACTGAGAATCAAATACATTCTTGTTCATTTTGTTGACAAAAGAACTCGGTGAGCTAAAGAATATCCGACCAAGTCTAATCTATACGGCGCAATCCAGCCAAAAGGAAAAGAAGAAAACGACCAACTCCTCTGCTTCCATCACCACCCGAAGCCTTCCTCAATGAAGTCCACATTTACGCCATTGTCAAGCATCGCCCGGGATGCACGCCTGACTTCATCTGCCAGCCCTCCACCTGCGCAGACACTTATTCCCATACAGCCGACTTTCTGCCTGGCCTCGCTCGCAATGAGGGTTTCCACATCCGGTCTCCCCCGCGCCATCTGAACGTGTTCGCTTGGACTTCGGATAACCTGGCTGAGGCTGACTCTAGTGACATACAAGAGAACTTTGAGCACCTCTCTCCGTCCTTCCATGGATAGAATCTCGTGCATCCATGGTCGAATCCAGTCCAGACATTCCGTTGTCGGTATAACCCACACAAGTGTGACTCGTTTCGCCGCCACTGTACCATGGCCGTATCCTTCCACAAGCTCCTTGACATATCCAAGTTGATGCGTAATGCCGACACCACTTGCAAAGAGGAGCACTGTCCCATAGCTTGACATGCTGCGCTCGTTTCCGTACGGTCCTTCGATCAACGCATTGAGCTCCAGACCTGCCCCGGCCGTCATTGCACGATGCCAGAGTTTGTTCGTCATGCCTGTTTGCTTTTTGACGATCAAGGATATTGTTTCTTCTCCACGTTTTTCAATGTCCTTGGAGTATATGTGGATCGCCGGTCGCTTTTCGCTGTAGTTTGATCTGAGTGAAGATGATCTGCTCAAAGGATCTTCAATCCCGGACCACGCGACGGAAAAGGGGTGCGCTGTCCATAAACCGATCGAAGGAATTGTCAGATACAGCGATTGGCCCGGTCGATACGTCCAGGGTCTTGGGCTCGTGAGTGTGATCTTCACCACGCCACCGTTCAGCGGCTCAAACTTGGCTTTGGTGCCACCTCTCCCAACATTTCTGTAGACCAATGTCACAAGTCTAAGAGACCTTGCCGTGGCCCAAATTATGACAGCCCCAAGCAACAACCCCCTTTGAGGTACACCTTCAAGGTGCCTCCAGAGGAATACTAGTACCAACACCACAAGGACAACATGTAGGTGCAGGAAGAATTCGTACGCCAGGTTCCTAATCACCTTTGGACTTGACAACAAGATGAATACGAGGCTGATAGCGGCAATCAAGCCACTGTAGATGAAAGGACTGTCCAATGATGTCTTCACTGCAGCCCAGCCGCTCGACTGCACTTTTGGAATGAGCCAGCACAGAACATGAGTAATGGCTTCACAGATAGCCAGACGACCAAACCAGCGGTGCATCAAATTGAAAGTGTCGTACGAAATGTCCAGCATCGATATCAATGGATTCTTCACCGTCGCCATGACCATGATTGGGATCAAGTTGGTCACCGCCAGGGTCCCAGTTCGGTTTCTGAGGACAGGCAAAAGCTGCTGCTCGGGTTTCGACCATGGGATATTCCAGGTGCAGAGGAAGAAATTTGTAATGACCACCGAAAGTATGAATGAAGTTTGCAATCGTGTTGGAACAGTCCCAAAAGTAACACGACGAGAAAATCTGATCTCTCGGGCCCGTCGATAGAAGAGGATTGGAGCATATAGCAGCTTGCTCTTAACCAGACTGATGGCAGGCGAAGCGCTAGAAAAGTACCGAAGAGCGCCTGCGCCAGACATGGAGGCCAAGTGTCGAATGTGGGCATTGAGCCGCAAGGTCAGTGAATAGGCGAGAAGCAAGGCAACGACACCCAGCATTGCCCCAAGGTATGAGTGGGAGATGGTCCCGTTGAGTCCTTCGAGGTGGGCTTGTGCTGGATCGTATTGATAGTGCGAGTTCCCGCTGGTTGTTGCATTGCCTGTCGTAGCAGCCTGCGCGGCCGCAAAGATGGTTGCCATCACGAAGGAAGAAGAGGAAAACATCATTTTGACGGCGGCGACGATCTCAGAAGTAAAAACCGAAAGAGTAAAGGACAAGCCCAGCTCGTCAGGCAGTCAGGCGGACGACAGTCGCCTTGGATCACCGGGAATGCAAGGTATACCAGACGAGCATTGGGCAGGTGATATGGAGTGCGGCAATGGCCCAAGTGATGAAGAAAACGAAAATGCCAAGGGTCAGCTGCCAGACCTGGGTTGTAGTCACTTTGATATTAAAATCACCCGAGATCTCGAGATTTGGCGAAATGACGAATCCAAGGGCCTAGATGAGTGGCTGATATAACTTGTGTGGGGTACCGACCTGGTCTGAAACGAAGCTTTCCTACTCGCAGGTAGACGGGGTGAGCTTGGTTTATCTATATCGGCGCCATGAGCCGGACGGGCTTCGCGTAATTTCGATCATCATCCGAGGCCATAGCTTGCCACTATTAATACTGAAGGAATGTCCGGCGTTGTACAACGACAAGGGCGAGAGAAACGGGTGGCAATCATAGTAGGGCATAAGGGGGGCAAGAAGAGGTGACACGGCGAAGGAGAGCGAGTCCCATGAATCCTGGTAGTAGAATTCCATGGCTTTGGACGGCGCTGATACGGCAAGCACTAAATCCTCAATCGCCTTGGAAGCAAGAATGTGGAGCAAAGCACTTGTAGGTGAACGCAATGTTACGTAGAGGTGATTTCTCTATCGAGGAAGAAAGGGAGGAGGGAGAGGGAAAGGGACAAGGTGGTAGAGAGAAGGATGCGGGCGGGTGCCTGCCAAGCCACCAAGGCGCTTTTCCGATTGGTGGATCTGGGTCGGACCAATCTCAAGCGACCGGCATGCCCAGCCACGATACCAATCGGGCCAATCGCCCCGCGCCGGCCGCTCTCCTACTTGCCGGATCCTGAAACAGTAGTTCCGCCGACTGCCCGCTATCAATCTAATCTGTATCAGCCTTGGGCGTTTTCTATTTCCGTGCTATCAGTCGTGGCCTGCGGATCTCGAGGATTGTCGACGTCCTCTGTTTTCCTGAAGTCGCCATCAACGGAGCTCCGGCTGAACGATCACTGGTGTTGTGCTGCAGGAAATATTCCAGGCACGGACGAGAAATTCCTGGATGGATGCAGTGCAACTGCAAAAATACGCTGCGGTGTCGCGGTGACGAATGCTCGTTCTCTGCAAGGGGCCGTGGAACATCATCACCCTTGGGCACACAATGGGCTACAGTCATGTCACCCGATGTCGCATGTTAGTTGTCTCGCCTGCTATTGCAGCAAGCTTAATTCGGCTTCGGATTCCTCTTCGAGATGTTGATGTTGCCGACCATGCATTCGGGGCATGTGGTCGCCAGCAGTTTCTGTAGGGCTTGAGCGCGATGCCCTTTGGGGAAGTATTCCGCGCCTGACTTTTTTGTATTCGAAATCTCCATCCATATGCACCTCAACGTCATCAGACAGATGCCTCCGCTTCAACTTGTTTCCAGTCCTTCGTCGCCCATTGATAGCTGATGGTGAACAGGTTGGTGAATGTTGGTGAAGGACGCGCCGTCCTGGGATCTGCTCGGCGATTGAGCCATTCTCGTCCCGCCTTGGGTCACCCGCGATGATCTCCTGGAATGATTTTTCGGTGTTCGGCCTGGTTGCAGGAGTCTTCGCGACCCATTCCTCTACAGTTTCATCCCAGCGATATCCGACGTCGAATGGGTTTTCATGCTCCACCATAATGTTCTTAATATGTTTTCCTGCCGTTTCATGAAAATCGGAGGCCCACGATAAGATGCTCGGTTCTTCAAGATGCTCGGCAGCATACTCCATGGCACCATTGGCGGCAAGCTGAGCAAGCAAGGCGCTAAGTTGCTGCCATTCGCCGCATTTTATGGATAATAAACGCACCACCAATCGCTCAACGTCACTCCAGGCTCGGCAGAGAGCTATGATAGTACCCCCTAGCTCCTTGCAGATTGTACTCGGAGAAGACATTGTGCGTAACAAGGATCCAAAACTCCGTAGGAGATCATCCGGGACCTCATAACCGGCGAGAGAGAGACGACATAGTTCTCCAAAGAATATTTGAGCAACAAGCAGCTGCTGGAATTCTGGTAGTTGCCATGCTCGCCCAAGGTCCACCTGAACTTGAGCCATCCGTGAAATCCGCTCAATCAATGTTGCAAGTGCTCCAGGGTTAGCACCGCAGGAGAGCGAGAGCATGAAATAGAAGGTCATTTTGAGCCGTTTCCAGAGGGATTTGCTCATTTCAATATCATCCACCGGTGTCGATTCGCTTCCATATTCGATATGAGAGCATCTGTTCGTACCACGCAGAGTGTGCCAGTCGCTTATTGGGGGGTAAGATATTGCGCGAGAAAAGACGCCTTCGAGCAGGCAACAGGAAAGTGAACAGGGGTCGTATTTACATTCTCTGCAGACAATGGTGAAAAATGCCAAATGCTTCCATCTTATATGGCGGGAAATCAGGTGTAAGGGATTTTGTCTGGTCTGCAGAGCACGCACCATCGATCTGATACTGAGGTTATACCTCCATGGACTTGACACATCGACTGGACCGTCAGGTGGCGGAAACATAAGATCTAGTCCAGGCATGTCGTGAAAATCGATGTCTGAGTTGTTGGAATTGAAGGATGCCTCAATTAGAGACTCCGACACGGCTTCAACGAAGTCGGAGAAGAGGAGGCGTTCACGCGAGCGAGGGAGAAGCATTTTGGCGGTCTGTTCGGGTATTGCGCGGGCTTCAATCAGGCGCGAAATCATTGAAATTCCACATGCTCGTGTTAAAACTCTTAGCTGTGGCCATCCTCTCTCAGAATCCCCGAAATAGTCCTCGAGCTCTTGAAGCTGCCCACCCATGATATCTTGTTGACCATCATATCCATTCTTATTTGCATCATTATGCTTCTGCTGCTCAATGGTAGTCCGCGATAGCTTGAGCAAACACAGGTGCATCAGGGACTTGGGTCCTTGACAATCACTCTCCTCTTCTGATCCCAAATCATCACCGTGACTATCGTGTTCGGGGCCGGAAGTTGCCACTAGGAACGCTGGAATGATAGTCCGAGCATCCCGAATGATAGATTCGTAGTCTTTGGCGAGATGGACTGTATGAGCCGTCCAGCGGTGCGATCCTTCATAAGTCTCTGATACTGATTCGTGCACAATATCTGCGGTATGGTAGTCTCCATTCAGTTGGATCGTTGGACTGTGTGCGGCCCTTGCGATATTGGGAATGGACCGAATGTCACCGCTGTGGGGCGTCAATGCTGTTGAGCAAGACTTGCGCTGTCGTTTAGGCAGTGGAGTTCGCGGTGCCGTCCTTGTACGGCCTGTATATCTCCTCTGTGACCTCCGTCCATTTTTAGAAACTTGCGCTAGCCACGTGGGCGGTTGTTCGGCCTCTAGTTTCTTATCCTCCAATGTCGGTGGCTTTTCTGATGCGCTCAGGAAGGCTTTGTGCCATTTTTCAAGCCTGGCTACCAGACGGTTTAGTTGCCGGAGGGTTCTGTGGCACCTGGATGTGGTCCAGGGAGCAGGAATCTGGCTCGGGGAACCCCCGTCCTTGGAAGAGACACGCGGCATCAAGATAGGCGTACGTCGGACCAAGGCAGTCTGGTCAGAGAGAATGCACGACACACAAAGTCATAGGCATTGATTGGATGAACTTCCTAGAGACCATGAGTATGTTCAGGGGCGACCAGAACGGAAAATATGCCTCGACGTCATTGTTTACTTTCCACATCCGCTTCGGGACAAGCTAGGCGCGTGCTCTATTTTTACGCTCTTCGAGTCCATCTTTCCTCCCAGTCCCAGCAAATTGGGTCTTGACCATCAAAAGAGAGAACAGCATAAATTGAGCGTGAGCTCATCAAGCCTTGACCAATTGTAAAGCTGGGCTTCCTCTCGCAGTAGTGAAGGAAGATGGCGAACATCATAAGTGTAACTGCTATTCTAACCCGACCGCTACTCGTCGACACCGTGTTCAACCTGGTACACGAGCTTCTTGCCCTTGGACTGACCACCTCTAAGCCTGTTTAGGCCCTCGGACACGCCGTCAAGGCCTCCGGGAATGATTTCGTACGGATGACCAGAGTACTTTCCCTGTCTCAGAACGTCTTCAAGCCAGACGAAGAATTTCCTGGCGAAGTCAACATCTCCGCGTGCATCCTCTGCCGAAGGTTGCTTGGGCATTCCGTGTCTGTAGGAACCTTCATGCCCTGTACCAACAAAGGTGTAGAGTATCTTTACGTCCTTTGAAATGGCTTCCTCGTCGTACCTTTTGGCGCCAGAGAAGACACTGAGCGTTCCCCGGTGAAGCATCTGACTGACATGGACCCAGCTTTCGTCATTATTAAACGCATCAAGCCCGTTTTCCAATGTCAATTTTTGTTCCTCTGCGACTTGTCTGACCTGCTCTTTTATCGTTTGCACCCCTGCTCGATAATCGAGAAACACATCGCGAGGAAGATCGAGCAGACCCTTGAGGTAATCGCTACTTGCTCCGCCGATCGCAACGATCGGCGTAACGCCAGCGAGTTTTGCAAGCTTGATAGCGTAAGTGCCGAGGGATGTGGAGGCGGCATACACCAGGAATGGCCTCTGGTTTTTGATCTCTGCATTCGGATCCCAGGGAGCGGCAAAGCCTTGTCTTCGAAACAATGTCAAAGCGGCTGTTAGACTGACAAGCGGGATAGTACTGGCTTCTTCAAAGCTCATGGTCTCTGGAACGTGGAAAGCGGTATGTTCTGGGGCAATGGCGTATTGAGCATACGCTCCGTACGGCTTCCCCATCGGATGGAAAGCAGCAACCCGATCCCCGGGTCGAAATCTGGATACGTTTGAGCCAGTGGCCACGATAACGCCAGCCAGGTCATCTCCGGAATTGAGCGACACGCCCGTGGCAGCAATATGCAGCCAATCTTTTGGATTTGAAGCGACAGCATATACTTTGATCAACACTTCATTGGGCAGCAGGGATGTTGGCAATGGGATGGTGGAGATAGTAGTGGTTATCGGGTCAGTGGGATGCACTGCTGCTGAAAGTGTGACCGGGGGGAGCTTTGTTGTCGATGTCATGTTGAGTGATGGATGTTCTTGGGGCGCTAGGGAAAGATGTGATGATAGTGAATGTATTTGATGCTCATTTCACCAACAGTATCCCCAGGTTCATATAACCCATCCGCTTACCAGGCTGGCTGCGAACATGAGTCGTACGAATATGCATTGACAGCGCAGGCTCAGTGAGATCACCAACCGCCGACAAAGCTCTCCTGCATAAGTCGGAGAGACTTCCCAATCAAGGGCCACAATGCTCAAGATATGCTATTCGGATGCATTGCATACCTTGGATGATTCAGCTTGTACGGCATGGTTCAGACCTACCGTGTCATCCAGTCTCAGGCATGGTTGAACAAAAGCACGAACTGGGGTTATTGTTTCGCTGGGGCTGACAAAGCTTGGTGACATTTTGAACGCCACTTAATAGGCCAAGACCAGTGAGAGCCACAGTACCGTCTCTCCACAGATCAATCCTTCTGCTCAAATTTGCTGGGACTAGTCATGAGAGACTCAAGGAGTGGTGTTGAATCAAAAGCAAGGCTTTGAACATCAGAAGACTTTACCTGTATGACACGGATACGTGAGGAAGAACAGCTCTCCATAGCGATGTTCAGGGTGGACTGTTGTGGGAAGGAGGATTCAGATGGTACACTCGTACAAGATGCATGTGCACTAGGTTTACAAGATGAAGACCAAGGGAAATCGGGGTGTGGATGGAGTAGATCTTACATATATACTAGGTCCCTAACCTATATCTAGGAAAAATATAGGGAAGGATAGGCACGACCTAGAAAGACGCCTACAAGTAGGTATTCTCTTTTCTCACAGGAAGCGGAACATGCTCCGCCATGGATCTGGCATCTCAGCGCTGTTTGCAGTTTTGTGGGACGCTGCTTTCATAATCCACGTCCCTGTCCGGAGTATCATTCTTGCTCTTCTGCTCTGCTTGGATCCTTAATATGGGGCAATATAATATCCACCATAAAGGCATCAAAGGGGGCTGCTTCTCATGACGTCAACTCAACATCCACCACGTCAACGGGCATTCACGGGACAAGACGGTCCTCCGTATCCTATACCAAGTCTTCTCATCGCTATTCTTTCCACCCTGCTTGCGCAAGCCGTAGATGTCCCATCGATAGACTAGCGCAGCCTATTGCTGGTAAGTGGTGGATCCTCTTCCTCACCTTCCTTCCACGGCCCCTCCGCCGCCGGAGCCACGGTGCCCTTTCACCCTCCGCCCGCTCTCAATTTTCTTTCCTTTCTGCTCCCTTTTACTGGTACGGAGAACACGTCTCTGTCTGTGTCGACCGATATCGCCGAACCGAGTGGGAAGGAGAGGCAAAGCCGGGACCACCCTCTGCCACTTAGAACCCCTGCCCTGCAAATAATTCGGTTACCTAAGACCTCGTTCTGCTCGTCGTACTTCCCGGTTGCGAATCGGGGATCTAGGATCTCGGACCCAGTACGAGATCAACTACGTACTTTGTACTTTCCACCTCACTGATTAGGTACTATTCGAAACCATGCAAAGGGCTTTGACGGTGAACAACAACCAAGTCTTCGCAACGGCTTCGAACTCCGCTCCGGATCTGCGCGGCTGAGATCGCAACCAGCCAACCAGCCAGACTGTGAGCGGACCAGCGAGCGAAAACCGGCTAGGTCTCGTGTTGGGATATGGGTCGCGCTTTCTGTATAAAGTCGATCCACGGCGGGTGTGGGCGCTGGCTGGGTCCATGAATCCGAGAGAGGAGTAGTAGACATGTGCTCTTCTTCCTCGATTGTTTAATACATTTACATTTTGTCTTTCTTCCCTTCCAGAATTCTATATCATTTGACAATATACTATTCAGGGCTCGGGGACGCGGACTGCGAAATCTTTAGCAACTCGAGACGGTATCTATTGTCCCCATTTTTTGCACACTTTTTTTTCCCCCCCTTTGGAGACCAGAGCCCCGATATAAAACGTCATTTTGCCGTCACGCCAATCAGACAAATCAAAACCCTCGATCCACCATCTCTATTCTCTTTTGTCATAGATAAATAGTCCACATCCGTGTGGCGTGTCGACCTCACAGAATTGGGGGGCTTTCTCAGACAAGGCTCTGAAAGGGGAGAGAACCAGTCGGGTTAGCTGATATGGCTGAGGATCACTCTCAACGCAACTGGCGGGCGACAGCAGACGACGCGCAACAGAGCAGCGGTGGAATCAACAGCGGTGGAATAGGTTCGCACAGCGACGACAGCGACCGGCTCGAACAACCAGTACAAGAAAAGGAGGCTGAAATACCCATATCTCAATATTTCGATCCCAATTCAAGCCACGGGCAGAAGGAAATGGGAGCCAACCCCGAAGGCGGGCCGTCGAGGACGGACTCAGCCTTGACCAGGCACGACACCGTCACGACCAGCAGAACCATCACTCTTGACCGCCAGCCCAGCCTGACCAACACGGTGTCGCGAGTGCCCACGGCGACGAAACCGCCGACCTTCTCCACGGCGCACGAGATCCTCTTCATCGCCGTCATCAGCTCGGCACAGCTCCTGACCCAGTCAGCGCTGGCGCAGTCCATCGCCCCCTTGCACGTCATCGGCCGCACCTTCAACACCACCAACCCAGGCCAACTGTCGTGGCTCGCGGCCGGCTACTCCCTGACCGTGGGGACGTTCATCCTCCCCGCGGGCAGATGGGGGGACCTGTACGGACACAAGCGGCTCTTCATCGGCGGCTACTTCTGGTTCGCCGTGTGGTCTATGGTCGCCGGCTTCGCGGCCTTCTCGCGCTCCCTGATTTTCTTCGCCTTCTGTCGCGGCATGCAAGGCATCGGCCCCGCCATCTTGCTCCCTAACGGCATCGCCGTGCTGGCCCGCACGTATCCGCCCGGGAAAAAGAAGAACATGGTGCTCAGCATCTTCGGCGCCACCGCGCCCGTGGGCTTCGTCGTCGGCGCCGTCTTCTCGGGCATCTTCGCTCAGTTCGTCTGGTGGCCCTGGGCATACTGGGTCTTGGCCATGGTGCTGGCCCTGCTCGGGGTCTTGGTCATCTTCGTCGTCCCTGCCATGCCGGTCGCGGGGCCGTCGGCGACTTTCCACGAGCTGGACGCCACCGGCACCGTGCTCGGGGTGCTGGGTCTGATTTTCTTCAACTTTGCCTGGAACGAAGGTCCCGCGGCTGGATGGGGCAAGGTTTATGTTTATGTCCTGCTGATCGTCGGCGTGGTGTTGCTGGTCGCTTTCTTCTGGTTTGAGAAGAAGAGGGCCACGTTCCCGTTGCTGCCCATGTCGTCGTTCACAATGGACACAAATCTTGTTTTCGGATGCGAAGCACTGGGTTGGAGTTCGTTTGGGGTCTGGGTATTCTATCTATGGTTAGTTCTCGCTCCGGGAATGTCTGCCCTCGTTGTGTGCTCTGCTAACGAATCTCTCAGGCAATTTCTGGAGCTCGAAAGGGGTCAATCCATTCTGCTCTCAGCTGCCCAGCTCGTTCCAACGGCATTGTCCGGATGCATGGCAGCGATAACCACCGGGCTTTTGATCGCCAAAATGCAGCCGGGATGGATCATGCTCATCAGCATCAGTGCGTTCTTGACCGGAATGATCCTGCTTGCCACAATGCCGGTGCACCAGACCTACTGTAAGTTGCTTTCCCCAGAAGCAGTGTCTCCGACTGCCATAGGAGCTGTTCCTCCCCACCAAAATGGTCCTGTCCACTGCGGATGCAGCTCGTTGCTGACAAGATAATACCCAGGGGCGCAAACTTTCGTAGCGACCGTCATCACTCCCTGGGGCATGGATATGTCGTTCCCGTCCGGAAATATTGTGCTGTCTGACCATATGCCGCCCGAGCACCAAGGACTGGCGGCATCCCTTATCAACACGGTCATCAATTATAGTATTTCAATCGGCTTGGGCATGGCGGGCACTGTTGAAGTAAATGTGAACTCCGGCGGCCGTAACCAGCTGCAAGGCTATCGTGGAGCTTGGTATCTGGCAATTGGATTTGACGGACTGGGCATCTTGTGCGCCATATGTCTGATTCTTTCTTGGAGAGCGCGGGTCAAGGGTAAACAAAAGGTCAACAATCAGAAGGAGGTGGACTTGGCGTAATCTAGTGTTTTCAATTGTTTAGCTGTCAACAGCTCCATCCAAGTCCTTGGTCAGCTGCAACTTGGTCCAGTTCCGTCATACCGTCACCAGGACGGAGATATTTTAGGGAAGACCTTGTCTTTCAAATATTCCAGAAGGGTGGTGTTTTGGTCAGAACCCTTGTACCAGCACCGAACCTGGACTGTGACCTTCTGTGGGAACTGCCACGTCCACGTTCCAAACGAGTGAGGGAGGTGTAGGTCCATTCATCTCCAATTCCTCCGTGCGTTGACTGGTGAATGTGGATATTCCAGGAAGCACTTTGTTCTGCTGCTTTCAGACCAGACTCGGACTGAGGGCGAGCACATCACTTTGGCTAGACTTGTGCCATAGACAGCTTGCGATGTTCCAGCAAGTATAGTCTTCAACCTGACGATATTCATTCCGAATCTGAAGGCGGCCCAGCGTCTCCATCGTCCGCCTCATCCGGGTGGACATCTGCGTTCTGGAGACCTTCGTTCAGAACATATTCCTCCTTGATGAGTATGCCACGCAGCTCTTCTGTTCTGGGTGTGCAAATCTCAGCAGGTTTTCTGCCATGTTTGTCTTTGACTCTAGGATCACCTCCGGCGTCGATCAACATTTTTGCCATTGCCTGTCCAAGTTCAACTTCTCGCTCGTTGGCGTACTTGACTGCGCAATGAATGGGTGTCTCTTTTTCTCGCCGATTTAAGGGATCGCATTCGAGGAATTCAATGTTGAGTAACTCGTCCATAACGTCATCTGAAATGGTGTCAATCTATTGCCATGCGACACATAGTCCTGTGAACGTACAAGCTCCATAACTTGCGCATACGTGTAAAAGGTGATTTCCCATAGTGTCTGTGGTGGAGTTGAAGAAATCTGCTACCTGTTCCTTGCTTTTGTCCTTCATGTCATTGAGCACTTCGTGAAACAGTTCGAGATTGTCTCTCCGACATGCTTCGAGTATCTGTTCTTTGGGAGACGCTCCCTGCCAAGTTTGTCAATGGGGAGGGCGGAGCGCAGGGACAACCTGCTCACATCGACATGCTCAGCCATGATGGCTGTCTGGAAATCTGCGCAGACGCTGTAGTACACGAAGACACGACTGGTTTGCGCAGAACCAGGTAGGGACACGGGTACTGGTTAGCTGCCTACAGTCGAACTCGACGCGGAAGGGGACGGGGAGGGTGGATGGTAGCAGGCGTGGTGATCGCTGTGAAGGGAGCAAAAGATTGACAGGACAGAAGGAGTGGAACAGGTGCAGAGACTGAGGGAGGTCTATATGGTGAATTGCAGTGGACAAAGGGGCTTCTCAAACACTCGATCCAGGCATCCCGCCAACCCCTCGACACAAGTCGGCGCCTCGTGAAGCAAAATTGCCGAGTGCCCCTCGCCCTCCGCTTTCATTTTTGCTGTGTTTGCAAGTTTTGTCAACTCGAACGTGCCCTCCCAGTGTCTATGATTTCCTCAGGAACAATCACCGCACTTTGACGGTTAACGAGTGTTGAGGCTTTTGAGCCATGGCTCCTACGTGTAAGCAATCGCTCCCTATCCCTGGAATTCGAATGTTAACAGAGCTAAAACCCAGTCTGCCCATACTGCTGCAACTGCCTCACACTCGCACGGGCACCAGGAAATGACAAATTTCCACATGGTCGCAACGCGTTTGCTTGTAGGACATGCCCTTACCTGTTCATCGTCGACCGGCAGTACTTCGACCCCACATGGATGAAGAAGAAAGAGAAGGACGATATCCTCGGAGAAGAGCAGTCTGATCTGCCAGTCAACGAAGGTACTATATGCTCACATTCAAAGAGGGAAAGAGAAGCATGTTACTCACATTGTTCACCTCCTAGTTCCCGGAGGATGCCCGAACGAGGAATGCGACTCCAAGAAGGCCTACTTTTATCAGTTGCAGACACGAAGTGCAGACGAACCACCGACCTCTTTCTTCAAGGTACGGTGTGATGTGGTCCCAAGCCCCTTGTTCGGATACTAACGGTGCGCAGTGTATTGAATGCGGAAAACAGTGGAGAGAATACTGATACATCATACAATATCAATTGTCTCCTCAAAAACAGACTGCGTTTAATCTTCCCGCTCGGATGTCAAGTGCAGGGAAACTGGCCCAACCGAGTCCCCTTGGTGAACAGGAGGAAGCAATGGACTAGGTCAAGGGTACACTTGGTCGCCTGGCAGAAAATTGCCTTGAACACGGCTGGTTTTTCGGTCAAGGGAGCCTCTGCAGCAAAGAGCGAGAAAAGCTCGCACACATATCAACGCTATAGCCAACTTGAGGGGCGAATGGTTGGAGTCAAAAGTCGCGCATCGCTGTCGTGACCGACTGCCGCCTTGACCTACGCTCTGCAACGGCTAACAGCTTGATATCAGAGCGGATGATGCTCTGATCTGCGAATGACTGGACAGCGACTAGCATGGAAAGCAAAGGCATTCGGGCATAACTTCTAGAGGCCGCCAGAAAAGCATGGAGCATACAGGGGAGCGCAAATCGCAGGATGAGTCAGTGCTATTGATACCGCACAGGAGTCGCTGGTGCCATGGGTGCACATAAGTCTTTGGACCCAAGTCAGATGGAGTTGATGACCGTTAACTCCGTGAGAAGGCGAGCTATCGAAGTCAAAAGAACTCAGCCGTCACAAAGAGAAAAGCTTGGATGCTGAAAATTTGCCGGAAGACGATCGTTCTGGAGAGTCTCTGGTGACTTTGATGGCAAACTCATCTCGAACTTGGTAGCTGGTGGGTAAATAGCAGAGTGGTTGCCACAGATATGGCAGCCTCGGGGAGAATTTTTGAACAGATTGTCGTATTCCAATTGGCTGGAGCTGGTATGAGGCGACACTGGCACCAGTGGCAGCCTGCAGGATCTCCCCTAGTCGCTAGCACATGCCGAAGCTTTCTGATTTCCTTCGCCAATCATGGGAGATGCAGCCAGTGGGCTGACGGAGAAAGAGCATGGTGAGGAGCCCGAAGAGCCTAAGAGCCTGCGAGCCTGAGATGAGGAATGGCAGTTCGCGCAGTAGTGGGGCTTGGGCCGCAAAATGCTGTGCTGAGGGTCGCAGGAGGGTGAACAGACCTGAAGGGTGAGTGACGGCGAGACGGTTCAGCGCGGGTTTTTTGAGTCACTGCCACTTGGATGGCTTGAATGGCTCACAACGCCAAGCCCAGTCCCTCGCCCGCCAGCCTACAAAATCTTCCGCACACTCTCGCCGACTTTGATTCTCTCCCTTCTTCGTCGCTCAGTGAGTTCTTCACCCTGCCCCTACACTTTCCATCACCCAGGACTAATCAGTCGACAGCACCTCTACGCAAGCCGTGGTACCTGAGCATTCGCATCGAAATCTTCTAGTATCTGCCACAGAACTACAAGACTTCATTCAAACCATCGCAAAACCTCCAATCCGTCACCATGGGGTAAGCACAAACCTGCCAAAAACCTGCCTGCGCTCGTCTTCCATCGTCGAAGCAACCCTTCATTCGATATCAGTGATCATCGCTGACATGTATATCATCTGTTCAGTAAGGAAAAGACTCATATCAACGTCGTCGTCATCGGACACGTCGACTCTGGCAAGTCCACCACCACCGGTAAGAGGAAGCCTACAGGACCGCAGTCACACAAAGTACTCACATCCAGACAGGTCACTTGATCTACAAGTGCGGCGGTATTGACAAGCGTACCATCGAGAAGTTCGAGAAGGTATGTCGTCCTGATCCTTTCCACCGCCCCCTTCGTTTGCCCTCATTTTGGACCTGCCACAATCTCTATCTAAAAAATTTTGGTGGGGGAGGGGTACAATCTTCGCCACGTGACCTGCCACATATTATCACAAGCCGATCCGATACTGACAACTCATCCACAGGAAGCCGCTGAACTCGGCAAGGGTTCCTTCAAATATGCTTGGGTGTTGGACAAGCTCAAGGCCGAACGTGAACGTGGTATCACCATCGATATCGCTCTCTGGAAGTTCGAGACCCCCAAGTACTATGTCACCGTCATCGACGCCCCCGGTCACCGTGACTTCATCAAGAACATGATCACTGGTACTTCCCAGGCTGATTGTGCCATTCTCATCATTGCCGCTGGTACTGGTGAGTTCGAAGCTGGTATCTCCAAGGATGGCCAGACTCGTGAGCACGCTCTGCTCGCCTACACCCTGGGTGTCAAGCAGCTCATCGTCGCCATCAACAAAATGGACACCACCAAGTGGTCTGAGGATCGTTACAACGAAATCATCAAGGAGACTTCCAACTTCATCAAGAAGGTCGGATTCAACCCCAAGTCTGTCCCGTTCGTGCCCATCTCTGGCTTCAACGGTGACAACATGATCGACGTCTCCACCAACTGCCCCTGGTACAAGGGCTGGGAGAAGGAGTCCAAGGCTGGCAAGGCTTCTGGCAAGACCCTCCTCGAGGCCATCGACGCCATTGACCCTCCCAGCCGTCCCACCGACAAGCCTCTCCGTCTCCCTCTTCAGGATGTCTACAAGATCTCCGGTATTGGCACAGTTCCCGTCGGTCGTGTTGAGACCGGTACCATCAAGGCCGGTATGGTCGTCACCTTCGCTCCCGCCAACGTCACCACTGAAGTCAAGTCCGTCGAAATGCACCACGAACAGCTCGTCGAGGGTGTTCCTGGTGACAACGTTGGCTTCAACGTCAAGAACGTCTCCGTCAAGGAGGTTCGTCGTGGCAACGTCTGCGGTGACTCCAAGAACGACCCCCCTAAGGGTGCCGACTCCTTCAACGCCCAGGTCATCGTCCTCAACCACCCCGGCCAAGTTGGCGCTGGTTACGCTCCCGTCTTGGATTGCCACACCGCCCACATTGCCTGCAAGTTCGCCGAGCTCCTCGAGAAGATCGATCGTCGTACCGGCAAGTCCATGGAAAACAACCCCAAGTTCATCAAGTCTGGTGATGCTGCCATCGTGAAGATGGTTCCTAGCAAGCCCATGTGCGTTGAGGCCTTCACCGACTACCCACCTCTTGGTCGTTTCGCCGTCCGTGACATGCGTCAGACCGTCGCCGTCGGTGTCATCAAATCCGTCCAGAAGACCGAGAAGGGTGGTGGCAAGGTCACCAAGGTAAGCTAACCCGCGGTTTCGCAATGTCTCACCTTCAGAATCTAACTTTCGTTCAGGCTGCTGTCAAGGCTGGCAAGAAATAGATGTCTTGCACAGGAATTAATCCAATCCATCTCACAGTGGTATTGTTTCTTGTGGCGGAGGTTGTGGAATGTTCACCTTCAGGAGCTGGCTTCCATTCCACGGTTCATGAATTGCGGGATTTAAAATCTACTCCTGACCCTGGAGATTTCATGGTTTCCGCGCGGTTAATTCTTGCCATCATCAACGGTCTTGTCCTTCTCAGCGATTCCTTCATACGACACCAACGTGTACTTGCTACGTTTCGGGGTACTACTGGCTTTGACGAAAAGGAGCACGGTCACTTGACTCGAAATCGGGCCGTGTTTATGAAATGATAGAATGATTTCATGTCCATCATAGGCTATGCAGGTAGCTCTACTGTCAATCAAAGGACGTGAATGCCCAAAATCCCTGTTCTTCAAGTTCGTGTTTCCATATCATTCTCTTCGTATATTGGCACAGGAACAATCATGGTGTGCTGGTCCTGTTGTCGTGCGTTGTACCCGGGAATGCTTCCATTTGACTGCTGTCCTTACCACACATACACTCTCCAGTAAGGTTCTATCTCTCTCGCAAAGCAGATCCCTCAGCCGTCACATTTCCGGACCTTCGTAGGCTGGTGTGTGGTTTCCAGCGTTATCCCGTCAAGAGCTTGAGGCCCTGGAGCTTTTTGAACTGTTCCACCCCCCTCCCCCCGCGGGGCACCTTGATCACCAAGCAGTATAGCCGCCATCTACAATCTTGAGCCTAGCTTAGCAAAGCCCTCACCCCAGTCCGTGGAGGAGAAACAAAAGCAGACTTACCACATCACTTCCGTTCAAATACTACAACACGACGTTAGCTGAGGTCAAACCTGTCGAGCTCAAGTGAAAATGTCTCCTTCACGAAAGGACGCAGCAACTCGAGGGAAAGGTGAACCTCACACTGCTGGCGTCACTGGCCATCCAAACAATCGTGCCTCTCAGCTCATGCGGCTCCGCCATCCTTCCCATGGGAATGTCCTTTTCCCAGTTGTTCACAAGCTCTTTCCCTTCGTTTTCCAACAATCCCTTTATAAGATCTGTCTTCATGTAGCCTGGGCTAAGACTGTTGACTCTGATGCCTCTTGGGCCCCATTCAGTTGCCAGCGACTTGGAGAGCATCTGCACCGCGCCCTTCGAGGTGTTATATGCAGCCTGCTTCTGGGGACGGACACAGATCGTCGCGGACATGGATGCAATCAGGATTATAGAGCCGTGGATGTTGTGCTGGAGCATGTGCTTGCCGGCCTCTCGGGCGAAAAGCCATGAACCGCTGTGAGAGAGCCCTCAGTCAGCTCCACTTGATGATTGTACCATGTAGATGACGAAGGGTGGGATAACTTGCTCAATGTTGATGTCTAGCATCTTTCGCCACCGGGCATATTCATAATTCTCGGCCTCGACGTTATCTACGATTCCTGCAGCTGTGACAAGGACATCGACTTTCCCAAAGTCCTCCACGATTTTTGCCCACGTGGTCTTCACGTCCGATTCGATCGTGGCATTGCACTCGTAGGCACGAAGTTCTGGGACAGGGTCATTCGGGTACGCGTCTCGGACTTGAGACGCTATAGAGGCGATGGACGATTCGCAATCCTTCATGGACAAGTCAATGCAGGCTCCTTTGGCGCCGGAGAGAGCAAAGGCCGTGAGAAATTCTTTTCCCAATCCTCGTGCGGATCCAGTCACAATGCATGTTTTGTCTTCCAGTGAGAAGAGGGGGAGGGTCTTGAGGGTGCGCCGGGGGGATAGGGACATGTCACACGGGGCCTTGAGTCGTGGGGCCCACGAAAGAGAGGTAAGGAGAGGGCGCGGTGTTCGTGGAAGAAACATTTTGGAAGATGCCACAAGCTCAGAAGAGAACGGTCTTTGTGTCTATATCTTTTCCCAATATCCTGGACGCCTGGTCGTCGTACTTATCGTCTCTCAAATCGAGAGTTTTCCTCTGGAAGAGAACGAGGGCCGGCCGCTTTGCAATATGCAGCTCGCACAGAGCTATTCAGGCCGACTGCGGGGAGAGCGCCGTAGGGTGTACAGGCTGCACGAGTACAACAGCTTCGGGCCATCTTGCGCCGACACATGGGAGAATAGAGAGAGCAGACTTTCTGGAGCTGCAGCGAGTCGCAATGCTTGAAATGTAATGAAGTTGTCAAAGAGTAAATAGTCAAAAGCAGTCTCCAAGTTTGGTCACTGCGCAGCACAAAAAGCTGCGGGGGACTCCGGGTTGACCGATCAAAGCTGAAACCTCGCAACCCACCAATTCGGCAAGATGCACACTGGTGACCCATGTTGAAGCCTTACTAGCCCCCCTGTTTTTCGTATCTGCAAGCCTAATGCACAGTGTCCAGGTAGGTTTGGGGGCCGTTATGACGGTGCCAGCCAATTGTGCGTTTCAAATGGATTGAGCGTTACGCGTGCCAGCAAAGGAAGCAATCCTAATTAAAAGGAGCCGCATGACTTGCTGGCACTTGCTACTTAGCCACCAGTCCTCAGCTTCAGTTTGGCTGTCTGCGAGAACTGGATAATTGTGCACAGGAAGCCATTGCGACAGTAGCCAGTGTACGTCGTCGAAGATGTCGTCCTCAATGCTCGATGTGCGGGACGACCGCCGGTCCAGGTCGAAATCTCCAAGCGGCCGCGACAGAGATCGATCGAGGTCGCGCTCACGCGACGTCCGAGACCGGGACTCGGACGATGAGTACAGCAGCAAGCGATCGAGCAGGAGATACGCCGAACCACAGGACGAGCCGGAGCAAGATCGTGGGTACAAGGACAGACGGTCTAGCAAAAAGTACTACGACGAGGAAGACGAGCAAGACCGCCGCAGCAGTAAGAGAAGCTCGAAGAAATATGTGGACGAGAGCAACGAGGAGGACAAATATCGCTCTTACAGGTCAAGCAAGGACCCGCGAGTACAAGAGATAACTCCCTCGGACGATGACAGGAAATATGAACGAAGGAAAAAGTCCGACAGTGACTCGGATCGACGCAGAGAGAAGCGAGAAAAATCTAGCAGGAGGAAAGACGACGATTCAGCAGAGGAGAGCGACTCAGACGCCCGTCGCAGATACAGAGACAAAGATTCCAACTACCAGAATGGTCATGGGGCACATGGTTATCCGCCGGGGTCCTATGCCGAGATCCGGCCAGAAGCAGCTCGCCATATGAGCTACACTCCTAGCGACCCTCGGTACTCTGCTCCAGGAGCATACAATGGTGGTGGCCCAGTTCCTGCTGCAAAACGGACGAGTTCTTATGGCGGTTCTGGCGGTCCCCAGTACGCCAATCTCGAGCAGTACAAATATGCAGACCCAAGTGAAATCGCACCACGAAGACCGGAATACGAGCGATCTCGGCCATCAGACTACGAACGCTCCCGCACCAAGGATGCTAAGGATAATGACAACGACTACAGGAGTAGCAAGTATGAGACACGCACTCCAAGGGATAAGAAATATGACAACGACAGATATGAGACTCGAGAACCTAAAGGCAGGGATTACCACGACGACTATGACAGGTATGCTAAGAGCGACCGGAGACGTGATAAGGACAAATACGGTTCTTCACCAGAAGAGGTGACCAAGAGAATGCCAACTTTGGCGGTAGGAGGAGCCGCGCTGGGTGCTGCAACATTAGGCGTGGCGCAGTACAACTCTCGTGACGGTAACAAGCCTCCTCCTTCGCCATTACTCGAAGCATACAAGGGGACCTATCAATCCATTTCACCTATGCCGTCAGCCTTGGTCCTGGCAAACCACAAAGGCGACTCGGATTTGTCTGATCTCGAGCTTGATCAAGATGACGACGATGGGGACTCGGATGCTGAGCTGAAACGAAAGATCCGTCAGCTCGAAAAGGAAAAGGAAAAGTACACAAAGGGACACAACAAGAGTGCCAGTCTAGCTGAAACGACCCGTGAAGTCCGGCCGCGTCGGCTATCCAAGATCGACACCAATTTGGATGTTGAAGTCCGCGAACCAGGTAGTGCCAACCGGGACCGCTCACCCTCCAGGAGCATATTGTCGCCAGGAGGTGGTAGCGGGAGAAGGAAGACCGTCTCCTTCTACGACCCTACTGAAGATGCCAAACGGATCGCCGCTGCTCTGGCAGGCACACGGTCTCCACCAGACCCACGACCGCTTGTACAGATATTGCCACGGCTTTCGACGGACGATCTGCTGGCTCTGAGGGCGGAGTACAAGAATCACGCCAAGGTGAGCGGGCAAGGGATCAACATGGCCAAGCACATCAAAATGCGTATTCCGGGGAATCTGGGGAAAGCGTGCTATGCGACCGCCTTGGGCCGATGGGAAAGCGAGGCATATTGGGCAAACTCATGGTACCAAGGGGGTGCTTCCCGGCGAGAGTTGTTGATTGAGAGTCTGATGGGCCGCTCAAATAGCGACATCCGCGAGATCAAGAACTGCTTCAAGGACAAGAAATACAGCGATGACCTCGAGAAATGTATCCGTACAGAACTCAAAGCTGACAAGTTCCGAGTGGCTATCTTGTTGGCCCTTGAGGAGAGACGAATGCCGGAATCATCCCCTCTGGACATCAGGCTCATCAAGGAAGATGTGGTGCATCTGGCCGAAGCCTTGGAGTCGAAGGGCGGAGAGACGGATATGATCAAGATCATCGTACTGCGGAGCGATGCTCATCTACGTGAAGTTCTCAGGCTGTTTGAGCGAACGTACGGCGTCAACTTTGCGAGGCAGATGATCACCAAGTCGAGAAATTTGGTTGGTGAGACATTGGCACACATCCTGAATGGTGCATTGAACCGTCCCATGCGCGACGCACTTCTTTTACACCAGGCCATCAGTGAGACAGCGCCGGGCAAAGAACGCACTGAGCTTTTGATCTCAAGGCTTGTCAGAATGCACTGGGAGCCCAAACATCTGGAAAGGGTCAAGGCAGTGTATAAAGAGCGCTATGGGCGCAGTGTGGAGGAGGAGGTCAAGAGAGAGGTCTGGGCACACATGAAGACGGTGGAGGGACGTTTCTGTGCCGATTTCTGTATTGAGTTGGTTAGAAGCAGTTCACTATAGGACAAAGGGGGAGAGAAGGAGAGATGAAGAAGATGAAGAGGATGAATTGTGGTATCCAGGATTTGTCACCGTTTTGCGCAGTCGCTATCTCGGATAGCAGCGAGCAGTGCATGCCTGGGTGACAGACTTGATCCAAGGGTATCGAGCAGATGCAAGAGGTGCTTCATGGACTGCCTGATCCAGTATGAAGACTCTGAGCGCTGTAGAACAGCAAGAATAGGTAATGAGGAATGAATGTCTCGTCAAACAAATCATCTGTACCGGCGAACCCTCCAGGGGTTTGGGATGAAGATCCATCCCGCTGCAGCTGCTCGGCGCAACTCAAGATCCGGCCCGAAGATCGATCTGGAAATGTGCCGCATGCTCGTCATCGATATCGCCAGAAGAACCACAAATTTTCTGGGTTCCCCAGGCAGATCTCTATTCTATCGCGTGCCCTGACTTCCTCAACTCTTCGTCATGGTCATCACCAGCCCGGCCGTCTCCTCATGACAATAGCAGCAAGGCGCATCTGCGCCCAATGCTTTTCCCACCTCGCCCCTCCTCGACCTACTACTCGTCGTCTGCCCTCGTGGCGGATTTCTCCACAGCAGCCTCTGCGGTCATTTTCTCTGACGAGTCTCCGCGGCGCCTTTGCACCCCCGACACCTGCATCCCTAGGGAAAGCCGTCCCGGCCAGACAATACAAGAGGACGAGAAAATGGGCGCGCAGATTCGCATATTTGTTCCTCGGCGGGACTGTGGTATATGTGGTGGACAAGAGATACTACGCTTCCAGTCTCACGAGAAGTGTCCGCACTTTTACCATGGGCTTGATTGCCGCTCTGGACTACAAGATCAACTTTCGAGAGGATCCGTGGTTTGCCAATGACATTACCGAAGTACATGCCCGTAATGCGACCAGGCTGTTCCATCTCCTACGGACAAATGGCGGGTTGTACCTCAAGATTGGTCAGGCCATTGCCATGCAGACGGCCATCTTGCCTCCAGAATTCCAGAAAATGTTCTCCAAGATGTTTGACGATGCACCGCAGAATGACTGGGAGGACGTGCGACGGGTTATCATGGAGGACTTTGGCGGTCGAACGCCTGAGGAGGTATTTGGGATCTCCTTCGATGGTGATCCTGATGCCGGTGTTATGGAGAGAAAGGCCCGGGCAAGCGCGAGCGTGGCACAAGTACACTGGGCAAGGCTGAAAGACGGACGAGAAGTGGCCATCAAAATACAGAAGAGGGAGATCGCTCAGCAGGTCGGGTGGGATCTGTGGGCCTTCAAGGTGGTGACTCGGATCTATACTTGGTGGTTTGACCTGCCGCTCTACTCGCTTGTTCCCTATATCACGGAAAGACTGCTACTGGAATGTGATTTCGAGAGCGAGGCGAACAACTCCAAGGAAATGGCCAAACTCATCAAGGGCGAACCCCGGTTACGGGATAGAGTCTACATTCCCAAGATTTACGACGATCTCACCACCAAGCGAGTCATGACGGCTGAATGGGTTGAGGGCGTGCGTCTGTGGGATAAGGAGTCCATCACTCGACCTTGGCAGGGAGGCTGGCGAACCGGCAGTCCAGGCTGCCACGGCACTCCGCTTGATCCGCCTCAAGCTCCCATCACCACTCTGCAGGAAAAAGCCCGTTCGTACAACGAAGAACTCAAGCCGGACAGGACATGGTGGAGAGGCCAGAACGGCAAAGGTGGTCTCGGTCTTGATCTCAAAGAAGTCATGACAACCATGGTCGACCTCTTCTCTGCACAGATGTTTCTCTGGGGCAAGGTGCACTGTGATCCTCATCCAGGAAATATCTTCGTTCGACGCCTCCCCAACGGCCATTCTGAACTTGTCCTGATTGACCACGGCCTATACATCAACATGTCCCCTTCGTTCCGGCATCAGTATTCCCTTTTTTGGAAATCCCTGATGACGTTCGACAACAAGACCCTCAAGGAAGTCGTCAGCCAATGGGGCATCAACAACGCCGAGATCTTTGCGTCAGCGGCTCTTATGCGCCCCTATGAAGGAGGGGACCGCTCGGTAACGACTCGCCTGAGGGGTATATCGGAACACGAGAAGAAAAGGCGCCAGTACGAGTTGCAACAGGCCATGCGCAAGGGCATCAAAGAAATTCTGGCGGATGAAACCAAATGGCCTCGCGAATTGATCTTCATTGGTCGAAACATGCGCATTGTTCAAGGCAACAATCAGTACTTGGGCAGCCCCGTCAACCGCATCAAAATTACGGGCAATTGGGCCTCCAGGGCACTGGCCGAGGATCAACAGCTGACATTTGCGGAGAGATGGAAGTTTTTCGGGAGCCATTTAATGTTCAAGTTGGTCTTGTGGGCATCAGATGCGTATTTTTGGTATGCGAAGCTCAAACAAGCGCTGGGGAGAGGTAAGGGCATGGACGATGATGTGGACCAGCTCATGAGGGGCATGGCGAAGGACTATGGCATCGAGATGAATCATAGTGTCTTTGAAGGCTGAACTGCATTCTCGAGGTTCCTGTATGTACTGATACCTGGGTTTTTGGGGTTTGGGCAATGCATGAAGGGTGTTTAGATAGGGCAAGGATAGAAAGAAGTCCCCTCAGCCGACAATAGATTCAACCACTATTGATATATGCGTGAATTCTGTACTTGGAGGCTCGGGGAAATGAAGCAAGCCGTGTGGTCTGTGGCGCCGAGCCTCGCTTGGGCGGTGAAGTTGGGATGAGGAACTGACTTTCAGCCTCTTTCGCCCACATCTTGGAACGAAAACTTGCCCAGCCATCCTGCGCGATACTGATTCAACCACCACGCAGCCATCACAATTCCATGTCTATACTACGTACTCTTCCCACTCGTACACATGTCTCAGATGCCTCTCGCAAGACCCTATAGCTGCTTTTGTCCCGCCGACCTCGATTGACATCTTCTCAAGCGGGCCTCCATACAACTTCGATCAGGATGTCACTGTTGCAGGGGTCTCGACCGATCCAGAGATCTGGGCCATGGGTTCGATCTCCTCCCCTCCCACAAGCATTTAGCGCAGAAGGCAGGCTAACAGATCATGAACCAGATCCCCTATTGCGGCTGAGCGACTGGTGCCAGATTCTGAAAAGTCCCCCCGTTCGTGGCCCAAGAGCCCGGTCTAGAACTGTGGCGTTCGGCTATTGCTTGACTGGCGCTCGTTGACTACGAGCCGGTGCAAGGGAGTGAGGGTCTGGACAGGATGGAAGAACAGATAAATCTCAGCCTCACTCCTAAACTCAGATTGACAGTACCTCCTCGAACCGTCATATCATCGCTTGTGCCGTTCGGTGTGCGGTCCAGCTCGGACTCGATCATGTCCAGAGTTACGTACTGGATCGTTCCGCTGCAAGCCTCGGACCGTCGCCCCGTCTTATAATCTCATCATACTTCTCGCCCTCTTGAGGGACGATGTTGCCGGGCGGTTGGACAAGAGGTGCGTTGCTCTTCGGCATCTTCTGCACCGTTGTCCTGGCCGTCAATCTCGGGGTCTTGATTTGGGCAGCAAAATTTCGAAACGACCTGACAGACGATGGCACCGTCGTCCTCCGCAAAGGCACTGACAACGACCAATGTACCAACATCCAACAACTGAACAAGTGGGCGCATCTGGTGATCAACTTGCTAAGCACGATCTTGCTGAATGGGAGCAACTATTGCATGCAGTGCCTGTCGGCTCCCACAAGATCAGACGTCGATTCTGCACATCGCGCGGGAAGGTGGCTCGACATTGGCGTCCTGAGCATCCGCAATCTCAGATGGATCTCGCGAAGAAGACTGTTCCTGTGGTTGCTACTCGGCTTATCGTCACTGTCTTTACATCTCTTGTACGTCTAAAGTCGCTGTCCACCCTTCCTCACGCTCAAACGGTTGATCTGTTGCAGCTACAACTCCGCCGTCTTCGTATCCACCTCCTCGAACAACTATGCCGTCTTCTCTGTCGACCGCGCCTTCCTTGAATCCAACCAGACCAGCAGTTTTGACTACGTCGACGTGTCCTATATCCTACGTAGTGGCATCCGGCCCGCCGGAGTCGAGGACGAACCCTCGGAGACCATCCCTGAAATTGCCAGCCAGCTACGTGACGAAGCCAACTCTAACAAACTCGTCAACCTGACCACAGAGCAATGTAGGACGGAATACATTAAGACGTTTCAATCAGATCATCGCAACGTTCTTCTTGTCTCCGATTCCAACGTCGGTGCCGATGTCGTCGACACTGCCACCCGAGTGGTGAGCTTTCTCCGCGCGGAATTCGTCTCGGATTTCACCTGTGGAGGAACCCAGGCCTTTGCCTGGACTTGTTGTAAGTTGCATCGTATCCCAAAGCCAAACTCTGCTGGCGCACTCTCTGTCTCTCCGTCTCTCCGAGTTGTCCCAAAGGTAACGCATAGGCTAACGAAGATTGGTAGCTATGGACGGAACAGCTCTTGGGCCTCAGGATTCGTGCGACCTACCTTGCGACGACCCGCAGATCCTCAAGCAGACGCTGTCCAACTCCACCTGGGCTCCCTTGGGACCACCGGTACAGTATTGTCTTGCGCAACCGACACAGGAACAGTGTAGTCTACGGTTCAGCATGGATATTGCGATTTTGGTGGTGGTTCTGAATTTTGTCAAATTGATCATGATGGGTTTGACCGCGCTGACTGCGTTCAAGAGAAGCGATCCTCCCCTTCTAACCATGGGCGACGCTGTTGCCAGCTTCTTGGAGAACCCAGACAGTGTCTCCAAGGGAATGTCTCTACTCAGTGCTTCAAAGATCAAGAAGCTAGGAAGGGCCTTGTTGCATGATCAAGCAAGCCAGCGAACCACACTGTATCCCGGAAAAGCGCGTCAACGCTGGTCAAAAGCCGTCAGCGTGCGTCGATGGGCGATATGTTTGCTTCTTTACATTGGAGGTTTAACCGCTGCCGCGGTGTTTCTCGGCCGTGGCATCACAGCAATAGTCGGGTCGAGGTCCCTCTCCTCATTATGGTCGATCGGACTTGGCACCCCGTCAGGGCGCACCCTGATGCAAAACGACGCCGTGGAGCAATCCGGCAAGACCGCGCTCATGGCCAGCGTCGTCCTCGCCAACATCCCCCAACTGATCCTCTCACTCTTATACTTCACCTACAACGGCATGTTCACATGCATGCTGCTCGCCAGCGAATGGAACTCGTACTCCGTCCGCCGCAAGGGTCTACGCATCTCCTCCTCGCAACGCGAGGGCGTACAGCGATCTGGATATTACCTCCAACTTCCCTTCCGCTTCAGCGTTCCACTGACCATGGCTAGTCTACTGCTCCATTGGCTGGCTTCACAGAGTATCTTTGTCGTCAACGTCTCGATGCTGGATTACACGGGTGCTCCGATTGCGTCGCTGCCCGGTACCGTCGGCCACCTCGTGACTTGTGGGTACTCGCCCATTGCGATTATCTTTACGATTTCCCTGGGCGTGCTTCTGATAGGGGTGTTGCTGGGGTTTGGATTCGGGGCGAGATTCCGCACGGGCATGCCGATCGCTGGGAGTTGCAGCCTGGCCATGGCGGCGGCCTGTCATTCTCGTGATGGTGACTCTGCTGTTGCGGAGGTGCATGATGGAGGGAAAATGCCAACATCGGCGTCCACGCCGGTGCCGATATCACAGCAACCGCTCAGGTGGGGAGAAATACCCGGTTATTATCGTCGCAACGACGTGTCAAGCACACGGCCGTCTCTGATGAATGGGGAGAAGTCTACACCCACGCCTGTGGTGAGGAGCCTTAGCGACGGTGCACCTTCGGATTCGGACTCGGATTCGGATTCAAATGTGGATGCGTCGCTCCTGCCCAGAAGTCAAACCCGGCCGACCGCCATCGAGCAGGGCATCACCGAGACTGCCACGTCCGGACAGAGACTCGGTTCCAGACGCAGTTCAACCACGATGCCCGAGCCGGCGGTGGAGAGTGATGTTACAAATGCCAACGAGGACGACAATGACAATACCGCAGATGATGAAGACGGGGATGGAACCCGTGGTGCGGGAGCATCCTTACTACAACCATTGGATCCACGACGCCGTGATGATAGCGGCCGTAGCGGAGATGGCGAGCAAGACGACGACGCAACGCGTCCACCTACGGACGCTGGTTCTTTGGAGAACGCGGATCAGAGCAGCGCCCGTCGATATGAATTGGCCTCGCCCCGCAGTGGCCTGGGACATTGCGGCTTCTCCGCCAGCGAGGTGACGGACCCGGTCGAAGGGCGGGCTTATGCTTGAACTCGCAAGAAAGAAAACCGCGTGATAAAAGGAGATGGTGAGGGAAACCAGGAAAGGCAACGAAGGGGAAGAAGGGAAGTGGGCCTCCAGTCAAGCAGAGCACTAGAACTAAAGTAACATGCGTCCATCCATATCCCTCAATAGCTCTCTAGCTTGGCTATATAAGTAAACTCTGGGTAACCAGCCGTCCAGGTGTGGGTGTGCACATAGAGGTCGTCAGCCTCTCGCTGTCTTCCTGCTGAGATGCCCGCCCGCCCGCCCGCCCGCCTGCGTATCTACGGGGAGAAATGACCACTCTTCGAACGGACGAAAAATTGGATTCGCAATAGGGAGAGAAAGGGTGAGCTACAAGATGCACAAAGCTTTGATGTCTCGATTCCGGTACATTTGGTATGTAGCTAAGTATAGGTAGGTAGGTAAGTAGGTAGGGTAGTAAGGCTGAGTGACCATGGCTACCCGCGTCGGCAGCCACAGCAAGCAAGCAGGACAGGAGAGGTTCCGCTCCCGATGAAATGTGCGTTTGACCAAAAGGTTGCAACATGTCCGCAACTGTAACAAGTTTTCTTTCTTGCTTTGGCAAACTCTTTGAGATCCAGCAGCTTCCTCCCCCCCCGGGAGTTTACATTGATAACGACGTTTCTCCTTCCCTGAGGTCCCCCGAGGCCTCAACACAAGGTAAACTTGACAAAAGATCCAAAAAAACAGCAGAACTTGCCATGATATATTCTGGGTATGTTAAGATCATCAGCGACACGACAATCACACAGAGCACCCAACGCCGCTAAACCGATCATTACTCCTCCCAGGCCTTGCCATCGATGGGCTGTCCAGTGGTAGTCCCAACGCCCTAGCTTTCCAGTCAAACCACAAAACGCACAGGCCCCTTTCGTGGGACGAACGCTTCCGAGTCAAAATGTGGTGAACGAGGTATACAACTCAATTGGCGGGCAATGTACCGTTCATTTTAGAACAAACAAGCCAGCGACAATCCAGCAACGGGTACACAAAATCTTCCATGACGACCAAGTTTACATCATCATCATCATTCTGGTAGCTCGCTTGCTGCTGAAGCTGGGCCGAGGGGAGCTTTCGCCGCCGGCCCAGGGCTTGTGCAGGAAAGGTTGACCGTCGATGTTATCCCAGTGGGCTGTCTGTGTAGTAGCGGTGCTGCTGCGGTTTGGATTGAAGTGGGCCTTTGGAATGGGCATCAGGTCAATAGTGCTGCCGCGGTAGAGTGGTCCCATGAGTCGGTCCTTGACCGACTTGTTTCGTCGAGGCATTGCAGACTTCTCGGGCGGGTTATCGGCAAATTTATCGGGCTTGTCAGAGCCATCTTGGTTCTTCTCGCCCGCGAGGATCGCGCGTTCTTTGTTGAGAGCGGCGAGATGTTGAGAGCGGCGGAAGTGGATGATGAAGAAGGCGACGAGGCCGATCAAGAGAACGGCCGCAACGGCGAGACCGACGCCGAGACCAGCTTTGGCACCAGTGCCCATGTCGCGTTTATGAAGGTGTGATATAGGCGAAGCCAAAGTTGTGGAGGGAAAGGCGGCCAAGAAGAGGGCGAGGAGTGCCGCCGTACATTGCGAACGAGCCATGGCTAGTGACATGGCGTTGGCGTAATAAGTGAAAGGTATAGATGGTGACGACTCATACGACGTCTTCGACCAGCGATAACAGTAATTCGAAGGGGAAAAACGAAGGAAAACTGGTTGGGAGGAGTCGAGTGGTGAAATTGGGAGGATGCGAAGAGGTCTTGAGAGGGCGAGGCGGGACGGAGTAATATGCACAAAAGGGGACCAAGGCGAACCAGAGCCTATTGAAAAGTTGGGCAGAAGGATGTGACGGAGGTCTGAAGGGTGTCAAGTCGGTTGGTCAGTAAGCACTTAAGGAAAGGAAAAAGGGCAGGTATGTAAAGGAACGAGTCACGGACAAGTGAAGATGCAAGAGGGAGACGCGGGTGTGAAGCTCGAGCGGCAGTATTTGGCGTCTTTGAACCTGATCTTTTCTCTTTTCTGTCACCCAGGGCTGAAGTGGCACCGACGAGCGACCAGCGACCAGCATTGAGCCACCAAGCATCCAACGCAGCATCGGCGACACGGACAAGGAGACGAAAAGGAGATGCGGCTAGCCGAAAGGAGGGCAAAAGGGTGGTGCTTGGACTGGCCCCAGCTTGTTCTGAAACGTTGGATAGGCCGTTGATGGGCGGCTGATTGGAGGACGCGCTCGAATGGAGCCGGGCCAGCTCTGTCAGGCTCGAGAATAGAAAGGACATTTCGTGGCCGTGGAGCTGAAAAGGACGAGCGAGACGAGAAAAAATGGCTGACTGGGGTCCGTGATTGGATGCAGGGGGCATGCGGCGATCAGCCAGGGCCATCCTGGCCCTTGGCTTTGTCTGGGGAAATTCAGGTTCGGATGGACACGAATGGACATGGACGGACGTGATCTGCTGGCTTGGGCCGGCGTAGTTTCTTGGAATTGTCTTGTCACGGCCACCAAGGGAAGGCTGTCTGGAAGGGAGGGCGCTTCAGAGGAGCACAAGTCAAACTGCGGTGAGCGAGTCCAGAATTCTGGTGCGAGCAACAAGGAAGAAGAAAGGAAGAGGCACGAAGCCACGCAAATCAAAGACAAATCAAAGACGTGTTTCAGGCCGCGCGCCTCTCGACCTCTCGACCTTCCAAGCTTCCACCATGCACCCACAACCTCTCAACCTTTCAGCCTCTGAGACCAGGGCGCAACCTTGAAACCCAGGTGCCCAGCTCACCCTCACCCTCGCCCTCGCCCTCGCCCTCACCTAGCACAGCTCCTCGACTCGGTAGCTCTCCAGCTCCCAGCCAAGGTGCCTGCCGCTACCAAACGGGCGCAATCCCACATCTCCATCTGCTCTCCATCGGCCTTTTCCTGTTCCTGATCATCCAGGAACGCGCTACGGACTTTTTCCATCAGCCTGTCCGACTGCTACTGGCTGCATCGCATCGCGCGCGCACCGAGTGCCGGCCCTAAACCTTGCCTCCTACGCTATTCCCCTCCCCTTCATTACGAGTACCAAACTACGCCGGACTGGGAACTTCATTTCCCGTGTGACACGTGATGTGAAATGGAAAGACGAGGAAGATGGTTGACTGTCGTAAGAGATCGCGGGGCAGCGGCGTGACAATGGTTGCATGCATGTCCTCCGTACGACTTGGGAGGATCACAACTGGAACACTGTGCTTCACACCAGTTTGACCATTTTACAAACACCACGCGTATCACGTTGCACGACAATGTCCCGCATGCAGCACCGCGAAGACCAGGGGGATCTGCCCGAATCCCTCCGAATGTGGTACATGTGGGCAAGACACGAAGTACACAGCCTTGTGGGCTGAGGTTTTCAATAGTCGCAAGAGCAGAGTTCGAGACAAGTCTTCAAGAGATGGAATCGTTCGTCATCCTGCTGCTGACAACGAGGCTGTGCCCAGGAGATGGTGGGGGTAATCGAGGACGAGGTACTCCTTGTAGAGCTCCTTACCCTCTCCTTATCCCCCTTGCTCCAGTAATAAAAGATGCTCCCCTTAAACTCCCTTTCTATAGTATTTCAACCACTCCTTCTAGATATCCCCGAGCAGGAAGCTCAATAAACTCCCCACAGTAAGCCCGCCGACAAGCATCAATCCCATGAAACCCCCTGCTGCCTCTCTCTCTTCCGGTGGTACCCACTGTCCTGATCCCATCATGCACTCACTGCCCAAATACCCGTTTGTCAAGCCAAATAGAAACTGCACAATGATCAAGTAGAAGAAGTCGCTCCTGACCACGCCACCCTTGTTCTTGATATTGCAGAGGAAATACAACGGGATAAATAGCAGTCGTGCCATTGCTATGCAGAACAGAGCAAAAGGATAGTGGGTCAGGGAGATCCTTGGCCACAGTGTGATCAGTCGTCCTGTTAGATCGCCTATGTTCCATAGCAGGAAGGCCGTGGGGATAAATATCGCCGAGTCGATGTTGTTGACGGACTGGATTGACGCCGTGAAGATTGGGAAAACCATCGTGACAGCGAAACAGATAAAGACTGCCGCCGCAAGAAAAGGCATCCTGAGGAAGAGCGTGCCCAGCGGCACCGAGGGTCGTTCCTTGTTGGGCTCGTCGAAACCTTCACCCGCTGCTGCCGCAATGCCCCCCGTCGTCAAGGCGTCACCTTCGGAGGCTTCATCGGCCGTGGATTTCGCTGCCGATTGAAGGGCTCGGCTTCTCGCCTCTCTCTTCAAGAGGTAAAAGAAGGCGAAGAGAGCAATGACTGAGATGGCCGTGGCCGTCAAGAAATAGACCAATGCTGAAGTGGGAGATTCGTCGGCGGTGTCGGCGCCACTGCCATCCTTCTTCGCTGGAACCACCAAAACCGATATAATCTGCGCCATGGGCGGTAGCACTCCGGCAATACCCTGGCCCGTCATGATTCCCTGTGTATACTCGCTTCTTCCAAACCCTGATGCGAAGGAGAATAGGCCATTCTGTAGCAGGCCAGTGGAAAAGCTCGCGGCTAAGATGGCCACAAGGAGGAAGCCAAAGTACACGCCTGCGGACGTGCGAACGAGCGTTGACAGAGACAGCACAGCAAATACCGCGGTGCTGATCGTGAGGGATAACGATATTCGCTTGGGATATGATGCCCCCTTTTGCAGTTTTGTCAGTGTTATCATCGACCCGAGATTCGTGACCGTCGAGACCGAGACCTCAGCGGCCTGGAAGTGGTTGAGAATCCACTGATTTCCGCGGAAACGGTGCTGGAAGTAGGGCGCTGCGGCAAGAAACATGTTCCTATGGTTTCCCTTGTCAGTGAGAAAAACATAAAACCCAAGGCCGGAGAGCCGCAGGGGATCATGTACCAGGCCCATAACATCGCTATCCCAAGCAGGACAAAGATGGCGTATTCAACCCACGAGAAGGGCGTCTCAGCGACAGCATCTTCATCCGCCCCATCTTGTATGCTCTCATTGTCTCTTTCTGCATCGCCTCGTATGGGCTGATAATCCTGCCGCGATCGAAACAAGCCCATGTTGGACAGCTGCGGAAGTTCGAATGATGGTGGTTGTTCAGTGGCAGTCTTGGACATGTAGGAGGACGGGCGCGCCGTCAGGGGTCAACTCGTCTATCTCTTCATCTCACTTCATTTGTGTCGCGTGGACTGGTACAAGTCATGCGTTGGCAGTGAGAACAAACACAAGTCGTGTGACGGGCCGTAATGGAGGATGAGGCGCATCCATGACGCATTTCTGGTCAAAGGGGCTGAATTGGCATTCGCCACCCCCAAGCCTCCCACCCGAGGCAAACACAACGTCCTTCTCATCCATTCGACATCGATGTCGTTGTTCAGAAGCAAGCCGTCATGTGCAAAGACACGACTACACGATGAAGAAGGAGTTCAAATGTTTAGCATTCTCGTTACTCATGACACATGATGATTTGCCTTGCGGCGCCGTCCTGCCCCAGCACCTCGCTATGCACTCGGAACGAAAAACCCCCCTCCTCTATTCTTCCACCTGGGCTTTATAGGCCGCCATGTCAGCTGGCGCCAGCCACCCCTTCTCCACCGCCTCTGCGATGAGGCCGTCGGCCCCTACCGGCAACAACGTCGGTGCGACGTCGTTGAGGTAGGTCGACACCTCCATCAACTTCTCCCACAGCTCCGCCTGCAGGGTCTTTGCTGCCCTGCTACTGCCTGGCAGGCTGGCACCCCTGCCAGCAGGGCTTCTCGCCAGCATGTCCGCCAGCAGGTATCCGAGCCAGAACACGTTTGTCTTTGGCAGGAACCTCTCGTACTTGTTCCTTGCCTCGTATTCAAGGCCCTCGAGTTCGGCCAGTGCCTCCTCCCTGGACTCAACAGTCCTCGCCCACTCTCGGACGCGGCGGTACGTCCCCCACTGCCGCTTCTCCGCCTGGGTCTGTGGGTCGTAGCTTTCTGTTTCCCAGAACAACATGGGGTCGAAGACGATGAGGCCGCTTTCACTCCCGTCATTGATTTTGGCGCGTGACAGAGTGTAGTCGATGACAGTGACTTGAAGATTTGACATTCCGAGGACGACTTCTGGCCTCTCGTTCATCTCCTCAATGACTTTCTGTGTCGCGTCGATCGGGCCGTCCTTGGTCAGAGCCTTGAAGCAGAGGTTGCCATTGTGCATGTCTCGGTGTTCGAACTCGATTTGTTTCTCTGCTAGAGCGAGGCTCATGGCGGTCTTCCAGAAGATGTCATACACCTGAAACGCCGATAAGGGTCTGAGGCGATAGATGGGCTTTCCAGCATCGTTCATTTCCATGATGGCATAGAGCTGCTGTGGAGAAAAATCCTTCAGCGGGTTGGAATTGTGTGCCGAAACCGGTCTGGTCGCTTTGAATGTGTCGAACGCTTCAAGGAGGACATCTGGATACTTGCCGCTGACGATGTGAATACCGCGGCAGCGAACAAATCCGTGCAAAGCATCAACGGACTGCATCAGTCTGACTTCTCGAGTGATCGATTCCAGGTCGGTAATGTCATTTTTGGTCTCTTTGGTCAGTCTGAACGGGATGATTTTGACAATGAGACCGCCTCGTTTCTCCAAATCCTCGACATCTGCGAGTTCTTTTGCCTGGAGTTTGAAGACATCGGCAAACGATCCTTCACCAAGCTTTGTGCATAGGTACTTCTTCCCGATGCTGCGACCGAATTCCTGGAAATCCTTGACCACTTTTTGTCCAACGAGTGAGAGCAGTGGGTCGAGTTGTTGAAGTTCTAGCCAAGTGAGGTTCTGCAAGCGGTGGTCAATTCTGGGGGTTTGGTAAGAGGGCCGTAGAAACATACTGCCATTTTCCTGGATGAGGCGACCTTTCGACGTGCTCGAGGCCGGTGGTGATGTTCAACTGGTCTCTGTTCGAGAGGAATTGTCGGTTCAGGTTCAGGTTCAGGCTGCACAGTCTCTCTAACATCGTGCTGAAGTGTCAGTGTCTCCATCTTGTCAACGATGTCGTTCTCATTCTTGTCACCACCGAAGAGATCGAAATGCATCGCACGTTTCTCCGCCGACTGGGCCTTTTTCTTGCCGTAGGTCTTGTCATTGCGACGGACTGGCCGTTGCTGGTTTCTCAGCTCGCTCAAGACACTGAAGTCGGCCATCTTTCACAAAATCTCATAAACTTGACAAAGGGAAAAATACGTGAGACCGCTTACCAGCTGAGTTGTGTGAGTGTGAATGGTATGTCCTGCGACTAGTCCAAAAGGCGTTAGCGTGATGGTTGCACTGAGATACCAAAGCGGCAAGGTGTTTGTGTGTGGAAGGAAAGGGAAATGTGAGTCGCCGCTTTTAGATCAATAAACATGGATGAGGTCGGGCAAAATGACCAGAGTTGATTTTGAGATTCAATGATTCACATTATTTGACCCGCAATTCACTTTCTATAGTCCTCCCAGGACGCATTAAAGAGATCTCTGTACACAACAATGTCGTCTTTCCCGTTGTTCTGGCCATTCCCAAGCTGTGCTCCCCGGCTCAACGCTCGTTCTGCCCTCCTCCTCGACCAGTGACTTATCAAACGCCTCCTCTTCACCGGGCTCAGTCTGCGATGGTAGAGGCTGACCGTATTCCGGTCATCGTACTTGACTCGACCAGCTGGTTTCATGTCCCACATCTTGTCGTACAGAGCCCAGTACCGTGTGAGCGAGGTGCGGTTTCTGGAGCGCATCCACGCGTTGGGAGCCTTGAGACGCATTCCCGCGGCGAAAAGCCGTCGTAGGCGGTTGATAAACTCCCAACGGATGACATATTCCTTGACTTCCACGCCGTATACGTCTCGGAGCCTTTTGAGCATACGGGTCCACCTTAGGCAGCGTTCAGGAGAAACAGCTCCCATCCCTTTGCGAGGTCGGAAACACCACGACATGAGCGACTTTTGGAACTTGTCGTCGAAAAGGGCATTCAGGTTCGTGCCCGAGCCGGACATTGGGACTTGGAGAACTTGTCCGTTGAGTCCTCCGCTTCGGTACCACTCCGCAATCCAGTAGACCAGTGACTCCAGCTCTTTGAGACGTCCTTGCCGACCGAGTGCCTTTATCGGCGCCCGCCAGAACCCGATCTTGAAGTTTGTTCCTGAAGCGAGGATGTTCTGCATCAACCCTATCAGAAATCCAATTTTGTCCACATCCCCTCTATCGCCGCCAACCGTGAGTTGTTTAGTGGTTCGAAATAGAGAGACGACGAATTGAGGGAAGGATGAAGAGACATGCAACCCGTGCTCTTGTAAAGTCGCCACACAGTTTACGACACTCTTCCAGTCGCCTACTTCCATCATTGCTCTCAATAAGAAGTTGGTTGATCGGCTACGTGAATAGTTATCGAATTTTCCGTCGTTGAGAATCACGAGCGTACGATTGAGTTGTCCCCAGTCTTTGGTGCGGTAGTATTCCGTCAAGAGCCGCTTCTGTAGCTCGATATCCTCGAACACCTCGTGATGTAAATCGTTGTTCACAAGCGCCTGGACCATCTCCCAATGGCCCGCATCACAGACGTCTCTGAGTATCCGGACAAAAACAGAAGAGCCGGTGTCAATCTCGAGGTCGCGGAGTTTCTGGAAGCGGGCTTGTAAAGTATCTAGATCTGGTGCAGCCAGAGCCATTTGACGGACGGCCAGCGGTCCAACCTCAATCAGCCCAATCATTCTCAGACTGTTGACTGCAAAATCGAAGGAGAAAGCCCGGGTGGCAAATGCACGGGCGACAAATTGATCGCTGAGTTTCGCTGGAGCTGACCCCATAGTCTTGCTTGCCACGATATTGAGAGAATCTGCAGGTACACCAGTGATTCTGCTTCTGCCGATTGACCATAATCTTCGCGCCTGGGCTTCAAAGGAGGCTCCAGCCTGGTTGAGCGGCAACAGAAATCTCTCGAGGCTTTCGTTGTGCAGCGCTAAGTAGTTGATGTAGGGTTCAAGTAGCTCGAACCGCGGTGGCAAGTCGCTCCTTGTGATCAAAAAAGAGTGCATCATGAAGGCATCGGACGACCGGTCTTGACTCCACAAATGAGAAGTGACTTCAGCGTAGATGCGAGTCCTGGGAACCACATCATAGACAGTGCAGAAGCCTCTCAGCGCATTGTCTTCCTTCGAGCGACAGGCAGCGAAGAAGGCCGCGAGGAGATCCTCACGCCCCTTGTAATGCTTTTGACCGACGAAAGATGCAAATTGATAGGCTTCCAGAGGGTGCGGGCCTTCTAATGCAGCTCCAACGATCTCTGCAAATAGTCTTGGGCGTTTGTATTTCAAATGTTTAGCTTCCTTGCAGATTGACCAGAGAAAGCGATGGTCTTCGGAACCAGCGGAGAGGAAGGTCTTCCATAGAGCTTCAATACGGGGATCATCTCCTTCAAATCGAAATGCTTCCCCTCGAAATTTCATCCCTCTCCATATAGCTTTGATCCCTTCGTGGCCGTTTTGCAGAGCTTGAGCAACCAAGAGAATCTCCCAAAGCTCTATTTCGTGACGATGGGAAGGCTTGTCAACTAGACGACAGCCAACAAACGATGTATGGCCTACATCTGCCTCGAAGCGCAGCTGATCCCGGGTTTTGATACCGTATGCCAGTCCACGATCCAGTAGGCTCTCCCATTGTGCATCATCTGAATGAGGCTGCTCTGAGACAGCGGCAGAAAAACAGTCATCTCTAGGCTCGCACGGTTCATGATCCGATATTGATTTCGAGGTTGTCGTCAAAGGTCGGTTATGTGATGGATGCCATCGTCGTGGTAAAGCTGTTCTAGCAACATTGGCTAAATTCGACCAAGGTATATGGGCGCGCGCTTGGCCATACAGTGACGGTAAGAGACATCGTGTCTGGGAGCACCTCTCAAGACGACCCCATAATAATCTCATGTAGCAGTCTACACGTGACCATCCATCAAAAGCATCTAGGCTTTCATGGTCTCCAAGTGAAGGGACTTAATCAAGAAAGGCAGGCAGTGCCAATGAGAAATGGAAGAGACTTGTAGCCGAAAACCGCAGAGTTGAAAAGTCAGGAGATCGTTTCTTCGAAGATACAGACTGGTCACGTGCTGATCCCCAGGCTTGGCAGCTAGCTCCTGGTCTGCCATGGCGTGAGCCTGCGACCTCCGAACCTCAATTGAACTTCAGGTCTAATCCTCTGAAGCTCTTCGTTCCTCCTCCCCCACCGATATTCGAGTGATTTGCCTCCTGAACCGACAAGATGGTCTCTCCCACAGCTCTCCGAATGATGCAAGCCACCCGGGCCCGCATGTTCAGACCTGCTCAAGCTCAGCAGAAATCCGGGTATGTCGTGGAAGGGAAAACCTCCCACGATTTGCAGTCTCTAGCTGAGGCAGCACGGCGCTTAGCTCTGGACTCTAGCTAATTGGCTTTCTGCGCAGGATCTTCGTGTATCGAGACAACCGAGTACCTTACTATCAACGCCTGTTTCAGAAGCACGATGGAAAACGACAATGGTGGAAGGTCAGTAGACTCTTACTCTGTCAAATCAGACCTCCATCTTGCCTCCGCGAACCCGCGAAGTCTACAATTCAGACGAAATGAAGCGGCATTTTATGCATAGCCGAAGAAGAGCACAGAGCTCGACAAAACTATTCCTCCTGGAGAATTGGCTCGACGGCACCACAACTTTTACGGCGACTTGCGTCAAGTCCGGAAATGACGGAGTGCATGCGTCGATAACGCTGTGCATGTTCAACTTCGAGTTCTCAGCTTTACACAAAGATGTCTGGTATCCTAGACTCGACTTCGATAGCCCAGGGCTTTTCGCCGCACGTTCCGATACGATGCCCGCTGCAGCAACTGCACCGTAGGCTGTCTCGGGAATCTCTCTGCACCAACACACGGTCTCGAGCTCAGCGGGTTGACTTGGTGTCCTGGCCAGAAACTAAGCCACCCGTCGCAGGAGGGCCTTCGGCGTCCTCGAACTCAACCCAATTACCCTTATACAACTAACCATTGCACACTTTCAAATCCCTGTTACTCTGTACCCTGGGCAGCTTCGCTAACACAACCTTTTTACAGACTCACCGGAGCCCATTCATCCTCTATCCATACTACACGATCCTTTTAGGCAGCTTGACCTTCTCCCTGTACGGCATGACGCGCGTTCTTTTCGGTCACAAGACACTGTGGTAGAGTGGTAGACGAAGGTGGAGGGAGGAGTCGAAGTCCACATGGATCTTGCTAGGGCCTGAATGCAACCGTTGTACATACTGCATCACACAATCGAAGTCGAGACGCATTATTCAAAAGACCGTCCTCGGTGTTAAGACCGCGAAACTTTTCTTGTCCTCTGTGTGAATATTGGCTTGCAGCATGACAGTGCCTCTAAAATACAGTACAATATACTGTACATTTTGCTTTCGACGGCGGATCTATCACAACAAGGCACAAGCGTGAAACTGGCGGAACTGCATCGACACCCATTGCGCCTGAATCACGATGCAAGTACACAAAAGGCGTTTTTGGAGGCGAATCGGAGTAGGGGGCATGAGAAGGGAGAGGGAGGGAATAAAATAGTGGAGTGAAGCCATCGCACCCTCGTACAGCCAGCACCTTCTCCCTCCCCGTCTCCGTCTCGCCCGTCTCGCCGTTGCCCGCAAGGTGCCATATGGCTAGCGTTTGGTGCTGAATTTGGATGACTCCCCTCACAGCAAGAGGACGCACGAGGAGGAGAAGAGTATGCCGCTTGTGACTCGACCTTCTCTCATCAGCATAATCCCCAATCTGTAGTTTGTAGAGTCAGCAGATAGAGAAAACAGCGGAACATGAGACAACCTTGATGCTAGGTTGTCTCAAGTATGTCCCGGCGAGTAGGTCCATCATGACCCCGTAAAGTTTGTAATAAAGGAGCAGGATGTTGATATCAGGAAGACCAACAAGGCGAGGAAAGGAAACTTCGAGCATGATGGACAGGGGAGCAACAGGGGAAGAGGACAGTCGCTTGCTTACACGCTCATCCGGGTTATATCCGGTATATCGGCCTGCTATAGCCGTATTTCCTGGACAGCCACAAACACGTATCAACCTCCATCCCAGGGTCAATCGGGGCCCCATATCGCGATCAAAAGAATCCCGGTAGTGGGCGGGTGTCGCCGAGTTCCAGGATGTTCATTTTCTCAGTCGAGTCCCTGCCAGGGTATATATAGAGGGGCTGTGTAGCCTGTCCTCGCTTTCTGAGAGGTAGAGAGATATACCAGAAACCTACCTGTAAGCCGTTACCCAGGTCCCTTACACTCGCCAAAAGATGGAGACCGCAGTGAATGAGAAGGGTCTGCGCATTCCGGTATGCTGCTGGGAGGATCGGTCCCCCTGCTGTCGATCGCTGAGCGGGCTAACACACAACTTCCCAAAACAGCTCATTGACATTTCATCCTTCGAGTCGGGAGACGCTGCCACCAAACTCTCGGTCGCCCAAGCCCTCACACATGGATTCCAGACATGCGGGTTTGTGTACCTGAAAAACCACGGCGTTCCGCAGTCCGAAATCGACGCACTGTTCTCCACCACGGCCACGTTCTTCAACAGACCCCAGAATGAGAAGAATCACTTGTCATGGGGCATGCAGGGCCGAAGCAGCAGTCCCGGGTACACGGCGTACGGGGGCGAGAAGCTGTCGCAGTCCCTCGACCAGGCGGAGATTGATCGCCTGCGGGCATCGAACCCGGACATGAAGGAGGCCTTGGACGTGGGCCTCGAACGGATTGAGGGCGGCGCGGACAACAGATGGCCAGGGGAGATTGATCAGGCCGTCGTGGAGATGAAACTGGTGATCCAGGGGTTTTACGAAAGGTGCCGACAGACTCAGGTCGTCGTGATGCGGGCCATTGCGCTGGGCCTGGGGCTCGAGGAAGGGTATTTTGACGCCCTTATCGACGAAGCCGACAATACGCTGCGATGCCTGCACTATCCGCCCGCCAGAGCCGAGGTTTTTGAGAGAAGCAAAGACGCCGTCAGGGCTGGGGCGCATTCAGACTATGGTAAGGAAGATGTGTTCCTCCTTTTGTCCCGTCGTTGCACCCAGCGCTAGGGGTCTGACACGGTGATTTCTTCTCCAGGTGCTCTCACGCTCCTGTTCCAGGACGACCGGGGCGGGTTGCAAATCTGTTCTCCTGACGGCGAGTTCGTCGATGCCACGCCGTTGCCGGGAACCATCGTGGTCAACGCCGGAGACCTTCTGTCTCGATGGGCCAATGACAAGATCAAATCCACCGTCCATCGCGTGGTCCAGCCTCCAATGGCCCCGGATGCATCGGTTGGGAATCTGTACCCCAGTCGTTACAGCGTGGCATATTTCTGTAACCCAAATTTGGACACGGTCATCCAGGCTCTGCCGGGCACCTGGGAGGAAACCGGGGCACAAAAGTACGAGCCGATCACGGCAAGAGAGTGGCTGATGAAGCGGTTGACTCTCTCACATACCAAGCCACCCACAAACATGTCGGTGCAGGTTCAGGCTTGAAGGGTTGAGATTTCTGTAGGCAGTTAGCTCCTTCATTTCACATGTTAGTTTTTTGACTTCTCCAATACCACCTGTAAGTCTAGATAGTTAGTAGGTGGTGGTCGAGCCAAAATTCTCATTGCAAAGCTTGATGGAGGGTGTGTTCTCATTGTATGAACTGTAGATTTCCGCAACATGTTGCAAATCCAGGACGCTTTCTCTCAGCCCGTTGCAAAATAGCCCATGTTCTGAGGGCCGGGCTGTCAATCTGCAATCCCAGGGTATGCGACAGCCAAGTATCACAGATCTTGGAAAGCAGCGTCTGCGGTCCCGGTGAGAAAATCCGGCTCGTCCAGGGTGAAGTAGTCACCGAGATCGGGAGCAAAGATGTCGAGATCGATGGCCCAAATCCCATCGTTGGAAGGGTCATCGAATCCAGGCCCATCGGTCGCAGTCTGGAGAAAACTCGCAGCGTTCTCCCACGCGCTACCGTTGTCGCTTGCTGCGTCTGCAAGTTCCTCCCCTAGCTGGTCGTGGGGGCCGAAATACCCAATCTCGGGCGATGAAGGTACCGCACGGCCTTTGCCTTCATGGAATACTCGGGCTTCCTGGATCTTATGAAGCATTCGCTGGACAGTGTATCGGACGCTGTCAACCTGTTCTTTGCTGGTCATATGCGAAACGCACCCGAGTGCCTCTTCCAGACTCTTTTTGACTCGAGGAATCAATTCCGAATTCTTCATCGCGTGGTAGGCGAGGAGCAGGCATGCGCTTTCGATACACGCGGACGTAAAGCTCAAGCCCTGCGGGATGAGTAAGTAGTGGACTTTTGGCTGACGATTGATACGGACAGACCCTAAGTAGTACGTGTCGGTTGAGCGATTCAAAGAGGTAGTGAATCAGTTTTCGGGCCGAGTCGAACGCACAATGACAGCCTTCGAGCAGCCAGAATAAGTCGGACTCGGGTGAGGGAGGGGTTTGCCCGGCGTGAAAAAGGGAAGAGTTATTGAACGATTTCCGAGCTTTCATGGAATTGAACACCATCAGGCAGGGCCGGAAGCTGGTCATCCACGTATGGGATAGAACTGGACACGGAATAAAAATGAGATGACTGGGAGTTTGGCGGGGCATGGATAGCCTTACAATTCATCATGAAGAATTGCTGGACGTTGGCATTTTCTTGGTCAATGCTGCCATCCAAGGCAAATCCAAGTATCGGCTCCATCCTCTGTTTGAAGGATTCCAGATCATGCCGAACACTTTGCAGGGATAGCCTCAATTTCATCAAGGAGAGGTGCTTCTCCTCGTAGATGTACTTGGCCGACTTAGCGATTATGTTCGACAGTTCGCCCAGCGCTAGGGTGAAGATGCTGGTTGCAGGGAATGGTATTGATATCGAATCACTTGCAGCTGAAGTCGGTCGGCCAAGCCAGAATGAGACCCATCTAGAGCATTATCAGGCCAAATTCTCGTGACGGCTGTTGGGTGCCACGATACCTTTCCCAGAACAAGAGAGCCCAAAATGTTGTGCGTCTCTCAGAGGTAGCATCACCTTTTGGCTGTGGCGATGTATACTCGACGTCTCGGTGAAGGCCTGTGGCATATGCTTTGCGACATGCTTGTCCGAGCTCAAGGTAGGCAAGATTTGCGCGGCCACTGCTCGCTTGATGGTGAGCGTACAAGAATTAGTTCACTTTCCAATCAAAGGGGCACGATGACTTATCAAGAGAAGGGATGCTTGAATAGCCTTGTTGTTGACCGTCTCTTCGAGGACATGCATTTCCCTCTTAGCTCTATGATAAATTGTGTCGGCCCATTTGACATGCTCTGTTAGAGTAGCTCCATTTGCCAGGACCGCGAGGAGGACTGCTTTGGTGTCACTAGCCATCTCTTCGGCCTCATCATTGTATAGCTGCTCAAGCCACTTCTCCATGACCTCGACTTTGAGGAATGGAACGAGATGAAGGACTGTCAAACTGAATCTCTCCAGGAACAGCTTTGCCAGTTCGAGAGGCAGACGCGGTGAGAGATCCGAGTCATCCACGCCTTTGGACGTGCCCAAATCCTGACGCACACCGAAGAACATTTCTCGCTGTCGAAAATAATCGATGCCCTGATCAGTAGCGGCTCTCAAAGGTGCCATGTTGCTCAACGAGTCGACTGGCGCGAACGTCCTGTACACTAGCTGGAGGAAGGCAAAGTTGGAGGAGGGCCCGCAATAGAGATGGTTTGTAGATCGAGGCATCTTCTGCGTTGTGTTGACGCTCAGATATACTTGTTCGGCGGCCTCCCCGTCCATGGAGCTCGCGTAGTTATCGTGAAGGCGGTGGTCAGAGATATCCCAATCAGGGCCGTGTGTCGTGCCTTGACCCGTCGCAGGCGACGCTGGCTGATGTTCGGCTGCTTGCGAACGCCGGACTCGATTAACGGAACGGTATCTACATTTTTCTCCCCTTTGCGTACATGTGAGGCATGGTGCCAGTCCATTACACTTGGCTTTGCGCCGACGACAGCCGTCGCATGCTTTGGATGTCCTGCGGTGGATTGGCCCTGGGCGGTCCATCAGTTTGATGTGCATACGAGATGGATGTTCGGTGCTGGGGGACTTGGTGTACGAGCACATACTGTGTCTATCTGTCATGCTGAATGTTCTCCCATCGTTGTAGCATGGTATTCTCTACCTAAGTAGTATGCCATGACAGAAGACCAATCCCGGCGATGAATACCAGGCAATCACGTGCCTTGGCTGCCAAGAGCTCGGCCGTCACGTGGCTACCAAATGAATATCAAAGAATCTCCGCATGACTCTTTTCAGATCTTCCGCCGACACAAGACCCCCGGACTGTCGAAGGGTCATTTCTCGAACGTTGTTCTCTTCTGCGAATCGAAGCGGCTTGGAAATGCACGTTTATTTAAGCCTTGGGATGGGTCCTTGCTTGTCAGGTTGTCCTCCCCAGGCCTTCGACATTTGTGCTACATGATTGGTCTTGATCTCGGAAATTGGCCCCATGCCTGTCATCAAACTCCCCCTGATGCTTTCGCTTACCAGGATGCACGGGCTTCCTGACACGGCTCTATACTTCCTTATTCGTGGTCATCTCCCTGAATATGGACGAATATGACACCGCGCCACGCGCCCGCCTGTACCTGGTTGTCAAACATGGTTCTTTCCCAGGGAATCTTGTCCACTGGTAGCCTCATCGCAAGCTGCAGATGGTCCAGATTAATATGCAGATGATCTCTGAAGGTAACCCACAGTTGTTGACCATGGCAGAAGTGGACGTAGGAGTATTTGCTCTCAGGCGTGGAGCTGGCTTAAATATTCAGGTTTCCCGCAAGTCCACTTGGAAATGCCTGATGCCCTGGGTAAATATTTCACAATGTTTTATTTCTGCGTTTCCCTTGTGTTGCCTTTAATCGGAGCATCGATCGCGTCGCCGCTGAAGAATCTTGACAAACGTGACCTGCCCTCTTTCGTCCGTCAATATGGTACATCTCTCTCTCTCTCTCCCCCCCTCTCTTCTGGGAAAGAACTCTATGAGGGCTGACCCAAATTCTATTCCAGCGCCGGTGGCATACCTTGACTCCACAGAGATCTACTTCCCCAGCTCCATCGCCGGTCAGGCAACGCACACACATCCTGAAGATGGCTCAGGGAACAACATCGCCGGTGCTCCGTCGCCCCTGACCCTCGACAATCTCAATAGTCTCAACAACTTCGCCTCCTCTGGTACCAACGTTTACCTCACATCAGACGAAGGAATTGAGGCTCTCCCGTCTTGGCTTCGCGGTGTTGAGCCTGATTCCTCCGGCTCGACAGGCTCCACCATTGCGAGCCTGATCATCACCGTCTCCAAACCGAACAACATCCTCGATGCATTCTACTTCTATTTCTACGCCTACAACCAGGGAAACTGGGTTCTGGGCCTACCCGCTCTCGAATTTGGCGATCACGTCGGTGACTGGGAGCATACCATGGTCCGCTTCGTCAACGGCGCGCCCACGGCAATGTGGTTCAGCCAGCATAGTTCCGGGGAGGCGTTCACCTATTCCGCCGTGCAGAAGTACAACAACGGCGATAGACCCGTAGTATACGTCGCGAACGGCACTCACGCGAACTACGCAATCCCCGGGACCCACGACCACACCATCCCCGGGCTCAACTTGCTCGCGGGGCCCTTGGAGGACCACACCGACGCCGGCGTGTTCTGGGACCCCTTGGTCAACGCCTACACCTACAGCTACGACAACACGACCGGCGTCTTCACCGCGTACAACGGGCAAGATCCAACCGGCTACTTGGACTTTGCGGGCCGCTGGGGCGACAATCAACTCCCGGACAGCACGTCCGGTCAAATTGACGTGTTTGGCGAGCGCAAGTACGTCGCTGGCCCCACGGGACCCCGGGATAAAGACCTGGGAAGGTCAAACGTCTGTCCTACCAGCCAGAGCTGTTCTGTCTCGAGCATCTTGCTTCCTTAAGAAGGGGGTTTGCTCTTTTGCAGCCTCTTGTTTTTGGGTACAAGGACTGGGGATGATTTACAGAGACGCCGTCTAATGCGGGGAGTTTTACAGGAGCAGGAGCAAGAGCCAAGACCGAGACAGACGTCGTCGGATCCGTTTTCGTCGCGTTTCCATTACTTTGGTTCTTTTCTTGGTCGCAGATTGAGAAAGGTGTCTGCGCGGCCAATCGGTTTGTCGCTGTCGGTGACTTAACCTTTTTATTTACGAGCTATTGGGAGATCTGTTGATTATAGAGCATGATAGAGATATAATAGGCTGCGTAATGTACACTTACTGGATATGAATATTTCTTGCAAGGAGTCCGTGTCAGCGATCTGGGACACAGAGCACACAGCCTGACCAAGGCCTGGTATAGAAAGGACATGGGTGCACGCGACTTAACATTGAATCCGCATGTGCGCAGCGGTGCTGAGTATCTGCGCTCAAAGCGCAAGGAAACTGACATGTACCCATACGGGTGGATGCGCGCATAAGTATTTGTGTGATGTGGCGCGGCTGTCAAAATTTACCTCTTCTCATTAAAAGGAAAAAGGACTATCTGGTGTTGGAAGTAATAGTGCCTGCCATCCCTTACCTCGCTTATCCGGTATAGATTTCCCATATGTAAATCCGCCTTGCGTGGCTTCATCCTGCCCTGTGAGCTTGAGAAAGGAAAAGCATGTTGAAAAGGGACACATAAGGAAGATGAGATATTGAGACAGCCGCCTCCACCCTCGCCAGTTTCCTTGGTGTGCGTCGTACATCCCACCTGCACAGGTCCACATCGTGTGAATCCTCGCCGAGATTAATGCCAGAAGGAGACCCATCCGCTGAAAGACGCATATCAGGAGTAGGAAAGGACATATGAGAAGGAAAATAGTTGGCTCGATAAGACAGCTGTTCCACTCCTTGGTTATCGACAAGGTCGACCACCGCGTGAACCGGTACAGGAAACATGAACTTCGAAAATACCACCCGCGCCGAGGAAGAGCCAGCTCCCGTATGTTGTCCCATTTGTTTCTGTTTCATCTTTGCAGATATCGATTGTACGATCATTGTGTAAAAGTCGTCGTGGTCTCATGACTGGTGTGCTTTATCAATGCGTTTTCTTTTTTGCGTAGTAAGCGATCATTCTCTTCGCGGCCTGTTGTGGATACTTCCGTGCCCCATATGTGATTTGAAATTGTACAAACAGTCTTGCGGCAGGAGAGAGGCGTCTCGCTTCGATGCGATGTGAGCAGAAAAGCTGGAAGGGCGGCAATAACCAAACTCCAAATGCTCATGTCAGATAAACCTGATCTCTAGGACATGGGGGTTGCTTGCGCAGTTCAAGTACATGAAAAAGCAAACGTTCCGACTTTTCTGGTTGCGGCTCTCTTGAAGAATAGAGGACAAGCTGAAAATTCCGAAGGCCTGACAAGGATTTCATCCAGCTCCAAAAAGGCAAAAAGGTCGTTCCTGTGCGCTCTGTGTTTAGACGAAGTTCTTTGCGGTCACCATCGGGCCCTGCTTCAGAGTAAGCGTTTGCCGACTGAAGTTCGTCCAGCCTTCTGAAGGCTTGGTCAGCTCGTGTCGCTCCTCATGTGCAGTTCCTAGCCTAGGGGTATGCACACCAGGTCCTTCGGCGCGGCCACCAGACCTGTTGGCAGAGGTTTTGTCTCGCAATAAATTCTTGAAAAGTGGCTTCAGGCAGGGTATACATGCACAGATGATACCCGTGCCGACCTCAATCACCGACCATTTCATCGTGGATACTGATCCCATGGTGACATCTAAGCTGTCGACGCTCCGAAGGACACTTATGCGTAGAGCTGATGCCACAGTCGCGAACAGGCCAATAGCAAACAGTAGAGACACAATGTACTTTTGCCTCGCCGGAAGTTTGAGCCTGAAAAAGACCGGCAGTGGTAGGGTACACAGCAAGAAGTCGGTAAATATTGAAAAGGCGGTGGTGAAGTAATAGAACGTGACGATCTCCAAGCAGTCTCGCGGGAGGGTAAAGTCCCAAGCTGCGCGGACTGGATGGCATTGGAAGATGGTGACGAGGATACTGCAAATCCAAACCGCAATAATGGCCACACCGAGAGCATACATCAGTCTCCGAAAGACCGTTGTCGGGAAAACTCGAAGGTATGATGTAACGATTGATATCTTGACCAGCATCAAGGCTGTCACGTACATGATCTGGCATGTCCACAAGGTCTGCTACTTGTTAGCTCATTCCCTGAAGAGGAGCAGGTGTGTGTCATGACCTGAATCACTTTCTTTGTGTTGTCAACAAATCTGGAGTCCTGTGGAAGGTCATAAATATGCCTCCCCAAGCCATATCGTATGCCTTTTGCTGTTGTCAGAAGACTGGGTTCGTTTTGCGAGATCTAGCCGCCGGCTTACCAACAATCGACATGGCGGAAAAGGCATCGGCGAAGAGGCCAGCCGCCACCATGAGGAAGTCGTCAACGGCCACATGTTTAACGACAAAGCCTCTGACAATCAAGCGAATGAGGATGATGACGGAATTGGCGCAGATGAAGGAGATGTTGACACGATAGATCTCTCCCACATATGAATCGTGAGGTAAGAGATCCGATGGTACTTGGCTCATGATGAGTAGATTTCCGGCTTGGTCTGCCGTTGGGATCCAATCGCAGGCCGCGAACGGCGTCCAATTGCTGCAACGATAGTGACACTGGTGGGATGGCAAAAGGCAAATAGGCAGGAAAGTATCAGAGATCGATATCACACTGAGTGAAAGGCAAATATTGCATGATGAGGCTCTTTTTCGAAGGATCGAGAGGAAAAGCCAGCGCTATAAGGTCCAACGGTTTTTCTTTCTCCTGCAGGTCGAGCTCTTTCTTTCCCTGATTTTCTCCTTCCCCGTGGGCGCTCCGAGTCAAACAGGCATTGCTGCATAGCGAGACTTGCCGGGCTGGCTGTTGTTGGGAGGAGTCTTTCCATTCTGGGGATGTCAGCCAATATCCAACCTGGTCAGGACTCAGTCTTTGCCCCCGACGCGTGCACCTGCAGAGGGGTTCTTTGACTAGAAAACCGTGATAACGACGTGTATGGTGTGAAGGCGGCAGGGAGGACTGACCAAGGACACGCGAGAAGAGGCAGATGGTGCGATTAGCGCGAGGGACAGGGCCGCGGAGAGGCTGGTGGCTGCGATGGATGAATCCCAAAATGGCTGCCACTGGCTCCTTGGCAGCGGCCCCTGAAAAGGCCTTTCCGTGCAAAATGCCTGGTTTGCAACCTCATTCGCTGCGCACTCAACAATTAGTTTGGCAAATGCGGTCAAAATTCCCATACAATGTGTGTGGAGATTTCCTCCTAGACAGCCCAGACACCCATGATCCCGGCATTTCTCCACGAGAGAGCACCAAGTCTGTGGGCTTTCGTCAGGCAACTCTCGGAGGAAAAAAACGCCACATCGAGGCCGCGTGGGATGCGTCGATTCGAGTGGGAGATGAACATAACGAGCCAGACTGAGGAACCGCTGGCATGGTCTGACACAGAATACGGGCTTGCTTCCAATGTTGCCGAAGAGTCGTCCGCGACGACGAAAAGGCTGCTCTTTCAAACATGCCCGATGGTCTGGAGAAGGACAGAGTATCACCATTTTCACAGCTCAGCGAAATGCTAATCATCAATAAAGGTTAGCTGCGATCTAACGCGGACTGAACTGCACGTTACTACCAAGACTGTCTAGGCTGACCGTGCCATTTGTGCGCATTCCCACTCGCACGGGGTATATGCAACACACACGTACATGCAGAAACGCCTCCGCATCCCCTGAACCGTCTCGTCTTGGTGGCTGCCGCCTCCCCCCTCCTGTTCATGCACCGAAGATGTTCGAAGAAGGAGCCAATGTGCATGAGAATCCGGGTCTGCGGGAGTCTGTTCTGGGGAATCACCGTTTGAGGAGAAGTGATCAACAGGCTTCTTCGGAGATTTTCTGTGACCATGGAAAGCTATCACCGTTGAAAATCGGACCACCCAGTTCTCAGTCAGCAGCCACAAAGCCTACTAGCATTGCGCAGGGGATACATTCCATGTTTAAGTTGGATGCTTCTGTCGGAGACGAAGACGAATCTGCCCACTCTGGTGCTGCCGCATGAGGGTGCCCAGCCTCCCCTTAGAGGCCACAGGAGGGAGGGCTCAATCCTCACTTCAATGTCGGGAATTACAGTTCGTCCTTTTCTGGAACGTGCTCATCCGTTCTCAAGGGGAATATCTCATGGCGAAGAAACGTTTCCTGGCTTATCATCCAGGGACCGGGGCCTAGAACAGTACGCGACGTGCGCCGCACTTTATAGCCAGTGGGGTCATGCACCTTGCAGAAAGGGACTGCGAATTTGAACTCAAATATCAATTAGGGATAGGCATTGTCGTATCCTCTGACAACCTCAAACAAGCCTGCTGCCATTACCGATTCACGGAAAAAACAATATATGAAAGCCTGCCGTGCCGGAGCTTAGCAATCGGATGACAATAGCCAACCTTACATATCGTCTTCCTCATCGAATTAAAAGACCCTGGAAAGGCCCAACCAACTTAACGGGGCTTGAGCCGCAAATGAATCGTGATAGTGCTCTCAGTGCAAGCCCACAACAGCGAGGTTGATTGGTGGCAAATTCCTTCGTCGAGAGAAGAGGTATAAATCTTCCCACGGGAAGATCGGCACAAGACGATCCCCTTGTAGTTCGCTGACCCAAACTGAGCCGTCAGACTTAGGACGCGAAGCTCCTCTCTATCTCACCCTGGTCCGAGATGTGTCTCGGCTCGACTAATTTGTCCGGAATGACAGGGGATAATGCGTGGATGTTGGGTGAGTGAGGGACATCTCCAGTCCACGTTGTGCTGTAAACAGCGGCCTCAAAATGGGCACGCTTCTTGTGTGCTCTCATCTGCCAGGGTACCATAGCCCCGGCCTCGGTGACCGTCGGTGGTATTGGGCCTCGACCATCGACACCACTGGGGTTTGGGGACCTTGACATGATGAATGCCAACAACCAATCAAGCTTTGACTGCGGTAAGGAGTCCATGGCTCCTCGATTTCTGAAAAGCAGGAGAGCATATGCTGCCCCGCCGAGACAAATGAAGAGAGCAAGAACGCCAAAGGCGGCGATAAACCCGTTGGACAGCTGCACAGCAACAACTCTAACGCTTAGCTTGCGGTTGACCGGCCGCTTGAGTTGAGTGTCCTTCGTAACCATGTATGTCTGATAGAATCGTTGCAAATCTCTTGGGCTAATCACGGTAATCTCATCGTCTGCCATTGACTCCTGCTTGAAGCGTGTGAAGTAGTTGCCGATCATTGCGAAAGGGATGTTGAAAACGTCTCCAATGTCGGGAAATGCAATCCATGTGCCATCCTCAATGCGATCATTGGTGAGCCTGACAGTACAGTCGACTCGTGTATATGAAGCGGAGCCCACAGGCCCCTCACCAAACCGACACGGGGCATTGTCATCAGAGTCATTCTTCGGGGCGTTGTGAAGATGCAAAGTTGCCAGAGACATGTCCAGCGTGCGATATGTACCGAAGCTGCCGCTGGCTTCATCCCAGTCTGAGTAGTTTGCCGCATACATACAAATGAGCAGGTCCTTGATCAGTGTTGCGTTGGTGTAGAAGTCTGCGTTGTCGTAATAGCAGTAGTCACTGGGCAGACATGCCGGAAGGATTTCATCTTCTATTGCACCACCAAATTTACCGACGAAAGTGTCACATGTCGACGTGAGATGGAGGCTTACAGGCTTTGACTCGGTGGGCTTGCAGGTCATACTCCAACTGTTGTTCCACTCGTCAGGACGGTAAACCCATAAATCCGAAGTGTCTGGGAGATAGTCCAGAAGTTCGTCGATGGGGAAGTCGGCGCGTTCGAGACTTGTTAGAGTCAAATTCCATGCCACTTGAGAGTCTGGAATGCTGTTATCTGTTCTCCCAGCCAGAAGTCCATTGACCTCCGTTTGGACCACGACATGGGTCAGTCTGGTTGAGTATTTCGCGATTGGACCGGACAGGATAGTTGTGATTGAGAGAGCAATAACAATTAGACTTTGAGCAACAATATTCCAATGTTGGAAGACATGAGATTTCAGTAGTAAGAGAACATCGATGGCCTCGCCAGGTGTGTTTAAGCTGAGAAGGGACGATACTGGCACAGCCCTTCCCTTTGCAGCCACTCGTGCACTGAGTGACCAGTAGCAGCGTGTGAATACAAATATGGTGATGCCGCTTAGAGCTGTGACGATGACATTCAAGGCTGCTTGAACATCCTCCAACTTCCACGACCGGGGTAATGTAGTCCAGGTGCTCATAGTGAATAGAGGAAGGATGGAGGCTCTTTCTCACTGAAAGCAGAAAGCCTAGCATGGCACAGCTGGGGGAAGGGCGATTATAAATCTGGGGACAGAGATAGCCTGAAACCATTGATATCCACACGAGCTTCGCGAGGGCTTCCCAGACCCCAACGATACAGCCATCATATGGAGCTAAGACCTGTCCAGGCTCTCTGAGCATGGTTCGAGGCTGAGTCGAAAATGTCTAGGTCGATATTCGCGATGATGAGTTGGGAGACTTTAGACGAGCTTTGCCTGGTTGAACGATGCGGCTCGCTTAAAACCCAAGACTCCCATATCTCTTTTGGATTGCCAAGGTTGCCGGACTTGGGCACCGCGCACTTCCGGAGGGCATGGGTGAAGTGTGAAGGTCGCAGATTGGATGGATGAATAGGCAGCTTTGTTCGGGCTGTCTGGGCAGCTGAAATGCTTTGCTGTTCTCAATCATGCTTCGAGAGGTGCTCGTGTTCAACCCCTTCCGATTATCCCGCACGCAAGGTACCAAGACTCTCAATCTGGCATGACTGGTAGAGAGTCCCGTCGACACCATATGATCAGACAAAAAGGGAAAAAGGATTGATACAGCTCCTCGGCACGGAGGCGCATGTCAGGCACCGCGAAGGATCAGTCAGAGGAAGGCTGCAGGGTAGCCTCATTCTAGGATGGAAGAACTTGACTGTGCTTACCCGGAGGATATGGACAAGATGATAATGATGATGATGATAATAATAATAAAGGGAATTCACCATTCGCTTTTTGCAACATTCTTGGGTTGAGACTTGTCTGAGCAAGTTGGTGTCAACGACGAGGTCGAGCTGCTGGAGATGCTGGAGATGCGGTTGTCGATGCGGAGGCACGTGGCACTGGCCGCACCTCCTGCTCGGCGCACTTTCCTTCAAGAGCAAGACGAGCCTCCTGCGCTTCTGTCAACGCGATTCAGACACCATCGACTTGAATTTCGCTTCAAACATCCCTTCGTTGCGCATACGGGAGTCGGTTATATTCTGTCACCTCTAACCCATCAATTCTCATTTATAGCTCAACTGTTGTTGCCAAATGCTCCTGTGACCAGCTCGACATCTCTCCTCTTTCTCACTCTTGAAAATGGACACCTCGAAAGACACGCCTTTCGCTCCTGCGGGCGACCTCCCCCTTCATCGCAACGCGCCTCTTGCGCCCACACAAGAGCTTGCCTACAGGAAGAAATGTATACAGCTAAAGCGACGTCTTGCTGAGATCGAAACCAACAACGATGCTACGCGCAAAAGAATCATCCAAGAAACAGAACACGTCCAAAAGATGCGCCTTTTGCGTGCCATCCTTCTTAATCACCTGCAGGACATCATGACTGCTCCAGCTAAGAAGTTGACTCCAGAACAACTTGACAAGATCGGAGTCCTGGCCAATGGCACCGGGAACCTGGCGGAGTTGGCTGGCAGTGGCGTGGTGCCCGAGTTACAACGCCGGAGACCCGAAGGGGAAGGGTTACTGGACGACAGCTCCGAAGCGAGCGATGAAGATGAACCCGAGGTTAGCAAGCCCTTTGCTCTCCATGGCAGACGCTTACCCGACACAGCCCGTCGAGCGACCTGAGCGGCGGAGAAGAACCAACAACACCTTCCGCGAGACTATCATGAACACGGCCACTCCAGGAGAGACAGCGCCGGCGATGTATCATCAGACCCCGTTACCCAGTCTTGCTCCTGCAAGTTCTTTCTCCCCGGTCCCTCACGACCCAGCAGCGCTCACATCATCTTTCCGTATCAACTCGTCTACTCCACAGGCACCTACGAATCCTGGAACGCAGCAGCAATTTCCGGACGCGACATATTCGCAATCATCTCCAATCCCGGTCAACCAGCACTTGGGTGTGCCTTATCAGTCACCGAGTCAGCCACGGCCACCCAGCGTAGCGCCCACTCAGGATACCGGCGCGAATGGTCTTGCGCGCTCTCCTGGTGTACCGGTACGCCCTGAACGACCAGAAGCACCCTATGTACAATTTACAATGCACATGAGACCACAATTAGAAGCCGATGACTACCCTCCTGAGCAAATCCCTGCTCGTATCCAGGCCGAGTGGGATGGTCTTAGCGCAGATAACAGGAAGCTATGGGACGACAGGTACGAAGACCAGATGAAAGAATATACCGCGGCGATGGATGCTTGGAAGCGTGCTACTAGAAGAGAGCCATCGGGCAGTGGCTTTTCCTCCATCAACTCATAGAGTGGGTCGAACAGAACACCTAATGGCTACCATAATAACGTCCCGTGGCATTTACGCCTACGAATCCATCAGCCCCCTTGGCGATACTAGTCATTTTGACAGTGCACATACTTCTCCCTCAGTCTGGGTCAGGAGAAGGGGCGTCGAGTTGCGTATTCATCAACCGAGAAACACCTCGATTTCGCACCAGGCGTCTGTGCATTTACGTTAGCGCCAACCGTTTTACGGTTCCTGGGCGCTTTTCACGTCTAAATGTTTAACAACATTCACATCAGACATGAATTTTTGCGTGTATCAGGAGCTCCGTCACTGAAACCCAGATTTCCTGCAAGGAGGTCAAGTTTACTTCGGAGACGAAGGACCAGGCACAGAGAAACACAAAGCTTGGATGAACCCTCACCGTGTCATTATCTGGGAGACCCTCTGATGTCAACTTTCACCGACGTGGCTTTTTTTCGTGTTCATTCCGTCAGCACAGTCCTCGGTGGGCTCCGTCCTGCAAGAATCCAAAGAAAACCGGCTTCTCCAAGATGTTCTTCGTCAATGCTCCAACCTGGACGGCATCGGAGCAGCTATCTTCCCAAGATCGCTGGGCAATATGCCAATAGTTGGGCGCACAAATTTGGACTCTATTCTGCCCTGAACGCCTATCGGGATAGCATTCCTGCATAGGTCAACGTCTAACTATTAGCAAAATCAAACTCGATTGTAAGTTGAGGGTTGATTTCAATTCTCTGCGACGAGGTCAATGCTGGGCGCAAGGTTGAAAATGGTCCCAGACGAAGAAAGTGCTAAGGAATGCGATGCTCTCGTTCGGCGATAGGTTCTAATCCTGCTGTGATCTACTGGTCCTCAGCTGGGGGTTGTGATGGAAGCGGAAGCCATCCATATTATTCACTTGAATCATTTGGATGACCCTCATGGTACTGTGCAGTCAATATCTTGTGCGTCAAGATGTCTATCCTGCCTTGACACCGCAGCTGAAATGACTGCACAGCATGAACGGAAGCAACGGCACCAAATCAACGTATATCATGGGCGAGTCCACAAACAATATCAATCTGAGAACCGGGCGAATTGCCTATGGTTGCTCTATTCATTTTGTGTTCATGTCTCTAGGAGTGATCTGAACTTGACTTCGAGGACGATCTGGCCACGCATACTCCATTCATTCCATCAAAGTGCCCATTTGGTATTTCCCGCGCGTTATGGGTGTGCCCTCTGGAGATAGCGACTTCGTCTCTCGCCAGTTTATCTGACATTAGGGCACTCTACCACAGTTGGACACTGAGGCGCCTGCTTGATGCTTGACCTATGCAGACATTCAGAGGCTCAATGGACTCTCGGTGACCGCGCTCAACAACGTTCGTCCAAGTTACAGGTGCGGATTCCCGTCTTTCGAGTAGTTGCTCAGGGCAGCTCCGGCTTGAGACGTGAACATACGTCGTGGGCTTTCGGGGCCATTGGCGGGCTAGGCAAAAGCACGCCTTTTGTGATCCTGTTCTTTCGACGCTCGTTCATGGCGTAGACTTCGTTTCCTCTTTTTTTTTTGTTCCTTCATAAACTCAACCCACAAGACCATTCGTTCCCTTTTGCCCGCTGTAGGCTCTCTGTTCCCTCAATCCTCGTCCCAGTTCGGGTTCGGCCCTGGTGGCTTCGGCCCTCCGGCTTGCCTCGCGACGATGATCTGATCTACACTCAGAACCGTCCGCGCCGCCTCCGTGGCCAGACGGATCGCCCAGGCCTTGGTCACCATCAGGTCCAGAATGCCTTCTTCCAGGGCGTCCAGCACGCCGGACGCGTCGCTGACTTCCAGGTCGATGCCAGTTGTCCAGTAAGGTTCTTCCGACTCGTCGGATTCCCCGGAATCGTCGTCATCGTCGTTCTCTTCGTCCTCATCCTCGTCATCGCTTTCGTCTTGTTCGCCGTTTGCTTGTTTCCGGCGCTTCACCTCCTCGCTGGAACCTGCTCGGCGTTGATGCGCCGTGTACAGCCTCGCTACCACTTCCGTAGCGTCCAGGCCGGCGCTCTCTGCCAACGTCCTCGGGATCACCTCGAATGCCTCTGCATATTTCCTGATGGCGTACTGCGGCAGGCCTGGTGTCTTGTCTGCGAAATGGCTGATTCTCTCCACCAGCTGCATTTCCGTCGCGCCCGCGCCCGGGACAAGCCGAGGGTCTTTTGTGACCGCTTTTATGACGTTGACGCCGTCGTCAATCGCCCGCTCGACATCGTCGAGATGGTTCTGTGTTGCGCCTCTCAGCACGATGGTCGCCGTACGTGTTGTTGCGGTGTCAGACTCTTGGCGGAAGACGGTCACTCTGTCACCGCCGATTTCAGTGGTTTCCACGACGTCGATGCTGCCCATTTCGTCGGGCATGGGCGGTCCGAGGCGGGCCAGAGGAGTGGCGTTGCACACGCTGCACAAGCGTCGGAGTTCGAATTTCGACATGATTTTGACCACGAGGATGCCCATCCGGTTGAGGTAGTGCATGGCTAATTCTCCCACGGTTGCGCCTGCGATGCACACGCGGACACCTGTGTCGTAGATTTCCCGGATGGCATTTTCGAGCTGCGCTTCCTCGCCTTTCGAGAACGCCATCATTTCTTTGGCATTTTTCAGTAGAACTGTCCCCTTTGTTTCGGTTTGGGAGGTGTCAATCGGGCATGAGTACACAGCGACCTTTGCCTTCTTCGCCCGCTTCACCATCCCCTCAGGCTCGCGGCCGAAGACCATGCCCTTGACGACTTGGGAGGCGGAGAGGTCTCCGCCCATGATTTTCACCACGCGGATATTGTCGACGTTGAAATTTGCCGGATTTTTAGGTAGGACTGCCAGTACAGCCTGAGCAATCAACTGCGAAATGAGGTCCTCGGAGCCAGATTGCTTGGAAGCAACGACTGTGCGAAGGGCTTTGCTAAGTTCGGCGGCGGAACGAACATCGGAGACGGCGTCAACTTCCAAGTCTATTGACTAGTGTCAGTGGCGTCCTCTTTTGAGACTGTAACAGAGTGCGCCCGTTTACCTTCTAAACATTTCAGCGCATAAGCCTGCGCCTTCTCATACCCAGACACAATATCGCTCGTTTTAAGACCCATCCGTATTAATTCTTCAGCTTTCTTAAGCAGTTCTCCAGCCAGGATAATGACCATGTTTGTGCCATCTCCCATCTCCGCCTCTTGCTGTTGACTAGCCATGACGAGTAACTTTGCGGCGGGGTGCACCACCTCGAGTTCGCGGAGGATTGTAGCGGCGTCGGAAGTCAGGATCATCTTGGAGAGATGGTTGATGACAATTTTGTTCCGGCCGTATGGGCCAAGTGAGGTTTGAACGGTCTGGGCAATCGTTCTGCATGCATCGATCTGTACACAAGGATCAGAAAATGAGTGGTCTGAGGGGTGGGAAGCCAGCATACGTTTCGAATCACGGCACCATCTTCGGCGTCATAGCTGCTGTAGCCAGGCTTAAATAGCCCCGACTGGGAGGCCTGGGGTATTGCTAGAGACATTGCGGTGACTGGTGAGCGGAAAGTTATGAGAATGTTGAATAGGCAGAATAAGGACGAAATCGAACTGTAGCGTGACAAAAATTATTGACGTTGCCGCAAGGCTGAACATCAGCCTTGCCAAGCTTTGGGAAAGTGGGGCATCCATCTCAAAAACATCATTTGTTGAGATGCTTAGACTTCTTCGGAAGGTCAGGCTGATTCATCAGAAGCGGTACGAGTGGCAAAGAAGAATGCGCGAGAAAGACTACGCCTTTTTAATACTACTATACAGCTCTTGACACCAGATACGTGTTTTGAGGTCGTCACAGGTGGGGGGCTCTACCTTTCGGTACAAGCCCTCGCCCTCTGTTACCTTCTGTCTGACCCCTGGTTGAAGGAGGCATTGTAAGGATAACTGGTAGGGGTGATTGGAGCCGATCAACGTTATTAACGGATAATTCATGTATCGGCGGTCTCGCTGTTCCAAGACACAACATTCCCACCAGCATTCTCATAGGCAATAGCCTGACTAGGCTCGGAAGACCTCACACGACCTTTCTTTCTGCCAAGTTATAGCTTATCACTCTCCTTCTTTTCAACTCTTTCACTTTGGACAAATGTAATCTTGAGCCCACTCAATCTATCAACAGAACGGAGGTCTGGCAGCTAGCCCGAAGCAACAACAATGCTCCTGACCCTCCTGGTATCCGACGAACTTCGGCTGGACCACGGCCTTCTCCGACCATTGCTATACTCCAGCTCAGAGAGTTACAAAGATATGGCATATAATTTACTCATGTACGCATATCTAAGCAATGGTCAAGGCGACGTTTGTGTGTGATTGCAGCTCATATACTATGTACTTGCGTTAGTCTTCTGGTAAGACTTTAGGATGGGTTCAATTGATCCTACCTTGGCAGGAATAACGGCGGCAGAGGTGAACGACGACTATGAACAATGTATTGCAGGCGGGTTCGCTCCTCTTCCAGTAGGTCGCTCATGCGATATGTCTTCTATGCTCGCTTCTAGTATATCAGAAGACCCCCGTTCTAATGTTTATAGGTACCCCTGGCTCGAGCTCAGGGTGCGCTTGCGTACGATGTTGAGCATAAGTCATACATCGATTTCTTGAGCATGATCGCCGTCAACAACATGGGCCACGGCCATCCCAGGATTGTCAACGCGGCAGTAAAGGCACTCCAATCAGGGCCCACCGTCAATCTCGCCTTCCAAAGTCCGTATTACGGCCAACTCGCCAGGCGCCTCACCCAAGTACGTATGACGTGAAAATGTCACAGCTTTTCTAGAGCCATACAATTGACACAGGCGTCCAAGGCATTTAGCTATGACCGTTTTGTAGCATTGACAAGTGGTGGTGAAGCCGTCGATGCCAGCATGAAAATCGCAAGGAAATGGGGTCATCTCGTCAAGGGCATTCCAGTGGATAAAAGCTTCATCTTGAGCACCTCTGGCTGCTATCACGGTGTTGGTCTATCTCCGCTGTCTCTAGCAAGCAAAAAGAACCGCCGTGAGTAATCTTCTGTCGTGATAGATATGATGCAGCTAACGTGACCTCAGTCTTTGAGACCTTTCTCCCGCACATTGGTTCCACAAGTCCTTCCGGCATTTCGATCCGTTATGGTTCTCTGGAAGATGTGGAAATGGCATTCGAGCTCGATGGCTCTGAGATGGCTGCTTTTATCGTTGAACCCATTCAGGGGGCAGCTGGGTAGCGTTTAGCCCTCGAGCGAGCACTTCCCCTTCGGCTGGCTGATGGGATTCCAGTGTTATAGTGCCGCCCGACGACTATCTGCCTGGAATTGCCCGCCTCTGCCGGCAATACAATGTACTCTTGATTGCCGACGAGATTCAGACCGGACTGGGACGATGTGGATATCCTCTCTTCCACATGAAGGCTGGTATCCGTCCGGACCTGGTGATCCTGGGGAAGGCCTTATCAGGAGGTTTGTTGCCTCTTTCAGAATTCGTGGCTCATCATAGGGGATCTGACTGGGTAATTTCAGGCGTATATCCTGTTTCGGGGGTGCTGGGAGACAACCACATCATGGAACTGCTTGACCCTTATGAGTAAGTGAAAAAATCCACATCAGCTTATTATGTAACCCTTACTGAATAGCCCGTGATCTTGAAGAGTCGGCTCAACCATGGCAGCGAATCCGCCCGGATGTGCTGCCTCTTTGGCCGCCATCGATGTGCTCTTTGATGAAGACCTGTCCGCTCGAGCACTGATGCTAGGCGATCTGTTGATTTCGACCTTGAAATCATACGAACCGCCCCATGTCAAAGAATATATGGGTGCGGGCCTCCTCTGGGCCATTGTGATCAACGAGAAGCCTCCTCAAGTGACCAGTCGGCGGGTGGTTGCTCTTCTGGTGCAGAGAGGCGTCCTAGCCAACGCCATCAAAGGCGGCAGGATTCGCATCTGCCCTCCCTTGACTATTAGCACCGGCCTCTTGCTGAAAGGGGTGGAGATCATCGTGCAGGCTCTGCGGGATGTGGAAGACCATCCCGAAGGCTTGCCAGGGGAGACGGTTGTGATCAAATATCCGATCTCGCCGGACGAGTAGTTAATACGATGGATATTTTAGTGCTCAGGGACGACGAGCAACATGTAGACTGAGTCCTATTGACCATGAAGTGCGTACGTTTTTAGGTCAATGCACTTGTCCAGGAATGGCTATAACTTTTATTGTAGCATTTCATGAACAAGTCTTCCCTGTCTCCCCGCTACCAAAAAAAAGTCTTTCGGAGATCATTTGCCTCCAATTGACTACTCTAACTCCTGAATAGGAGCCAAAGCAGCCAAAATGTCTTGCTAGACCTGGACATCCGTAAAGAGAGGATAAGGTCGACGAGTGGCACATTTAGACTGGTCGTATCCCAGAATCTTTGCAACAACCCATTTAGTCTCATTAACGCCGGTCCTGTTCAACCACCACTCAGCTTTGGCTACAGGAAACTGCAGTTCTCTGGCTTTATCGACACGGCATAGTGTCCCATTCTGGATGAGAGGAACGCGAGGCTCGACTATCTCATTGGTTCGCAAGAACAGATCGACCCACTCGTTGTTTCCTCTTACAGCGCGGCCTTCTCCGGCGAGGTCGATTCCAGTCTGGGGTTCTGTTGTCTTTTGTTGTGACAATGCCATGGAACACCCCTTGTAGGTACTGTGGTTATTCCGGTAGCTTGAGCTTGTGCACTGTCATGGCAGATTACCATCTGCTATCGGCTCCGGGGGTCCTCTTCGGTCTAGAGGCCTGCAAAGTCTCGCTGTGGTGCGATCACTCTCCGCGGTTGCGCCACAGTGCGCAGTTGGTCCGAGGATTTGAACACAAGTCACGCACTCCGCCGCCATAAGCAATAACTTCGGCGACGGCCCACTCGCACAGTGATGTGAGAGAGCCCCTGCAAAGCTCCAGATCTTCTGTTTCGGCATCATGTCCCCGGCTGGACGAAGGATAGTGATTGGCAGAGGATGTATTCTGAAGTCCTTCTCAATGAGGCTGCAAGGTGACCACGATTTTGGTCGAGTACTTTTACACCACCTTTGCGGGCGCCCGTTTTGCCTTCCTTGGTTCTACTCTTGTTAGTGGTATTTGGCTGCAAAGGGGGTCAATGGACCACTCCATGACTTCAATAATGTTGGACGTTCATTTCAGTCCGGCGGCAGCTGGGTTGGGAATTCTTGTTGTCGCGGCTATTTTATTGATAACGCCCATTTGTTTCCGGCTCTTGTATTTGGACTTTCCGAAAATCAAGGGGATTCCTGAGATCCCAGGCGGTGACTTGGTCCACGGCCATTTCTATGAGCTAGGGGACGACCATGCCACCACGGCGGAGAGGTGGTCGTTGCAGTATTCATGGCCGGTCTTCCAGATCCGCATGGGTCGAAGGCGAGCCATCATCCTCAATGGCTTTCACGCTGCTCGTGAGTGGCTCGTTACCAATCAAGCCTCGACTTTAGATCGCCCTCGACTGTATACCTTTCACGGGGTTGTTTCGGCGACTTCTGGTAAGTAGCAAGGAAAACTACCGGGAGGGGGCTCAAACGGAAATCTCGCTGACCATCATGCCTGCGTCAAATATGTAGCCGCGACTATCGGGACCAATCCGTGGGATGAACGAACCAAAAAACAACGCCGAGTTGTTGGGTCGTACACCACGGGACCTGCCATCAGGCAGATGAGGTCAATGCTGGACCTGGAAGTCTGTGCCATGATCTCGGCCATCTACTACGACAGCAAGAAAGGAGAGATCGACCTGATGCCGCACATCTATCAGAAACGCCTCGCCCTCAATCTGATGATGATGTTCTGCTACAGCACCAGGTTCTCCACCGTCACCGACCCTCTGTTGCTCCAGATACTATCTGACGCTACGACTATTGCAAGGTGAATGACTCTCCCGTCTCCCGTTCTGGTGCTCGTGCCGCGAAGCGAATGACGGGGACTGATGAACTCGCAGCTTTCGATCCACTGTGGCCAATCCACAAGACTTCATCCCGCACTTGAGATACATCGCCAGCTGGCGGCGATCCCGGACAGCCGTGGCAGTACGAGACCGCCGGGACAAATGGCTAGCGTCCATGCTCGCGACGGTGCGGGACCGCCTGGGTCTGAGAAAGGCGATGCCCCGGAAATGCGTGGCAGAGATGCTGTTGACAGATAGCGTGCAAGGCTTGACACCGTGTAAGCAATTCTGGCGTTCGACCCCTGTTGAAAGAGATCTGAGAGATCCGCGTGCATCGGCTCCTACTAGTGCGTTCTCGTTCTGACGACCACAGTCGACGTCCGGACCATTCTTGGTGGTTTGATATCTGGGGGATTCGAGACGATATTTTCCACTGCGATCATCACCATCGGCGTGCTCGCGACAAATGCGGGACAAAAGATTCAGGAGAGGGCGTACAAAGATATCTTGGATGCCTACGCGACCCCCGAGGAAGCGTTCGAACAGGCCGTCGACGAGGAAAAGTGTCCATATATCTCCGGCTTGGTCAAAGAAGCCTTGAGGTTCTACCCGCCCTTGAAGCTGCTTCCGGCACGTCAGACGT